GAGAGAGGGCGAGACAGAGCGAGAGAGAGGGAGGGAGGGAGGGAGGGAGGGAGGGAGGGAGATCAGAAGGAGCCAAGGTACATAGGTAGCAGATTTTGGATGGAACGACAAGTTTAAGAAGCCGACAGTAGGGGCAAGGGCTGCCTAGGAACAAGAGAAGAAAAAGATGCGTACCTTGCATTTTGTGAGATTGCACTAGAACAAACTACAGCGAAGAATGTCCAAAACGGGCACATCAAATTTTGCTCACTTCTGTCATGAATATACAATCTGATGGCATGCAGTCAAAGAATAGTTTCAACCCGATACCATCACCGCCGAGAAGGGGTGAATCTCGTGTGTAGTTGGAAAGGTCGGAGGTGCAACAGCGGGTTAAAAGCGTAGCGACTGGTTCTGCTCAGAATCTCTCATCGGAAGTTCTCATGGTTGTGCTCCTGATATTTCTGTCTGCAGGTCGACGACCATGGCGAAGACATGGCACAAGCTCGCTCTCTGCGCACTAGTTCTGGTCGTTCTTGTAGCCAGTGCACACGGAGGAGAAGCAAAGGGCAAGGCTGGCCTCTTCGGAAGATACTTCGGGCACACGAAAGGGCCCGCTAAAAGTTCGAGCGAGGAACAGCACAAGCATGGCGACCTGCCTCCTCCTCCTCCTCCTTCCCTCCTCGCGTTCGGTGTCACGGGTATTCTCCTCTTTCTCATCGCGCCAATCTTCCTTTCCTTGGACTTTAGCTCCACGCAGATCAAATCTGGTCGCATCTAGGCCGCCGCCGTCAGCTCATGGTACAACTTGTGCCGTGATGGTCTTCCTCGTTTCTAAAAGATTGAAGTAAATGGTGAATGCATTGCTAACGGAGGCTATTCAATTAGTTATCGCATCAGTGGTACGGTGAGCTTCAGAGGCCGGGCTTGAACTTCGAAAATTTCAAGTTTCTCGTCCCGGCGCCTGAGTCGGCCAGAGCCACGGTTCAACTTGGCAACGCCGATGATTCGGAAGCCGCGCGATGATCTGCCGGCGGGGCTACGGGCCGCAGCCTCAGGTTCCGACCCTGCGAACAGTATACGGGCCGGGCCGAGCGGCCCGGCGATGCCCGGCACTGCCGCAGTGCCGCTGATCGGACTGGCACCGTCGGCTCCGAGCCGCCGAGTCGAGTGCTCAGTGACGGGCCCACTGGGCCTACTCGGACTGGTACCCCCGCGGCCGGGCCTTCCAAGTCCGCCGGTGCGTACAGTGATATCCCGGATCGATTCGCCGCCGTGAAATCATCGAGTCGAAGCCGCTGTGACTCAGTGAAGCTGCGGCACTCTGGGCCCCGGCCCGGGTCACCGGGTCCGATTCAGTGCGGAGTCCGATCGAGCCTCGTCCCCGCTTTGGCCCAAATCGTCCTACCCCACACTTGGCACCAAAAACATACCCCAACCCACTCTTTGAGGTTTCTCCTCTTTGCTCAATTTTTCGTTATAGATGTCCACACCCCACAATAAACAAATTTTGTCTGGTATATCCGTGGTGGGTAATATTACCCCACCCCCAATTAAAAATCATCTACCCTACCTGATCTCGAAATTGTTTTGCACCCCCACCTCCTCTACAGGACGCGGCTGTTCGGGCATGGTGGGGGAGCGACAGCGATGGCTCGTCATTGCAGCGGCGGCAGCGTTTCTAGCCCTCATGGCGATCTCTATGCTAGCGGGGAACAGACGAAATGTGGGGAACAAGCGCATGCTTGCTCAGAAGAAAGCTCGATTTCAGTCTCTTGGACCCAATGAGGTACAGACTTGCATGAAACAGTGCTGTAATGCGGCTACTTCTGCGGAGTGTGCAAAGAATGGACTATCCTGCTTTGTCGCAATCACATTAGTTTTTCTTGTCGTGTCCTCTTGTGTTCGCTTGCTCTCTGTGAATTTGCGCAAAGCAAAGGTGTTCTTGTATTTGTTCGTATTTGTTCGTGTCTTCTATCATGATCGTACATTTCAGTCTGATGATCCAGTTATTGTCTGCGAATGCTGCCAAATGGATGATGATTTCATGTTGATCGATACTTTCAAACCATTTCATGGTCGAAGTACTGTACCTTTTTTCATCGCGTGGAGCGAAAGTTATTCCGCAAAATTGGTAACTGACATTGTTCCCGAGCAGAAGTTTGGAGTTTATGCTTCGGAGGTCAAGAACACTGATCCGACGAGCAGAGGATTCGACTTCTACACCTATGCCAACACCGATCCTAATGGAGAGGATGCTGAGGCTCATGCCACCAAGTTTGACGCTCGAGCATATCGCTCTTTCGAATATTTGTTGAAACGTGCCGACAGGCTGCAGAAGCAGGTGAGGAGAGGGAGAGAGAGGGAACGGAAAGTGAGGTGATTCGTGGGATACAACAGATCGATGAGCTCAAGGCAGACCTGGGCACCAAGGAGCTTGAGGTCAACCTCTCTCCTCGTGGCCCCCCGGGACCTATCGGTGATCTGACATGAGCCTTCAACCCTTCGCCTCCTCTGACTGCACTTTCGTAGGACCTGAAGGTCCAGTGGGACCAGTTGGACCTCCAGGCCCTCGGGGACCTGTTGGCCCTCAGTACGTTGCTTCTTCTTTGATCCTTCATTGCTAACCTTTGGTAGGGGCCCAAGCGGAGCGCCGGGAGATCAAGGAGTACAGGGATCGATTGGACCGACTGGCGACAACTATGCCTAAAACTTAGCTGTGTGAATTCGTGGATTAAAACTAGAAAGATGACAGCGAGGTCGAACGACCCTAGACTGAGATCTCCATTCGTAGTAGCCTGCCCAGGATGTCTTGGGAACTAAATAACCAAGAACATCGTTGAGTTGTTACCATCCCCAGGGTCTAGTTTACATGGAACCAAATAACGTATGTGCCAGGTTGTGACTTACATCGCCCATGTTCCGTGCTAGTTTTCAAGAGACTTTTCGGATTGTAATTGATAAACAAAATTGTTCTTATTAGTTTGACTTGACCTTCTTCTTGCCAGCATCAGCGCTGACCTGTGGTCTGAATCTGCACCAACCGTCAGGATTACAAGCAACAAAAGACTCTGCAAGGATATATCTCTCACAGGAAAAGAGGCAAGAAGCCAAGACCCGCAGCCATAGCAATGAACAAGAGCCATTCAGTCTGCAGGCTTGTCAACACTGCGAACAAGAAAACGTTGCTGCAAGTACAATGTGCGGGGCAGAGAGCTTGTTGTCTTCCTTGTGAGAAAGGACAGGGATCAATCCCAGATCGTTGGAATAACCCACCTGCAAGAGCACTCAGATTCCCAGCACCCTCCCTCGTATGCCTTCCATCACCTGCACATCAGCGGCATCCTGCGTTGCCTTGTAGGTGACCTTGGCAGGGGTGCTGGACTTGTAGCCGAAGGAGTGGGCCTTCAACACAACGATGTGGGTGACGTTTCCTCCTCTGCCACACCCGTCACGATCCGCTGTCGTCTAACATAGCATGCTTACGCTGGGATCTGAGGCCAGCTCCCCGACACCATCCCTGACACGACGGAATACTCCTCAGCCGACCAGTCGTCCTCCAGGGTGACATCGTATGCAGGGCTATATGGTCTCATCAGTGGAACAAGCGGAAGGGGTGTAGGCAGACCCGGATCCGATGTTGAAGAGGCGATACTGGAAAGGAATGTCCTTGCCAGCAAAGGGTCGGCTTACAAGCACAGACTTCTGGATGAGAAGGTGCGGTTGCGGCTGCTTCTCAGCATATCCGACGGCTATGCAGGAAATCAAGACGATGATACCACAACTGAAAAGCTTCTCCTGCACGACCAGTCAACTCGAAACTGCTGAAACTTGGGGCAACTCGAAGCAGGAGTCTCTTTAGCAACGCTTCATGACACAGAACAAGCACAAGAGGGATTTGTGAACTTCTAGTGATATCAAATATTCATAGACACACATGACATTATTCGAGATCACAGATATCTTCCTGGCTTGAAGAATCTACTGAAAGCCACCAACAGGCAAGCACAGCATTCACAACATTTCTGATCCAAAAAATCGTGCTACCATTGCACTTATTGATGAGAACCAGTCTCTCCTGACTTCCGTTTCCATGCACAAAGTTGTATCCACAATACACGCGAGAGTGCCTAACTCATCATCCCAACCCTTCCCACATCCTCTGTTGGTTCCCAACCGTTCCCTTCCTCTTCCATCACCCTCCACTGACAAGAACCACTTCTTCTCCTTCACTTGTCACTATGGTAAGCCCTCTCAGTCATCATGCTGCTCTGTCCTCCCTCCCCTCCTCCTCCCTCTCCCCGCCTCCACTCCCATCCTACCCCATCTCAATCTCACCATGATGACGACCGGCGCCTCGTGCGGCCTCCGGGCTTGGTAGGGGGTGGGTGATGGATGAATGCACTTGGTAGGGTAATCACCCTACCCTTCATCTTTCAATGATTGTTTGTTCAAAAGTACCGGTACATTTCAAAACTTGCAGTACATTGCACCCCATGCAAGACATGGGTGGGGTACCTCAACAAAAATCACAGGACATAGCCCTGTGAAACTTTTTACGTTCGTGCCGGGACTCACTCACTACCTGGCAGGCTGGGCGCCAGCTTGAATCATGATCGGACGTCACGGTGACTCGTACACCACTGAGGCTAACGGTAGACCGGCGGAGGCCTGGACAGCCTGAGCGCCATGACTTTCTCCCTGCTCGATGAGTACAATCTTCCCTTCGCATGACGTGTGCATTATGTGCGGCTGCACGCCCAACTTGTTTGAAGCAGCTCCGTAACGAGAGCAGGACCGTGGTGGGCCACGGTGCAGCAGCGCGGGCAGCGAGCTGGGCCGGATCTCCGTCTGTTCTGCCTTCACCCCCTGGACCTCGCGATGGAGTCGGAGGGCTTGCTGGAAGGATCATCGGATTGAGCCGCATGCAAGTTGTGCGTGCGGCACTGTGACGATTCCTGCCAGTGAGATGCCGGAAGACACAGTCTTCTACTACATGGATCAGAACAACAATCATCGGCAGTGATCTTCGGAAAGAACTTGAGCTGCCGGAGCTCAGCGTCTCTGCAGTGAAAGACTCAGATGATGAACTCATGTCGTACTATAACTATCCGATCTTTTAACTTCTCCGTATCTTCTCTGCCGTCGGTACTGAGTGCGGCGTCTCAATGTCCTCCGACTCAGTTGAAAAAATGCATCATCATATGGCATGCGGCAGTATCGGAGCCTCTCGGATGTTGAACTAGGCGAGTCAGTTGGGCTTGTTCCACTGAGTGATACAGTTGACGTGATCGACGTAGAAGACCCTTCCTTCCTCGTCGAACCTCTGCTCCCATCCCTCCGGCAGCGAGTCCTGTTGTTCAACCTCATTGATGCTCCTGCTCCTCCTCTTGCTCCTCCAACCTCCACGCTTCCTCTACCTTCTTAACCCCCCCCCCCCCCCCCCCCTCTTCCTCATCATCATCACAACCGATATGAACACTGCTCCCATGTTAGACCTATTCAATTCCACCCTGCTTCTAATCAGACACAGTGTTGCTTGTTCGCGTCATTCCCTACTCTCCTCTCATCTACCAATGTCTCCCTACATCTCTTTTCCTCTCCCTTCACTCGCTTTCGTCACCTGTCTCGGCTGCACTTCAAGCTTACACTCGATGGAGCAAACAGCTTGCCCGCTCTGAATGATCTCGTACTGCCCGTACTACCAGGAGGGTCAGGAACCAGTCACGGCACAGCAAAGAGGATGGACGAGAAAGAGGGGGAGGGCAGACAGGAACCTTTCCGCAGCCGGGGACACTGCAGACGGGCTCGTGCGGAAGGGGATCCCGCTGCTGCAGCCGAGTTTTCTTGGGGGGAGGTGCACGGGAACCGGGGAGGAGACTCATCTGCACGAGTTGATGAGGGAAGGGAGGCCGGTGAGAGGCCGGAACCTGAGGAAGCGAAAGGTGCGGAACAGAGAGAAATCGATGCCACTGGGTGAAACGTCAAGGAATGGAAGAGAAGGGAGAGGGAGTAGAGGAGGGGGAATGGGGTAAGGCAAGGAGTATGGGGAGGGCAGAGGGAGTGAGAGGAGAGGAACTCTGTATGAAGACAAGGAGGCAAGACAAAGCAGGGAGAAAGACGAGGAAGATGGGAAAGGAATATACCGAGGAGTCGCTGTTTTCACGGTGCGCATGATTCTAATGTGCATCGTCAACAACAAGTTTGATTGAAGAAGATCAATCAGGACAACCTCAGGAAGGCTCGTGCTGCTCCCGGCCATCAACCTGTCCCTCTTCTCGTCTCCGTCGCTCATCGTTAGCTTCACATCCTCGTCGCCATTCTCATGAGGCTGGTTCTTGCGTACAGCAGGAGAGGAAACGAATTGAGGGGGCAGCGTCCGATCCCTTGGTTTCTCAACCTCCACCTTGACAGCTTCGTCGGGCCCAGCTAGCAAGATCTGCGGAGCTCGATCGCCGTTAACAGAAGCCTGATGGAGGCCAACACCCTAGAGACAAGCTCAGCAGGAGCGAGTACGAGAGGGGAGGGAGGGAGGGAGGGAGGGAGGGAGGGAGGGAGGGAGGGAGGGAGGGGAGGGAGGGAGGGTCTTACGTTCGCTTCTCCTCCTTTGTTCCCATTCTCTTGAGGAGACTCGGTCAGTTTGTCGCCCATCAAGTTGTCGGCGCTGACATTGGCGTCCGATACTCCTTCGACTTTGATAATCTCGTTCAGAGCAGGGGCGACCGCGTCCTTCCTCTCCGTCTGCTCCTTCTCGCCCTCCGCCGTCTCGGGGCTCGGCGGGTGAACTTCGGGGATGTCTTCAATCCTGCCACAGCCTCAGTCGCTCCTCCTGGTCCTTTCAGCCTGCCAAACCTGCCGTGCAGCTTGCCCTCCTTAATAGCAGTTATCTTGTTCGTCTTGAAAGTTTCCCGTCACATTCAGGCACACCGGATGGTCCAGTCTAGCTCACCCTCTCAGTCACCATCTCCTCGTAAATCCGAACTTGCTCGACGGAGAGGCCGTGCCATTCATCCATCCAGCTGTTAACGTCGTCACCTCCCCCACGGGTAGAGCCCGACTCTCTCACCAGAACATGGACCTGTTTGCGTTCAGGAAGATTGACCGTTCGTACGAGTGCATGAACTCTTCGATCTGGGGCACACAGAGTGAGAATGCACGGTCATCAAAAGTTGAAGGATCCCTGACCTTGTGCTGGAAGGGCCAGTAGTCGAACTCGCAGGTCACCAGCTTGTAAGCGCACATGACAGGTTCACTCTAATCCGAGCCAAGGGGATCAGGGAGCATCGGCAAGATAGCAATCAGACCGACGACTGCCAGTTCCCGACGAGGGGCCCGCGGCCTGTTCGCACGGACTTGAAAGTTCCTGCAGGAACAAGCTCGTCAAGCATCTCTACCACCCTGAGATCGGTCGAGCTCACTTGGATCCGTGTTATCCTTGTCGTACATCTTCTTCTTCTTGTGGTGGTCGTCCTTCTCCGAGATGTCCACGTACACTATTTCTCTCTTTCGTCGCAGCAAGTCAACAAGCTCGTTGTTGAGGGCCAGTCTGCTCACCTGCTTCAACTTCTTGTCGTCCAACTTGTGGATGTTGAAGCTATCCCCCCTGGGTGAAGCGAATCACCGGAATGCGCTCACAACTCCGTCAGGCTCACCTGTCTTGTGCATGAATCGTCTCAACCCGCATCAAGAACTTGTGGAATAGAGGGAGCCTGCGCAGTTGTCAGCTCCCGGTCATTCGCAAGACTTGAAGGAAAACCTCAACTCCGTCACGACGTGCGGATAGCAGTTGTGGGCAGTCTCAACAAGAGTCATTCCAGACTTTACAGGATGTAAGTTCAGCTGTGAAAGGAACCATGCTTGCTGTCAGGAATCACCTTGGGGGCAATCGCTCGAAGCCATCCCGGAAATCTTCTCTCAATGTGATAGTGTTTCTTAGTGTAGATTCCAGGACCTGAAATGCGGAGGAGGCGCCAAAGGTGAAGATGGAGAAGAGGGAGAGACAGGCAGAGATAAGTGGAGAAGGTGAGAGGGAGGGAGGAGGGTGTTGGGAAGAGAGAAGGAGTCAGGGCAGATCAATACACAGCGTTGAAGATCCTTCACCCATAGTCGGATGGACGCATTGTGTATTTTCCAAGATTTCCACTCCTGATCGCAGAGTCTCAGCAAAGAACAAGTCGCACATCCGCATGGTGTCATCACCAGCTCCGTTGGGTTGCTCAGCCTCCATAGACTGGCAGAAGTTGCGCAGGGAAATCAGAATCCCTCCTCCCCCACCCCTCCGAACCTCACCTGAGTCTTGGCGGTCATGTAAATCTGTGCTATCTTGTACTCTTCGACGGTGACCTGATAGAGAGAGGACGAGTCAGTCGTTGCTTCGTCTCTGCATGTCACATCATACCGGCATGACGATCCTGTACTCCTTGAGAATCACCATACTGTGAAGCTACCAGCGATCGACCAAGAACCCCGGCAACGGTGGTGCGTGAAACCAGCACCGCAGAGCTCTCAGGGGAGCATCCTCGTGTGAAATCGAGTTCTTGATTTGACGAAAGCATGGAAAAACCGCAGGTCAATCCCAGCAAGAAGGTATTACAATGCAAATGATTCATCGCAACGAAAGGGAATCTTCGAATCGTCCACGGTATCTTCTCATTTCCGTCTGTTCATTCTATACCCTCCTTCACAAGATGATTCCTCCTGACGGTGTTGCCCACCATATTCTCCCCTTCCCTTCCCAGGTGTATCCTTTGCGAACATCGCTCCTCAAACACTCTGTCCTACCCTTCCCATACAATCCTCCGAAACATTTCCAGTCAATCTTCCTGTTCCGTCTCCCTGATTCTTGCCTCCTCTCTCTCCTTCTCCTCCCTCCTCTCCTACTCGTCTCATCTCCATGCCGCCCTCTCCCTCCCTCCCTCCCTCCCTCCTCTCCCTCCCTCCCTCCCTCCCTCCTCCTCGTCCTTGTCTCCCCTCCATGAAGGGTTGCTGTGCAGGCATTTCGCCTTCCTATCACGCACGAACATTTGACTAAAACTAAAACTGTTTTTGGGCCCTAGCAGAATATCCCTGCTTCTAGTGCCATGGCGAGGCAAGGACATACAGGGCAAGAGAGAAGGAATGAGAGGGTCATGAATGATGTCAAATGCCAAGCTTGAACACTGTCCTGGAGGAGAACAGGTTGCAATGATGCAGAGGGGACAGATGACTAGGTGAACTTCTCAGGACGAAGGAGAGAGGTATCCTCTACATCAAATGTTATAGCGGCGAATGCTTCGGGCGATATGGCGATTGCGAACAGATTTCTCGTAGTCACCGATGTACAGCGATCCTTCGACCGAGTTGAATGGCCTTTGCACGAGACAGGTGCTACGACATTTGAAACAAAGTTCAAAGGATGCATCAGGAGGTGGAAGGACAGTTGTAGGTAAAATATGCTGTGCAGTGAGAAATGCAAAGAAATAATGACAAGAGTAGCGCGAAATGACTTGAGACAAGCCGCCATCGTCACTCTCCGTTACCTCATGGTGATTCTTCCGATCTGCAAAAGCAAGGGTACGAGTAAAGTTGTGGTGTATAAGATTCTTGAAGATAGTAGGCCCTACGTAGAATCTTTTCCTTTGAACTTGGGCTTTCCAAGAGTAATCGGAATGTAGTTGTGCTTGATCATGTGCCTACAAGAAATGGTTAAAATAAATGATGTAACTTACCTTGATGTTCACTTACTGAATCTGTCGGCGCATCGTCATGATAAACAGGGCGAAGAAATAGCAAACGAGAATCGGCCTGTCATGAACAGAATCAACAAGGAAAGGTGTGCACCAGAGCTGTCAAAGCTGTCTCACCAAAAAACAGGAATGTTGAACACAGAGAAAAAGGTCATGAAGAACGCAATCACAATCCCGCGCGTCACCCCATACCAAAACCTTGTTCACGCCAGTTAGAATGAGGGGTTTGTCCATAAGCATGTGCTCTCTCACTTGAACTCAGGCAGCTTCCTAACAAAAGGTTTGAATTCATCAGCTTCGTTGGTGGGTAGGACAGACTGTGGGTCAAACAGTCAGATGTTGTCACTAGAATTAAGACAGACTCACTCCATCTGCAGATGGATCAGACGCCGGCGATAAAAAGCCGATGCCAAGATTCAGGATGTAGATTCCTTTCCAAACCTCATTAGAAAAACTTCATATTCGACAAGTGAGAAAGTAAGCACCTAATCCGTAAGTGACAATATACCATCCATTTATAAGAAATATTCTGATGCAGTAAATGATAAATAGGACCTGCAAACCAGACTTCAAGAAAGGTTCCAACCATGTTTCCCACTCACCGCTGTCCCTATCCATCTTGCACCAGTATGAGGGGCAGTGGAATCCTTGAGCGTGGTAAAACCTTCAAGACACATTCTCAACGACATCGAATTGGGTGCTAGCCTGAGAAATTAGCTCGTTACTCACGCATGTACAGCTGGTGCATCTGCTTCTGGAGTGGCGAGCTCTCCTCGAGGCCTCCATCATCACTGAAGTCATGAGGCTGGTGGACATGTCAGATCGTCATGCTCCACATCACTAGGGTTCATACTCCTCCTGTGGCAGGGAACGACATCTTGTACCAATCAAAGGACTAATCCTTCACGAGGAGCTCCGATCTTACTATTGAGGAAAGAACACGAACCCAAGACTGAAAGGATCAAATCAATAACAGTCTAAAGATCACCTGACAAGGGACCTGTAACACTGCTTGCAGGCTTATTGTTCTTGATGCATATGCCCTTGACAACCTGCTCGACCTCTGAGTACCCAGTTTCATAAGTTCATCTTTCCAAAATAGCAGACATGTTGTGAAACCGAAGAAATCGGTAGATCAAATTTCTTCTTGTGGCTTCAAAATATTCACGCATCGAGAACGAACGATGATGATTGGGATCACATAAGCACTCTTCAAACTTGTCTGTATCAGAAGTTGGAGTGGTTACTCTAAATACAACTATAATCTTTAGGTTGCTTAATTTCCTTGTCTCTTGTCTTGACCAATGCACATCCAGCTGTAAAATCCAAGAAGAAAAACCATCACGCTATAGCATATCATGCAATTTCACCCCACTTACAAGTTCTACATTATTTGCAGATCCTGTTCCATCACCTACTTCTTCATGAACTCGCATCATCTCTATCTATAGAGTTGATCTTCAGAAACAGAAACGTACATCCTCTGCCATCTTTCTCTGCGGCTCCTTCCAACCGCTTAACTCCTTGCTCACATTTCTCATAGAGCCTCTCCCGCCCGCCGACGTGTAAGGACCCACCCCCACCCCCATCTCTACTTCATAGAATCTGCCATAACCCGGCTCTCACCACATTTTTCAGGGAAAGATAAGGGGTACCTTGACCCACAATGTGTAGCACGACCCCCTTCCTCTACACCTCAATCGTTGAGTACCCCACCCCAATTCCAACTTTACTACCCCCCTTTTATCCTGGCCGTCTATTGTTTTATTACCCCATCAACTCAATAGCACAGACCTAGTAAAGGGGGGTAGGGTACTGTTTATCAACCTGGTTGAGCTGGGCTGGAAGGGGTGGGTGAAACCCAACCCGCCTCGGACCAGAAGGAGATTCCGGACTCCGGATTCCCCGGGCCCGGTGACTAAAAATACACCGGTACTTCCGTCATGTATAGGAAGGGTGGGTGGGGTAGTGTATTCACCGGTTCTAGAACTGAGATTTTAGAGGGTAGGTAATGAAAACATGACCGGTCTGTTACTAGGGGAGGTGATGGGTAGGGTGTTGATTTGTCGAAGAGACAGGCGCGCTCAAGAGCCATGGCGTGGCGCAGTTATGGGACTGCGGAGGAGGGAGGAGGGAGAATTACAGGAGGAAGGAAGACAGCAGCTGTCGTTGCTGCTCTCTCCTTCACTGCTGTTGCAGCGGTCCTCTGTGTCATTGCTCTCACTCAAAGCCAAGACAAGAAGTCTGAACTTGTGGTAAGGCAGAAAATGGCTGTGTTTTCTGTGTAAAGATGGAGTACATGGCTTGTGGGACATCGTTGAACATTGCATACAGCGCTATTTTTTCTTCTCATCTATAGAGTCTATATTCCTCCATTCGCTGACATCATAACAGGATGAGAAGCTTGTGCTCTTCAAGATGGAACCCCCTCCTGAGCCTTGGTCACCACCTGCTAACCTGTGGATGTTCTGGGGTCAGTCACCTAACAAGCGCTTTGGACACTCCGGTGACAACATTCGTCACTTGGTGAAGCTCGGAAGGTCAGAACGACAAGCTTTTGAACTAAGAGTCGAGCTCACTTCTTGAAAGGCTTGCTGGTGGCGAGTACAGGGATCCGCATTTCCTGTTCAACTTTGATTCTCAGACATTCCGTGAGTGCATTAAGCTGGTTGCTAGTGGTTACTGACTGCTGTTTGGACAATGCAGGTGATCTCTCGGAGTCCTGCTGCACCACGATGCTCGTCGCTCCCATGAAGAATGACATGCCGATTTACAATGCTGAGTCCAACGTTGCCCAGAGACTGCGTATGCCCTGTGGAGTTGTCTTTTCTAGCTTATTATCACGCAGGCAACTATGTTGCCAACGGCAACCACATTGTCTTCACTGGTGGATCATTGGTATCGATTGAGTTTATCAACAGGTTGATCGAGAAAGTTTGATCTGCGCCGCTTGTTTCTCACTCTTCTTCGCCTCAGATACTTCTATTACAACATTGAGCCGGAATCATCCTCTGGAACGTTCAAGGGATCGGGTGAGCGGCTGCACTGGTTGAGACAGGGATAATCTTATGTTGTTGTTCCACAAGGATACGGAAACTGGTCGCCAGGACCTTTCCGGAAGCTCATCACGACAGATCTTCCTTGGGTTTACAAGTTGACGCCGGACACTCTCTACCAGGACCACACTTCAGTTCAGTCCATGGCTCTCCGATCCCTCCCCTCGGGCACCTCCGTCATCTACATGACGCCCAAGTCCTCGCCCGTCTTCCTCATCAAGTTCTGCCAGAGGCTGAGTGAGAGGCATGGTGAACCCCCCATCAAGACTGTGCCCAAGGACTGCTGGAGGCACGCTGCCAGGGGGTACCCTTGCTCTTGCGGTATGCCAGCATGCTGGATCGCGTTCGGGGGCTGATCGTGGTGTGCAGGTACCATCTCTTACATCGGTTACGACTGGCATTACGACCAGGATGCTGCCGACTGGGACAAGGTGTGTGAGCTCGGACGAACTTGTTGATTTCGACTGACATCAAGGGTGTGAAGGTCATGTTGGCAGCTGTTGAGTATCAGTCAGACCCCGATGAGTCCACCACCTTCTCCCCTAACTGCAAGCAACCACCAAGGGTGAGGACCGCGCGAGGTCGCGGGTTGTGTCTGATTTGCTCTCAGGTCATTGAGGATCCTCATGCGCCTAAGAACCCTCCCATGTGCGGCAAGCTCTAATATTCTTTCAACTGCACTGGGATGTTGGGTTCAGTTTTGTGTCTTCACTCAGTGCTACTGTCATGGGGTGGAGTCAAAAGCTTCTCCAAGGTATATTAGGATGCAAGCAGTTAACGACCTGCCATCTGTACAAGCGTTTTTCTTCTCGAGTAAACTTCTGGTTGCCCAACGGAGGACATGGCAATGGATCGATACAGTAGTCGTCACACGTGAAGTGACTTGGCTCGCTTCTTGTGCTGCCTATGAAAGTTCTTCCTGCTGTTTGTCTCCCTTCTCCAACTACAACTAACATCATGTTCATCTCTCCATCGGCTTGAAAGGCTCACACCTTGCACTCATCTTCTTCCACCCATCGCCGTTCCTACACGTCCCCTCGCTCCCTTTTCCTTTAAAAACACTCTACTGACTGTGCCAGCCTCATTCCCCTTCCCCAGCCCCCTTCCCCCTTGTCAATCCGTGCTCACTGCTCTCCTCCTCCCCTCCTCCTCCTCCCCTCCTCCCCTCCTCTCCTCCTCTCTTCCACCACCCCTCCTCGTCCTCTCCTCCTCCCATCCTCCCCTCCTCCCTCCTCCTCCTTCCCTCCTCCTTCCTCCTCCCCCCCTTCCCCCCCCCCCCGCCCCTTTTCTCCCCCTCCTCCTCCCCTTCCCCTCCGCTCCGCTGAGATACCTGGCAGCCCTGCAAGCCGCCTGCAGCTTTTCTGCCATCCCCTTCCTCCCGTGTCCCCTGATCTCCCAGCTATGCAGCCGGTGCGACGACATGAGTGAGACCATGGAGAAGCTGCTGGCTCGCAGAGAGCACGTGCCCAAAGTCTGCATCATCGACCTTGACAGAACGGTGAGGTTTGAAGAGGGGGAGGGAACAGCGAAAGAATGGAGGGAGGGAGGGAGGGAGCGATAGAGCTGAATCATGCTCGGCAGCTATGGAACGTGTTTGCGGCGGAAGAGACCTTTCCACCATACCGTCGAGTGGGAGAATGCGAGGTAAAAGACAGCAAAGGGAGATCCGTCTCGCTGCATGCAGACACACCAGCGATCTTGACGAGCTTGAAGGAGAAGGTGAGGGCAGCATGCGCTGACTTGCTCTTCTCCCCGGTCATGGCCCATGCAGGGATGTCGAATCGCTATCGCGTCTTTGAGCCCCAACTTTGAGCTCTGCTGCATGCTCCTTTCTGCGTTCGGCATCCTGCGGCTGATCGAGCGGAGCCTCATCCAGGTCGGTTGCCTCCACTTGGAGCGGCAAAGAGAGCTGAGACCCGCTGGCAGATCAAGAACGGGACGGGCAAGCTGGAGCACTTCCGATCGATCAAGAGCGCGAGCGGCTGCGCGTACCAGGAGATGATGTTCTTCGACGATCTGCCATCCAACGTGAAGGTGGGAGGTGATGACATGTTCGTCTCTCCTCACTGACTGGCACCAGCAAGCTCAGAAGTTGGGTATCACCTCCGTGCTGGTCGGACGAGAAGGGCTCTCCAGCTCTACTCTCTGCAAGGTGTGCATGGCAGCATGAGGAGTGAAGGTGAGACGATGGCAGGGCCTCTCCCTCTTCGCTGATTGCAAGCGGTCGACCAACGTGATGAGCTCGTGGCTCGTGAGGGCAGCGGCGAGCAAGGAAGGAGGGGGGGGCGAGGGGGAGAGGGTGAAGCGAGCGAACGAGGGAGCTTGCATGGAAGCGGGGAATGCAAACAAAAGGAGAAGCTCTGAGGAGAAACGAGGCGAGAAGAGCGAAAACGAGGAGGCGAAAAGAAATGAGGAGAGGAGAAACGAAGAGGGGAGAAGTGAAGAGAGAAGGGATGAGACAAGTGGACAGGAGACAAGCGACGCAAGCAGAACAAAAGCGGAGGAGGGAGGAGAAGGCAGGGTTACGGTTAGGAAGAGATACGAAGAGGACATGTCGCCCTATCCCCGAGAAGAGCAACACAGGCTTGGAGTTCCAAGTTTACGCGAGAAGAACGATGAATGAAAACATGAGAGAAAGCGGAGCCTTCAGCTTTTGGGAAGGAGCAAGTGAGCGTGTTGGTGCATCTTCTTGGCTGACTTTCTCCTCGTCACCGTCGCCTTCCTCTTGACTCCCGTTAGCTTCTGCGCCTTCTCCTGCTCCCACGGGTGAACCAGCAAGCGCTACCCTCCTTCTCCTTCACCTGCTTCGTGGGGATGAGACCCTCCTGCTTCAGCTGGTGCTCCTGCTCCTCCTGCGTGAGCTGGTTCCGCGGCTCGTTCTCCTCCCACAGCTTCTTGATGTCATCATCGACCTGACAGGCACCCTCACCTCCCGCCCACGAGGGTCAGAGCTCAGGGCCCACCTGGATCTCAAGGTGCTTGTGACGAGGAAACAAAAGAGTGTTGCGCGACTCTGCGTTCTGGATCGCGTAGATCTCATGGCTCTCCTTGAGCGACTTGACATCTCCCTGCCCCGCCGTCACCGGCTCACCCTCCTCCTCATCATCATCACCTCAACCCCGTTGTAGGCATCGTTCTCTGACGGCTCCTTCATGCCGCAGGGAGTGTTGAGGATCACTTCCAACAGGTTTTGCCGATTCGACAGCTCCAGCATCGCCTTGTACGACCAGACGTACTCGCCCGACTCCGACAGCTCGCACTGCCACTTGCTCAGCAGAGAAACCAGAGCAAGGAAGGAGAGCAAGGAAGAGGGAGAGAAGAGCAGAAGGACGAGGGAGGGAGGGAGGGACATGCGGAGGAACGAGAGTACCGAGATAAATTTGTTGTTTCGAAGAGTGTCGAAAAGAGCTCGCCCTTCCGGGTCCACGATCTTGAAGCAGAGCGGATGAGACCAGCGACCATGAGGGAGTCAGTTTACCGAGTGAAGATCGCCGACGCAGATTTCGTTTGAGATTTCCTGACTCGTACATTCCTGCAACACGATGAGTCCGTTTCGACAAGATATCACAACTGAAGTGTTGACCTTGCGAACTCTGCTGAGAGTGCATTTTCCGTCCCTGAAAGACTCCTTGTCCTCGGCATCTCCCATCCTATCCTTCAATCACTTCGCCTCCAACTCCTGCTCCGATCACCTGAAGCGAGGTAGCGAGATGCCTAACTCCTTTGCCCGCTGCATGTCGACAAGGTCAGGGAGAGGGAGGGAGGGAGGGAGGGAGGGAGGGAGGGAGGGAGGGAGGGAGGGAGCTGGGCATGTCAGCGAACCTTCTCATCGTAGGTGTGAACGCATCGACACTCAGGGTCGAGCAGCGAGTGACCTCGTCGCAGGAACTCGATCACCTCGCGGAGGTACGACTCGTTGCTCCAGGCCTTCTGCTTGGTGTCAGGGATCCGATAGCTCTGCGAACGAGTGAGAGTGACGCTGCACCTCCTCCGCATCTCCCCCCGCACCTTATTGAATGCAGCCATCTGATTTCTGTAATCGTTTTCTGTTCGGTAGAGCTGAAGCTGTTGTGCGCTGTTAAAGTAGAATAGCAACTTGTATCGTTGTCAGGTACCTGCCCATTCAGCCAATCCACCAGTGCAATATCAAACTTCGTCTTCTCATTATGATCTCCAACTTTCCTTGTTAACGAGACCTGAAACAAACAAGTCAATGTCCTGCAATCAATGCTTTCCTCCATGAGATTTTACCTTCTTGTACCGCACAGGTTGACGCCCATCGTGGTAATTTGATTTGTTCATCGGAGCAGGAAATATCTTGTAATCAGTGATCTCAAAGAAAGAAAACAGAGCAGCAGGATCGCGAGTGTAAGGCCCAGGGAATTCAACTTTGGATCGCCTCGGCTCGATCGCTTTTCCCGACGCCCTGTCAAGAAACAACGCATCATTCAAGCAACACACCACAAAGAGAATCACGAACAATGCGTTCTTCTTCTGTCGTTCTATTTGCTTTTGCAAGAAGCTGCTCTGCTCAGCTTTCCAATGTGTGTCCATCGTTGGTCAGGCACTCTGGAGCCCTGCAAGCACAGGTTCTCAGGTCGTGTCAAATCCTCCTGGTCGCTGTGCTCAAAGAAAGGCAACGATATTGGTTCCTCTCTTCATTGAACGATTGTTTTTCCTCGTAATGTCTCAAATCCATTGTCGATCTTATTGTTAGCATCTTCAAGCATAAGATCCTTTGCTGTGATCACTTACTAGACGTTTCGTTTCCTTGCATTCGTTTGCACACCTATCCAACAGATGATCCTGTCAGACATTCTCTTGCATCCTGCTATGTCGTGCTGCAGTTGTTCTCTCGTTCAGGCCCTCTAAAGAATTCCTCTCTAAACCTTACTCCCTCGCTCTCCACTACTCCCCTTCCCTTCAAAGGATCAGCCATTTCACCATTCACGCTCTCTGTCGTATGGGCTGTGAGGGGATGAGGGTAACTCCGGGCCGGCTGCAGCGCCGGGGCCCTGCGGCCCCAGCTGCGGCCCCGGCCCGGAGCATGTGGGGATGAGGGGATCCTTGATTTCTTTTTTTTGTGCCGGAAATAGATCGCTTGGTCACTAAGAGGCTCGACGAAACTCCTCCCCCTCATCCCGTGCGGTAGGCCATGCTCGGCTTTCTGCGACCTCGCTGCTCCTAATGCTGTCCTCCCCGTCTGTTGCCCTGCATCGTCCTCAACCTGCATCCTCAGCGATGGCTGATTGGAACCATACTGCCATCAAGACATACCCCTTCATGCTCTACTTGCCTTCCGATGTTCGTGACTAGTGTTTCCTTGTTTGTTTTCCCTCCCTGCCTGCTCATCCACTTTAAACTTGTGACTCAGTGAGGTCAGCAGCTAATTCTTTCGCAGAAATGTTTGCTCTCCTCCTCGACGCCAACTCCTACGTCAACACCATCAACACCTGGGCTGAGCCACACAACGCCAACGGCATCACCCCCAACACCGTCATCGACTCCAACGATGAGCCTCCCTGCAACAACCAGCAGCGCATGGTTGCCCGCGGATACTAAATGGACAGGGTGAAAGTAAATGATGTATTGACATATGTACAACGATGATGCTCGACCCCTCACACGGGTAACTCGCCTTCCCCCAGCGCTACCAGAGATCCCTGCATGGAGTGAACACAGCGCAGAGGCAGCAGATCCTCTCACCTCCTTCTCGATGTAGCCGATGATCTGGTCTAGGTTGGGATCGGTCCGCAGGACATGCCGGCAGCCGACCTGAGTGTTGTCAACGAGGAGCATCGAGTTGAGGTTTCTCACAAGGATCAGCTTCGCTTTTGCTCGAGTCACCGCCACGTTCAACCTTCGGATGTCCGACACGAGAGAGCCGACCTTGAGCCACGTCAGCTTGTCAAGTCAGACGAGGCGCCTCCTCCACCTCCTCGTCTTGTTTGCTTCGCACCAGCGACACTAAGATACACGCCTTGTCGCGTCCCTGGTATCTGTCCACCGTGCTGCACTCTATCCCCTTGCTCCCCTCGCCCATCCCTGCCAGCTGCGTTGAGATGGCGCGAACTTGCGCTCGGTACGGCGAGATGACGCCGATCTCCCGTGCCTGCGATGGATGAGGCAGAGACAGCAGCAGCAAAGCAAGTACCGGAACCCCCAACTGAATCATAGCTTCGCAGAGAGATACGATGACCCTTCCCTCGAGGACATTCATGCTCTTCGATGTGCGGACATGCGAGACGAGTTCACCTGCAAATCGCTTTCAGCACCGGGCACGTGCCAGTCCTCTCACCGGTATCGACAAAGGTGACAGCCGTCTGCACTGATAGAGCATCAGCAACCCATGGAGGAAGGGCGTTTGCCTCCAAGTCGCTGTACTCCAGCCGCCTGTTGGCCGTTGCCGCATCTCCACACTGAAGCGAGTCATCAAGATCGAAGGCGCCCAGCGCATGTCTTGAGTCACCTTGAGTTGACCCCCGTAGACCATCAAGTTTGCTATCCCCATGATCCGCTCGTTCATCCTGTACTGTGTCGACAGATGAACCACCGCCTGATGTGAAGGAGCCGAGGAGTGAGAGGACGGAGCATCGATGGTGGTGAGAGACCTGAGGGTGAGCATCCGACAAGCGCTTGAAGAGGGACACATCCATCCCAAGCTTCCTTGCCTGTTCATCTAGTTCAGAGGAGGGAGGAGTGAGAGGTAGGGGATGACGTCACCTCCTCGCTCTTGACCAGCGGAGGTAGCTGATGATGATCTCCGACCAGCACGAAGACATCGGCCAACCGGAGAGGCCCGAGGCATGCGGGCTGAGAGATCTGGAGGATCGAGCGGGATGAGCTGGACCAGTAGAGTGAGGGGAGGCGGCGTCTCTTGCCTGGGAAGCTTCATCGACGATGCAATAGTCGAATCGGATTCGCTTCAGGAGCGCCGAGTGAACGTTGGCACAGGTGGTAGCGATGACCTGGGGAGGATCAACGAGGAGGGGAGGGACGAGTGATCGGGCGACCTGACAGTCAAACAGGAACTCCTTGAGCTGTGCCGTTGACTTGAATCTGCTCGAGTCAAACAGATATGGCTCCAGCTCTTCGGGGAAACCATCGCCCTGCGGCCTGCGGGTGGTGGTAAGGGCCCAGCGGGAGAGCAAGGAGGAGGTTCGGACCTTCCGATGCGGAGGAAATTGACGTTGAGCGATTTCAACTTGACGAGGATGTTGTCGACTGCGCTGTGAGTGTACGCAGAGATGAGAACTCGTCTCCCTCTCTTCACAAGCTCTCGGACAGCAAACGACATTGTCGTCGTCTGCGAGAGGGTCAAGGGAACAAGCGAGGAGTAGGCAAGCAAGGTTGACTTTACCTTCCCCGTCCCAGGCATCCCGTGGAGCAGCAGGTAATCTTTGGCAGCAAGCAGCTTATTGATGAAAGCCTCCTGCTCCTCGTTGAGATTCAAACTCTCTGACGTCCGAAGCTCCGCCTCCGTCTCTTGAGGCACAACCGCATCCTCCTCTGCAACGTTCTCTCAAGACTGAGCGATTTTCCCACACCACCTACCGAAACGAGGAGCAGCGAGGTCTACGACGAGGGACCTTCTCTTCTCGTCCCCATTCTTGGGCAGGAACAGTTTGTAGAGGTTGAAACGGACCCTGCTCCACAAACTAGACTGCTCGTCTTTGTCCAGCCGCCAGAGTCGCTCTGAGAGAAAAAAAGGGTCAATGGAGAGCTAGGAGGAGGAGCAAAATCTCAGGTTCACCTCTTCGAATGTCCTCCGCCAGCTCCTCCTCAGTCACCACAAGCCTTTGGAAGCACACGATGACGCTCGTCTCATTCACTCGCACGATCCTCCCTGACTTCCCCGCGCCTCTCTCATCCTCCTTGCGAGCAGAGACCATGTCGCCCTCGTGGAGTGGGAGGTCAAGGATGGACCTTCGGCTCCACCCGAACTTTTCCTTGAACGTGTCATCGTCTTCATACCGCTTGAAAGTGTAAACAAACTCCTCCCTTCCCCTTCCTGCTTCACATGTCGTTATCAACATCCTCGCGTATCCCTCGCCATAATGTTCGGCTTGCGCGCTCGTTCTTGCCTTGCAGCGTTCCCTGCTGCCAGTCTTGCTCGCTTCCTCGAGCGATATCATCCGCTCCCACTCCGCGACATAGTCGAGATGGGTGTCAGAAAGGTGGGACGTGTTCTCCAAGATGACTTTCCCCGCTCTGCTCACTTCTCTCTCCTCACACGCTCGATGCAGGATGCTGCAGACCTGCGACTGGAAGCAGAACTGACACTTGGACACGTCGGAGATGACGGGAGGAAGGGACTGACGCTTCAGATGAGCCGCAAGCTTGTTTCTTCCCTGCAAGATTCCCTTGACCTCGGGGGATAAGAACGGGATGCCTTGCAGGCTGCCCGTCTTGAGGTACAGGAGCAGACCCGCGTGCTGATCATCGTGCAAGTTCGGGTATCGCTTCCTCATGAGCAGCGAGTAGAGGATCACCTGCGCCCTGTGTGCGATGGAACCTTCTTTGCCGCTCTTGATCTCCAGGGGAAGCATGGCGACGCTGCTGCCCTCCCGCTCCTCCCGATCGTGCAACCGAACCTCAACGGTCGCGTCAACTTGACCCTTGATGCCGAAGGTGCGGGAGTGAATCATCTCCTCGATGTCCTGCACTGACCCGATCGAGAGCTGCTGCCGCTGCCTCCCAAAGTCAAGAGAGAACTTCGTCGCGCCCCCGTCAAAGCGCGATGAGGCCACCTTCTCCACGTTCCCTTGAAATTCCTGCAGGCGATTCTTCGCATCCTCCGAGCTCAGCCCAACTGACAGGAGATCGACGGTGTTGTCTCCGACTGCCTGCTCTACCAGCGATGCAAACGAGTCGTCGGAGTAGCGGCCGCGCTGCAGGATCCCTTGGAAGACTGTGTGCGTCATGTTACCGATGATGGCACTCTCGTTGAGCTCCGAGTCTCTGACCATCTCGCTCAGGATGGCGCGGCGATCGCAGGTGAAGACATCGCCGATCCTCGTCGCTGAGATCATGCAGTCGGGCTCGACGATCAGCACCAGGTCGCTGGTCTGGTCGTCGAGCTGCAAGAGGTCGGGGGTCGGCTGGTTGCTCAAGGAGACGAGGGAGACCTTGTCCCCGGCCTGCAGGCTCGTCTGCGACCAGCTCCCTCCCAGGGACATCTCGACGAGCTCGGCAGTCATGAGGTCTTTGAGGGAAAGCATCTTGGACCCGTCTGATGTATCCGCAATCTCCTCGACCGTGAAGAACCTTTCACCAGCATCGCACGGCACATTGCCGTCACACTCCCGCTTGCAACCCCCCTGGTTATCGACAGGCTGGTCTGTCATGCTCTCAGTCTGTTCAGTCGCAGGATCAACAGGCTTGCCCGAGGTCTCCTTCTTCTTCTGGTAGTCAGACACGAGCGAATCAACCAGCGCAATCAGGTCGTCGTCCATGTCGTCCTCGAAGTTCAGCTCGCAAGTCTGCGCATCCTTCTTGTCTTTCGGGGATATCACGGCCTTCCCTCCTCCTCCTGGCTTCCCGCCCTTCCTCCCCTCCTGCACTTTCACCTGGTCGTGGCACATTTCTTGAATCCTCGAGGCCTCGCACACGTTTGACTCGCTTCCTTCGCTCTTCTCTTCCTGCGCCTTCCCCGAGATCCTGCTCTTCAGCCCGTCTCGTGAAAGGGACTCGAGAAGGTCCTCAACGACAGTCGGGCTGCTGTCCATCGAAGACTTGTCACTCCAATCTGAAGGAGAACAAAAACTCCTCTGGTCCCGCACACTGTTCTCTTCGCCCCTTCTGGCCTCTGGAGCTCTCCGGGACCTCTCCTGAATGTCATCCCCATCCTCGTTCCTCCCCTTGTCCGAGCTGCGGAACTGATCGATGATGTGCTTCATTTTGTTCGCCAACGCCTGATCCCTCCGGATCTTCTTGGAATCCTGAGCATCCTTGCCGCTGGCCGGTATCATGAGGCAAGTAGGGATCCTGACGCGGCTCTGAGACTTCTCCTGCGACTTGTGGAACGTCAAGGGGACTGGAGCGGCAAAGGAGGATCTGCGAGCTGCCGACGACTTGATCAGCGAGTTCTGTTTCCTCCGGGTGCTCTGGGCTGAACTGCTCTCCTCGTTCTCGAAGACTTCGTCGGCCTCCTCTTGCTCGAGCAGGTCGAAGATGTCCTGGGAAGGGGAAGGTTCTTCGTTCTCCTCTCCAACCCCGAAGGAGACATGGTTCGAAAACTTCATTGGAGTCGCGAAGGCCGTTGACTCGTCGGAGCACAGCCCCGGCGTCTCATTGGGCCATACCAGATTTTCCTTCTCTCCGACAGGGTCTTGATCTACCTTTCCCTTTTCCTTGCGTTCACGCTTCTTGACCTCGTCCTCTCTCCCTCTACCCTCCATGTCACTCTCTGCTCGACCAACTTCTGCCAGCTTCTCATCCTCAGACCTCCTCGCCTCCGATGTCGATGCCCTTGCTGCCTCCTCTTGTGGATGGTGACTCTCCACTTCCAGCGACATCTTGACGTCAACCGTCTGCTTCGTGTCGATACTGTCAGGTGGTGCATGCTGAGAATCGGAATCAGGTTGTAGCAGACCCTGCCTGTCTCCTCCCTGCGACATGGGAGCATTCTTAGGTTCTATCTTGGTGCTCACAGTGAAGAACTTGTTGATAGAGGTTTGAGTGCTGTCTGGTTCAGTCTTCAACTTCTTGCCCCTCGTCTGAGTGAGGGACAGCCTCTCTAAGATGCCAAGAAAGAACAACGTCAGAAGGAAGCATTCGCAGGCTGAAAATGTCTTACCTTTGGTCTTGCTCTGTCGTTTCATGGTATCGCTTTGCCTTCACTTCATAGCATCGCTGCGCGCCGACTCTCCGAGGGTCTAGCAGGAAAGCAGGAGCGAGAGAGACGGGATAAGAGGCTTTAGATGAGCATGACGCAAGAGGGAAAGCGAAACAGCTCCTTGTGCATGGCCGACTGTTCTCGCCTAATCACACCATGAAGGGCGCGTGGCGGGAACAGAACGAGGAAAACTGGGGTAGGGGTATCTGGTGAAGGGTGGTCAACTTACATGAGTGAAATATAGGAGGTAGGGTTACATAAGTACCTGGTCATCTTTAGTTAAAGACTTGGTAAATTTAGCCGGTGACAATCAAAATTCTGAGGGTCATCTCATGATGGTAGGGGTATACTTCCAGATGGGTAGTCCTGGGTGGGTAGTCTGGCGAATGGATGAGGGCCATTAACCTTCGGAAGGAAATTCAAACCGGCGTGTAAAACATCACAAGCGTCAAAAAGCGTGTATTCAAATAAGAACAACATAGCAGCAACAGTATCTGACTGACTGAGAACATTGCTGGGAGTAGCATGCTTTCTGTTGAGAAAGCAGATGTCCAGGCCTCACACATGCCTTCATGTTATCACTTGTTCCTTATAGGTCTCTCCTACCCCTTCAACCTACAACTGTAGATGAGTCGAAGTTTTTCTTTATTCGTATCCGCTGCATGTCTCAGGCCAAGAAGGAGGGCAGGAAAAGCATCCGAGGGGTCCAACATGAAGTAGAATCAGCTGCTACTCTCATTCTTCCATGCGAGCGCCGTTCCCCAGCATCTACTCGAACTCCATGATGCACTCATCCAGCGCCAGGTTCTGTCCGACTTTCGCATGAATCTTCTTGACCGTCGAGTCCTTGGGCGCCCGCAAGACGTTCTGCATCTTCATCGCTTCGACGACACAGATCTCCTGCCCGGCTATCACACTTTCGCCCTCTGTGCAGACGAATCAGTTGAGGGAGTCACTTAAGGTAGTCGACCTTTGACGGCGATGGAGTGGAGCTTGCCGGGCATCGGCGTGCAGAGATGTGAAGAATGATCGACTTCCACCTTGACTGGCATGTACTTGGACAGTTCTTCGAGCCTCTCCGAGCGAATGGTGATCTTGTATGGGCTCCCGGACATGGAGAGGATATAACTAACCCACCAGTCAGCTCACATGGACAGAGGGCTCAAAGAAGCTACCCCGAGTTTGTCTTCTCAAAAGCCTGCACGATCCTTACCATCCCTGTCTCAGTGCATCTGCCAATCTCTGGATTACTTCTCCTCCTCAACCATCAAAGATCACTACTTACTTGGCCAGGTACAACCCCGAGTTGCTGGGGAGATCAGCTGTGAGGACTCTTGGGACACGGTCTTGGATGGTGATCACGAATTCAGTGGAGATGACGTCTCCAAGCTTGGGACGCCTGGCCGCAATGTGCAGTCGTTTCTTCACGACTTCTCCCACAGTCCCCTCGATCGTCACAACCAGTTCCTGGACGTTTCTTTTCAGCACGATGCCGTCAGGATGTCACGTTTACCTGCTCGCCGATGATGTGGTCGGGCGACATCACGCTGACAAGAGCAGCTCGTCCAACCGTCTGTCTTCCTCCAACGTGGCTTCCCTCTGGCTGAAGGAAGATCTTGGCCTGCATGAGCGTCATACTCTGAACGCCTATAGACGGGAGCACTCGCCTGCTGCTTGTGCTGCATGTGAAGCATCGCAGCGATGGCGCTCAGTTCGTTTCCTTCCAGCTCCGTCAACACATGCCTGACAACATAGGTTGTCAGTAAATTCTTTCGAGGATTACCGGGCAGGCAAACTCACCCTCGGAAACCAGGGGGAGGATATTCTTGAGCAATAAAGTGAGTTGTGAGATCGCCCGACTATAGTTCAAGGAAAGATGCGTCAGAGAAAAGTATTTGCTTTCACCAAGTACCATGAATCGAGGATTATCCATCACATCTCTCACAAAGTTGATGTTGCAACGAACTCCTTTGACGACGAAGGCGTCCAGTGCCGTCTTCATCTTGTTGATCGCTTCAATCCGAGTTGGAGCGTGCGTGACAAGTTTTCCTATCATTGGGTCGTAATGAATGCTGGAAACAAGTTTGCTTAGTTGTCAATCATCCAGATTATCCACTGCCTCTTACCTAATCTCACTCCCTTCCTCGACGCCTGCATCAATGCGAACAACGCCGGTCTCGTCTTCGTACTCCTCAGGAGGGATGTATCGATGGAGTACTCCGACCTGACATCATCACACCATCAGCCATGAAATGTCTGAGACTGAGCAGGTCACCGATGGGAGGAAGTTCCTCAGGGAATCTTCAGCATAAATTCTTGATTCCATGGCCCATCCCTGAAATTCAGAATCATTCTAACGCGAGGAGTACGAACAGTGAAGGAGGACGAGAGTAACCTTAGGTCTGATCTCATCTTGATGTATCTTGAGTTTCTCTCCTGCTGCTACGCGAATCATCATTTCAACCAGGTCGAACCCTGTCACTAATTCTGTCACTGGATGTTCGACCTGAAACACAAACATCAGAAACCCATGGATACACAGTAAAGCAAAGGACCTGCAATCTTGTGTTCATCTCAAGGAAATAGAAGTTGCGATCCCCATCCACCATCATCTCCACCGTTCCAGCTGAGTGATAATGAACGGCTTTAGCTAGCGAAACTGCTTGTTCTCCCATCGCACGCCAAGTTTGCTCATCCAGGAAGGGACTTGGCGCCTCTTCAATGACTTTCTGGTTTCGCCTCTGAATCGAGCACTCTCGCTCCGGCAAGTAGAGGACATTCCCATGCTTATCTGCGATGATCTGAATCTCAATGTGTCGTGGTTGTTGAACAAACTTCTCTATGAAGATCCTGTCATCACCGAAGGAAGCTGAAGCCTCAGCTTTTGACAGGCGGAAACCTTCGGCCGCCTCTGCGTCATTATGCGCAATACGCATGCCCTTTCCTCCCCCCCCAGCAGAAGCTTTGATCATCACGGGATAACCGATCGCTTTCGAAACTCGCACTGCGTCGCTTTCTGTCAAGATGAGGCCAAGTTGACCAGGAATCGTGTTGACCCCCGCCTGAATCGCCAGCTTCTTGGACTCGATCTTGTCTCCCATGGACCGAATAGAGAAGGGACCCGGGCCTATGAAAACCAGTCCCTCCTTCTCCAGCCTCTCAGCAAAGCCTGCATTCTCAGACAAAAAACCGTAACCAGGGTGTACAGCCTGTGCGCCTGTCAACTTCATGGCTTCAACGATGGCATCTATGTTCAGATAAGACTGCGAAGATGCGGCAGGTCCAACACAGACTGCTTCATCACAAGCCTTCACATGCACAGCCCTTGCATCTGCTTCCGAGTAGATCGCAACCGTTTTGATTCCCATCCGTCTCGCAGTCTTGGCAACTCTGCATGCTATTTCACCTCTGTTCGCAATCAGGATCTTGTCGAACGGAGGTTTTTCCGCTGAGACAGAGAAACTTCTATTGCCGAGAGACCAGTTGAGCACTCTGGACGATAGGACGCTGAGACTTCGCATTCCGCTTGCCGACTGCATTCCCCGCTCTGAGACGAAGAGAAATGTACATCTGACTGCAATTCTCTGACAACCAGCCGATTGCCTCTGGCCAAAAACCTTTTGACGAAACATGGCTGCTGCAGCAACACAAAGGCACAGCGCCTCTCAGCCCTCGATCCCTTCCTGCATGCAATCATGTTCAGTGGTAGAAGTGCGTAACGTTGTTGGATCGATCAAGGTGAACCAGACAAAGAAAACTATGTTGCAATTCATCGTCATGATCTTCTGATCTATTTCCTGATTCTTTATGCTCTTCATTACTTTCTTCTTGCCCGAAGGTCCCTTGGCATTTCACCATGACCATATGACCTTAACATCTCCTTTCTCCTCATATCCTTGCTTCTTCCCTTGTTTCCCTTCCTTCCTCTGATCTTCTCCGCTTTCTTCTCTGACCCTCATATCTTCCTTCTCTTGGCGCCTTAACATTGCTTCTTGCTCGTGATCTTTTCCTTCTCCGCACATCTCCTCGTCTCTCCTCGCTCATGTTCATATCTTCGCATCGCCACTCCTTGTCTCGCATCTCCGCGGGATGCAACAACCACGAGAACCGGCCCCCCTGATGCCACCCCTTTACCCCCAAACGTACCCCTATACATCATTCACATGACCCTGGTATTTACTTCAAAAAGTACCCACCAATCCGCAAAAATTCACCACCCTACCCCACCATTCTTGCAATACCTACCCCACCTTCAAATTCCTTCACAATCTGTCACTTGGTCCCCCATCATCTCTGGTCACATCACAACCCTACCCTACCTCTCACATTCGGAGTTCACTACCCCTAAAGATTCGATTCAAGTACCCCACCTGTGCATAAGCCATTCAGCCATACAACAAAAGGACCGGTGTTTGTGAAAAATACCCCCACCCTCTGTTTCAATGGTAAATGTGGCGGTGGGCTGAAGTCGACCAGCGGCTCTTCACGATGGCACAGAAAAGTGTTTGGTTGATGAGCGGAGCAGCCGCTGCGGCGATGATGATGGCGATGATGGTAAGTTCAGAAGATGATATTATGATACCTGATGATCAGGATCATGCTTAGAAGTCATTCCCAGAAGTAAAGGAGGGTTTGACTGAACAGAACAGAATTTGACGATGGAGACAGTGCGAATTGAAAGTATCGGACTTACATGAAAAAGGAATGCTGTCTACGTACTGATGTGTGAGATAGTTTCACAGTGGAAGACTTTTGATTCGCGGAAGATAGATCCAGGAAAAGAATTGAGGACGCTGATAGACTTTTACCAGTGTGTTTGTTCCGGGTCTGTAGGCCATACTACGAAGAAATGAAGTAGGGCAAAGGCAGGAGGAATAGAACTAGCGAGGAGTGCTGTGAAAGACCAGCCATCTCATTCCGCGTTCTTCCTGCTACAGGTTTTGTCTGGAGTGAAGAGAACTTCTCTTCTGCAGAAGTCAAAGCTGGCTTCCTCTGGTGTCGATCCGCGCGAGGTATACCCTCTTCCATGTCCTTACATGCGCTCACCTCTATGGAAACAGGCTGGATCCTTGATCTACGCTATTGAAGGTGAAGTGGCAAGAGACAATCTACAGAGATCGATGGATGAAGCCAACAAAGAGGTGAATGCGACGACTTATGTTTCGAACTCTGATTATCTCGTCAGCGAATGATGGAACGTCAAAGGATGCTCGACCGCCAGCGACAGAGGGTGAAATTGCATTGGACGATCATGTGTTTGTGATGTTGGTTTAGGATGAAGAAACCGATGCTCGCATGTTTGATGCTTGCAACCGCAACCCTTCCTTGCCTGGATGCCCGTACTACCCCAAGCCGTCGGTGAGCGAACGTTAGGGATTTTTCTACATGGCTGATCATGTATGCATAGCGTGGTTTCGATACCGTTGACCCCGCTGCTGGTGAACTTTGTCACCAACTCCTCTCATCAATCTGACATTGGTCATCAGCTGGTCCTCTCGTGTACGCTGTGTACGCTCAAAATGCCCGTGACAACCTTAACTACATGAGGAATGCTGAAAAGGACGAGGTTGATCTTTCAAAACTTAGACATGATTTAATATTTACCTACCATGAACAGGTCATGTACGACAGATACCAACAGGATGTTGAGCGCTTTGAGAGAGAGGTGTCATGTCCACACCATGTCAATGATTACAGGATGACGCTCTCTTGCATCAGATGGCAGTAGCTGAGAGGATGATTGATGCCTGCAACAGAGATCCCTCTTTGGCTGGTTGTACTTGTCCCGTTGCACCAGATCTGTCTTACGTTGTGAACAGGATGCCCGTACTATCCGAACATTCGTCCTCCTACGTGGCCTAGCGATCCGACCAAGGACGGGGATCTCATCTATGCCAAGGGAGCTTCTGACGCTCGTGACGCGTAATGTCCTGAGACATGTGGTGTATGATCTCTGAGGTATGTGAGCAGCTTGGAGCGCAACCGCCAGGAGAGTGAAGACTACATGAGGTGGGTTCATGACCAGGAGGCGGCTGAGGCTGCACAGCGCAAAGAGGCCGAGGCAGAGCGCCTCAGGATCAGCTGTCAGCTCAATCCATCACTTCCAGGATGCCCCTACTAGATATTTGACATACGCCTGCGGGAAGGGAGGTGCGACGGAACAGAATGAAATTCAGCTGGAGATGCACGCTTCTCTGTTGTTTCTCATTAATTTCAGTTGTGCAGCAGAATACACTAGATCAAGCTTCACAATTAAATAGATCAAAAGATACACGTTGAGCCCTCAATCCTCCCGACAACACCAAACTGCCCTTTTCTTCCAGCAGACATCGCCACATTGCACCTTCTTCAGAGGTGGAGCTTTGTCGCCTAGTTTCGCACGTTTCTCCTTCTGTTCTTCTTGGTCCAAAATCATCTTGTCCTGTTGCTGCATTGCAGAGATCATCTCAGGCATATCATCATCGTAAGTTGGGATTGTGGCATGCGAGCTATCATCGTCGACGAAAGAACGCTGGTAACAATCTTCCGGTGTTACACATGGAGATCCTTCGGCTTCATTCTCCCTTGTAGATGATTCTTCTGCCTGAAGTCCATCACTTCCCTCTGTATGTTGTTCATCCTGCTCGGCCGTTTCATTCTCCTGAGCTGGTTGCTCGCTTTCCCCGGTCATTCCACTCGGTGAAGCCTCGTTGTCTGTTAACATATTCCCTCTGAAAGCAGTAGCGCTCGTCTTGATTGTGCGTGTTTTCAATTCATGGGACAGCTTTCTCGAGTAGGTGAATCGCGAAATTAGTTGATGCTCTGTTTTAGCATTCTCGGCTCTCTGCATAAGCCGGAAAAGTTGCCTCTCATGAGGAGTTAAAACATGCAGTATTGTTTCTCGCGACTTGTGCTGTGTTTGCAAGAGTTTTGGCTGCGTAGGAGGATTGAGCAAGCACAGCAATATCAGCGCAGACAAGACTCCAAGCGAACCAACGACCAACAATGTGACACGAATATCTGCTTTCGACTTCATCACAGCCGCGTCCTATTGAAGGTGACGAAGAGCGACCCAGAAACAATTTACGGCTGACCAGAAACAATTCACAACTGAAGGTAGAATGCTTGTATTCCACCACGTGGACTGAACTTTCCTATACTTATCTTCCTCCTGACTGAACGATCCTCAAACCATCCGCTCCTATGATAGCAGCGCTGACATCTCGGCGCCTTTTCGTAGGTACCCCCACCCCTGCCCCCACCCGATAGACAAACCCTGGGGCGAGCCCGGCTGAAAGAGTAACGGATATCTTCAAATATAACGGACAAGCGCCAGATATAACATCGTGTGTGGTAATAAGTGTAGTAAGGATGGGATATATCGAAAAGGATTTTTATCGTAATGAGGAAAAGTATACCCAAAAAAGATGTCAGCAGATGGGCGAAACGAGTTCATATCAATTTTTTCCCAAAGTAGAATTCGGCACTGACCTTTCAGGATGAAGAGACAGACAAAAAAAGAGCCCACCTGGTTTGTGCTGTATGAGTTCGCGGAATCCAGAATTAAAAGAATAAAACAATTTTAGTAAGACAACGCTCCGAAGCCATGTCGGTTGTCAAGTTAATCCATGCAGATCCTACCGGCCAAGGGTCACGGATATACTAAGTGCACTTCTCTTTCAGAAGGCTAAGTTATATACCTTTCCCTTTCACCCAAATCGGTCATCGACAACACCAGAATGAAACAATATCCAAACCGACGAATAAACCGCCCTGAACAAACGAGGTGAGGTCTGCTTCGAACACGGGTCCATATAGGATACAAATCCTCATCGAATACGGGTCATAGTACATATCTTCCTACCCTGAACCCAACACGAGATCTGGATAAATACTTTACTGTCAGCAACCGAAACAGAAATGTGTGCAACGCATCGTTTCAAACTATACCGGTGATTTGAATAATCAAAGTAGGGGTCATCAGAAAGACATTCCGTCCCCCTCTGCATTATTGACTCCCCGTTGCCAGCTCACACACCTTCCGAGTTCTTGCGGGTTCAATGCATACCATGTAATGAGCTTTCCTGGCGAATCCACCATTGTGACTGAATTAGAATCGATCGAGACTTACCTTCATTCAAACATGGCATGACACAAGGGAGCATATCTCAGATTCGTTGTGTTTCTCCTTTTCATCAACACTTCTCACAAGAAACTATCCAATAACCGCAAACATGCGTATGGGTACAAAAGGAACATCACTCCAATTCAAAACAATTTGTCGTATGCACAACATGAAATTCAGTACGTATTTCTCGAGCTTCCTCCTTTTCTTCGTGCTTGTGGCTTGGTGTGAAGTTCAGTGCTTGATTTAGCAACATGAAAACTTCAAAGAAAATTGAATTTGGAGCTATTTGATTCTCACTTCAATGTTCAAAACGATTTGAAAATAAGTTGCTCCCCACATGATGTATTCCGAATTCAGCTTCTGTGCTTGCATTTCATTGCAAGTCTTTCTTTCATGTATCGTATCTATGTTGTTTGACCATAGTTGAACTCGATGTCTTTCGAATGTCTCCATTTATTTTTGTTCTTTGTTGTCTTTTCGCAAATCACCAGGTATGCATCAGTGATGTATCACGTTCCTACACGTTCCTAAAAAGTTTGCCTTTAGTCAGATCGAGGTTTGCAGCTGTAAGTACGCGTGGTATTCCGATCCAACGATTGGTAATATTTCTCCTCCATCATTTCTGCCTTCCTCGCGCACGCTATTTTTCTTCTGTTCTTTTATCTCTTCTCGAACATTACTCATGGCAGCTCTCTCCTTCACTTTCTGAACTCCTTGTCCCGGAGCTATGCTGTGGCTGCAATTACTGCAGAGTTCAGCGTGTCTCCAGACTGCATTTTCACCCATGATAACCTTCCTCAGCCTATCTCTCATACAGCAATAGGGTTTTTTGCTCATTCTCACTCACTGAAGCTTCTTTTGATGTCTTTCATACATAGTAGCTTTGTTCCTTGCTTTCGCTGGAAATCGCCATGCTCAAAAATTAATTAGCTCGATGATCATTCGAAAATCGTTTACCTCACTAGAAATTTCATCGAAACAAATTGACATTAGCTTACCTTTATTCTGGTCTAAAAGCGGGAATTGGTACTTATCCATTATTATTTTGACCGACTGCTTCCAACCGGCTAGTACCCACCTTAAATAGCTGAAAGTACCCACCAAAATATAAGCTTTTTACCGGCTTCGAAAAAGTCAGTAGATGAAAACGTTTTTAAAATTGAAAGATTTCCCTTTCGATTTTTGACGTTTCGATATGAAGAGACAAGAGGTGGAGAGAACTGGAAGGGATCTTTATCGCAGTTTAAAATGTTTTCCTCACCACCCCTAAGGATCAAGGGTAGGTTGGGACTACCCCATTTTTACAAATTTTGAACACACCCTACCTACAACTTTATACGAATTATTTATGTTGTGTGACCGGTTATGAGATACCCAGCCCCACTTATTGTATACCCATCGCAAAGCACCACCCCTGGTCCGTCAGTGCGGAATTTCCTGTATAAAAGATAAACCCAATAGCCCGTTCACAGCCTCCTCCTCCTCAAAGCCACTCACTCTCCCCGCTGACCTTCACCTCTGTTCTCCTTTCTGTTCCTATCAACTCTCAACCCTCGCAGATACCATCATCTTCTCGTCCAATCAACCTCTGTCGTCCTGACTCTCTATCCTTGCTCTCCCTGAAGCTCGTCAACGTCAAGTCCCTTGGCTTAGAACCTGGAACCCCCTCTGCCGTTCTTTTCTGCCCGATCGTCAATAACTATCTTGCATCAAATCTGGTCTTTCTCTCGAATGATCTTTGCCCTGGATTCATTGGTGAAAATTGAGTGCAATTAGATCAAGCGTGAGAAATTGAAACGTTTCTATCGTCAACCAGCTGTGCTGCTTTCATAAGTTCCTGACAATAAGATCAACTTGCTATGGTTTCTTGCAAGCAAACTGATAGTTCTCTTGATGAAGAAATTGCGAATATGCAATGTTCTTCTATGGATATTCAAAATTTCATGGGCGATGTTGACGTCATGGAAGAAATCGCGCTTGCGGACGCGAGAACGGATATCCCCGAGAGCAAAACCAAAGGGAAACGCAGAGTGCAGAGAGCATGTGATGCATGCCGAAGAAAGAAAGTGAAATGCGAGGATACACGTCCATGCTCTAGATGTATCGAAGATGATGATCATTGCCTGTCCAGCACAGACTTGAAGAAATCTCAGGAATCAACATGCAGCGACAACAAACCCCGCTGTCCCGTTTGCGAGGAATCTGCAAGCGGGTCACCAAGACCATGCTGGCGATGTGTTATTACAGGGAATGCTCCTGTCGACGAATTTAGCCTCGGTGGTGGTCCGGATGTACCACAGGACAACCTCTGTGACGGACAAGCCTAAGACTTGGAGCCGTCGTTGTGTTGTGTTTGAATATTACGTCCATCCTTTTATGTGCATGCGTTATGCTTACATATGACTAAGATTGACATGGTTGTACTATACATCAAAATAGAAAAAAACCTCAACATGTCCAGTCAATCCATACCCGCACATGCACCATCTCTGGCGTTGTATGCCTCTATCCACATTCCTTGGCATTCCGCACTGGTTCTTGCAGGCACCATTACACTCTGTTGAACGTTGAAGTTGTTGAGCTTTGGGCTGCACGCTGATATTCAGGATTAACCTACATCAAATTACGTCAGTGTTGCACGCACTTGCGCAACATCGTATCGGCCGTGCACTGGACGCCGCTGAGGACGATCATTCGCATGATTCTGCTTATCATTCCCAGAGGAAGCCGAAGATGAATTGGTCCGTCACAGGACACAGGAGGGATAGTGAGGGGGGGCGACGCCAGGCAGCCAACTTCCTGCGCGACCTGTACCTTGTCCGCTGCCCCTGCATTCCAGGAGCAGAGGACGGAAACGAAATTTTTACTACTGCAACGGGGCGTGACCTGAGACACACTGGTGGTTTCGGGTAACACCGGGTCTGCTAGCTAGCATTTCATGCAGCACGGTACCGCACGTGAAGCTGTGAGGGGAGGACGAGGACGAGGAGGAGCGTGAGAGAAAGTGAGACGCACGAAAAGGAAGAGCTGGACAGAAGATACAATCACGTAGGCAGGCAGGCAGGCAGGCAGGCAGGCAGGCAGGCAGGCAGGCAGGCAGGAAAGCAGGCAGGGGACTCTACAATTGCAGGAAACAAGATAAGGGAAACGGGAACTTTTGGAGAGGAGAAATGGCTGATGAGGGAACAAAAAAACATTCAATCCTTGAGTTCTTCTCGGGTATCGGAGGCATGCATTATGCAGCTGAAAACTGGTCTCGTGCGTCCTCTTCTTCGAGATCTGTGGAGATTGTGGCAGCGTTTGAAGTCAGCGACGTATGCAATCTGGTTTACTCGAGCAACTTTGGAGAGAATCCGATACAAAGATCCATCGAGCACCTTGACGCCTCGTATCTGGATTCTTTTAATGCCGATACCTGGCTGATGAGCCCGCCGTGTCAGCCATACACCTCTATGGGCAAGCAGAAAGATGACCAGGTAAGGATTCAAGTAGTGGGAAGGTGTTGACCAGCTCTCAGGATCCTCGCGCTCGCGCTCTTCTTCATCTTTGCCAGGTTGTGCAAGACATGCAGAGACCTCCCAACTTCATTCTGCTTGAGAACGTCAACAACTTCCAGCACAGCAACAGTCATGACCGATGGCTTCAAGCGCTGGGAAGCATAGGTAGAAAGAGCATGTGCTTGCCTCAAGTTTGTTTGTTGAGCTGAGTTGAGACTGAAAGGTTTCATGGTCCATGAGTTTTTGCTCTCCCCGACACAGTTTGGGATTCCGAACGAAAGGATAAGGTGAAGCGGAAATGGACCCTTGGCTGGTTGAAACGCTAACAGGTACTATGCTCTTGCCCGACGTATCGGGAAATCTTCGTGGAATCCAGACGACATTGGAAAGGTGAAGGTAGGAGGAACCTCTTGATGAGTTTTGAAAAGCTTTTGTACAGTTGCTTCGATACATCCCTGGTCGGGAAGATGTAGTTTGTGCAGCAGAGGAGGTCGAGGAGGTTGCAGGTGAAGACAAGGAGGAGGATAAGATGTCAAAGCATCGGGAGGGAGGACACGGCTTGATCTACGTGGACCTCAACAGAACGAGGGCAAGCATGTTCCAGCATTGCAAGTAGATTTCCCATGAGCAACTTTCTGCAAGTTAAGTTTAATCTACAGGCCAATTGCAGCGTATCTTGACGAGTCCAGCCAAGTTGATTTAACCCCTTACATGGTTGCCGACAACGATCTCATGAAATGGAAGGTACTGCTGCCTCATCTCTTCTATTGCTCTCCCTCCATCCATCCCTCTCTCCCTCCCTCCCTCCCTCCCTCCCTCCCTCCCTCCCTCCCTCCCTCCCTCCCTCCCCTCCCTCTTTTCATTTCTTCTCTTCTCTTCTTCGTTTCTCTCATAGTGCCCCTCTCCAAGCTGCTCACTGCACATCACCTTCCCTCCTCTACAACTTCAACACTCCATGCTCCTCTCCTCTCAGCACGGGCTGCAGGGCTATGTTTTCGACATCGTGACTCCAGAGTCTCGTCGATGTTCTTGCTTCACAAAGTCATACTCCAAGGTAACTTCCTTCCTTCGTGCCCTCGTGACTTCGCTCGCAGTATATCAGGGGAACCGGCTCGTTGCTGTCTACCAACTTCTACGACGAGGAGGGGAGGTTGAAGAAAATGAACTTCATTGTCCTGCCTCACTCTGGCTCGTCAAGGTGTATCTTCGACGTAGAGGATCCATGGAGCATTCAGGATCTCAACGCTATGCGGGGCCTCAAGCTTCGGTACTTCACCGAGGTAACGTGACAAGCACAAGACAGCAGCTGTTGAGGTTTCAAGCAGACTGAGGTGTCAAGGCTGATGGGATTTCCGGAGGAAAGGTTCAAGTTCCCGCAAGAGATGCTCTACCCCAAGTCGCGATTGGGTGAGGAGACGGAGGGTCCGCAAGCTCGAGCGTGACGGGTTGCAGGTTATCGCATGTTGGGGAACAGTCTGAACGTGGAGGTGGTGGCGTCGCTCTTGGAGTATCTCTTCAAGGAAGATTGAGGGGTGAGAGGAAGAGTCTCAACGACACGGGAGAGCAATTAGAAGCCGTGATTGCCGTCAGCATTGAAAAAAGATCATCACTGCTACTGTCACGTTGTCTTTGGATCCCCGCTCCAACGCCTGCTCGTTGATCATGACCCGCCTCCTCCTGCATGCTGCCTACCGTAGACGCGATCTCTCGTGCAGCTGCACGAGCCGCTCGCTCCCCTGCCGCGACCTTGTCGCCCATCACATCCTGCAACGGACGTCATACGACTAGCCCGATGAGGACACCATGAACCTCAGCCGGCAGGGCATGACGACGCGCAAGGTCGACCGCCTCCTGGTTGTTGAGAACATCCCAGACCTGGTCGAGTTCACGTTAGCCCTTACGAACGATGTCGATGCGTCATAGCAACCCCGTCGCATCCGATGATGAGGAACTCGTCATCAGCTTCGCTCACGTGCTCATCAGTCCTGCATCGGCTCGCTCGCCCTCCCTCTCCATACCGGTCAGCTTCGTGCTCGTCACGTCTGGAGTCCCTTCAACGTAGGAGACGGGGACCTGAGCTGAGATCAGCGGGGGGGGACAAGGGGGGAAGAGAGAAGTATTGATGACCTTCCACGGGACATCGCCGAGAGCTCTTGATACCGCAAGCCTGAAACGAAGCATCATGCCAGTCGTAAGATGAGGAGCTGAGAGATATTCACCCGCGAAATGCTGCGATGCCGCTGCCGCCTATTACCCTCCAGCATCCTCGCCATTCCACCTACGAGTGTTCAATTTTCGCTGGCGCTCGAGGCTGGAGGAACATACTCTGCCATCCAAGCTCTCGATGCGAGCTTTCTCTGACGGAAGGTCGGGCTTGTGATCCTCTGAGAGCGCCTGACATACTCAGATGAGCCCCAGCAGGCCACGGGACCTTCACTGGACCTGTGCGAAGCCATTGCGGCAAAGAACTGCTCGACTATCCCCCAGGTTGGCGACGTGAAGAACGTCTCCCAGCAGGAGGGCAACATTGGCCGTCGAACCTGCAACAAGAAGAATCAGCAGCCATAGGAGCGACAGGCTCACATGCCTCCGCTCAGACTTCCTTCCATCGTTAACGACATGATCTCTGAATCTAGTTTCTCGAACGCGTTTATCAAAGACTTCTTCACTGCCTGTTCTTAGCGTGAGCAGCTCTAAACTCGCAGTCACTTGATGCACCTGGGTGTCAGGAGTGAGAGGGCTGCGATACCATGCTTCCAGCGCAAGCAGCGCCGGCATCCTTCCAGCTGCGTAGTCAGAGATCTGCGATCCGCTATGCCCATCAAAAACAGCACAGAAAGCTCTCGCTCCTGAGAGCTTCTCTTCGATCGACTTGGGATAGAAGTCAGGCACGAGGACATGCTTGTCCTCCATCTGCGGTCTCAACCCCTGTTCCTCTGCAGCTCCCATACACACCAACTTGCATCTGAACGGCAGGTTCGTGGCAGGCGCGGGTGCTGACGCGCATGCCTGCTGGACCTTGTTGGCGGCGATGTGGTCGAGCTCGCCGAGGAGATCTTCAATCTCGTCGCCTACGTCACTTTGATCCCAGCTCGCCTCCCTCTTGGGAGGTGCAGGCGCCTTCAACAGGACGGAAGGGACGGCAGGAGCGGGAGGAGCGGAGGGAGCGGAGGGAGCGGAGGGAGCGGGAGGAGCCTGATGTTTCGGGGTGTTGTTGATTGTCTTCCATGGGCGGATGGGAGAGCTTTCGATGTCATCTAGCTCTGACAAGAGTTTGTCGTATTCGTTTTCTTCTTCCATCGCTGCACTAGCGCGCCATTCCCTGTAGGATATCTATCAGACTCCTCCCCCTCCTACCCTTCACTGTTCCAAGTCCTTCCTCTCCTCCCTCTCCTTCCTCCCATCACCTGACTGTTCGCCTCCCTCTCCTCCTCATCTCTCTCCACCCTCTCCTCCCTTGCTCCACTCATGACATGATTCCGCCCCCGGTCAGGGCAAACATTGACCACCCCTCCGGAATGTCCCCTCCTCCCCCTCCTTGCTGCTCGCTCACAGCCCAGCTCCACGGGGGTGGAACTCCTCTTTTACCGGTATTAGGACGGGTACTTTTCCAATCCTTTTTACAGGGGTGGGGTAGTAGAATTTGTTGGGAATCGCAATGGCGATCCCGCGACAAACTGTTTCGAGGATGAATATCTCAAGAATGAAAATCTGTACAATGCAAAACAAACATTTTGTATTTAGAGATACATACAAATTGTCATTCTCTATACTTGTTCGCTTTGTACACGTCTTAATTTTTGACATTTTGTCCTTTCTATCTCTTCTTCCGTAGACTTACAACCAGACAAAGTTCGTAAACCCTGAAATCTAGGCATTTGTCCTGTGAATCCTCCTCGTGTATCCAAAGATTGAGTATGTATACGTTTCCGAGATCGAGGTTGGGACCTGCACTCATTCTCTTTGTCCCGTGTTCCTTCCTCTGCGTTGAAAAGCGTCTTCTCCCCGCGTGGTCTGCTAAGAATGATTCGCTTTTTTGAGTGGTCATACACAAAAGGCAGATTGGGATCGAATTTTTTTGAGAGCTCAGTGCATGCTTTGTTGAATTTCCTCAAGAAATCTTTCTTGTTCAAATGACCTATCAAAGACCAGAGGTTTTCAACGCTGTCTGTGCAGAGCGTCCGTGCATTGAAGTCATACTCCTTTTCACCCAACACACCTTTGTTGTTGCTCAAATAACTCTGTATCTGTAGATGTGTGTCCATGGCTACAATCAGTCCTTCGAAGGTTACAGATGACAACCCCCTCATGTGCCTCTTGCCCACCCTCATCCAATCCACATCTCTTAGAAGCCAGGTTCGAGCTCTAAGAATGAGATTTCTTCTTTCAGACTTGGTGAGGCCTCTCTCGTCGAAAGCTCTGTGAAGGCCGTTCATTGCTTCTGCCATTCTTGCTGTTTCAATGTGTCCCTCTGCATTCAGAAGCGATATGGCCTTGCTGCTGAACATTTTTAACATGATATCCACTGATTGAGGGTCCGTGCACCCATCGACTTCCAGCTGCGTTAGCCATGACGAATTCTTCTTGGAAATATCAGTGTACGCAGCATGCCATGTTTTAGCCTCTTGCTGTGCAGTCGGGTTTCTCCCCGAGCCAACCGTGTGCCTGACATTCTTCAGTAAATGATTGATACATGGCGCAAAGAAAAGTAGCTTCTTCGTGGTTGGAGAGATAACAGGGTTTGACAGGTACTCGTTGAATTGAAACCTAATCTTGTTTGGATCAAATTCTTCCAATCCATCTGTGATCAATCGTTCGAGCTCCCAAGGCGTGAATTTGGCTGTTTCATTCTCTGCAACCCCTTGTTGTATAATGCTATCATATCCATACCGTCGGCAGAAGATGTGGATTCTGCTGTACATCTCGTTCAAACAGGCCTTAGTTCTGGTGGCAGGAGAACACTGCAATTTCTTTTCTCTCTGGACCTGCCATATCAATTGGTTCCTCCTCAAACTCAAGACGAATTTCTCTATTTGGGCAAACTCTGCAGTGTTCATGTGCATTATTCCAGATCGAGTTCGAATTGTCACTTGGGACAAGTCAGGTCCATCATATTGGTTCATATTCAGCAAATTGCATTCTCTCTCTACTTCCTGTGCAGTAATGGCTGGTTCAAAGTCGAATACGCATGAAATGTATGATGCGATCTCTGAGCATATCTGTGATATGCTCAGCTTCTGGGCCTCTTGTTTGATAGCCTTCACCTCCGTTATGAATGTGCTTGGATTGTTCACGTAGTAATTCCTGTATATGCAAGAAAACTCGCCGTCAAAAGACCAGACATTGAAAATAATTCCACGCTCGTGAGCCTCCTTTGTAACGGCTTCCAATATTCGAAGACCTTCAGAGGCACTTAAACTTTTGGTTGAAAAACCAATGTACATGGGGACAGGGGGTGTGCTCGCACATCCATCTTGTGCAACCACACTGATGGCATCTTCAGCCAGTTCAGCAACTGTATGCTTGTAAAATTTCTCATTGTACTTGTACAACTCGTTTTGAAGTTCTGATTCGTTGACAGGCAGATCGCCATTCGCCATTCCCTCCAGTTTTCCTATCAATCGAGGAATTTCTACATCCATCTGTTCACAGCCTTCAATTACTGTCTTGAGGTAACGTTGATGTGGTGTGAACCTGACATCCTCTGGAGATTCGCCTCCGGTTCTATGCTTGGCAACAAATGCATTTCGAACCTTCTTGTATGCTTGCTCCATATCACTCTTCCTCTGATGCACACTCTGTTGATCGGATCTCAACATGCCAACCAGCTGTTCGCTGATATAGTGTTCTGTCTTTCCTGTCAAACAAAACTTTTCCTTGCGATCTTCAAGCAGGTCAAGTCGCTGAGCCAAGTCAGGTTCATGACTTGTTATACCCCCCAGATCTGCTTCACATTCCTCAAACACAGAACAAAATCCTGCATTTATCATTGTTTTGTCGATCGCACAACAGTTCACTCCAGTCTGACAATGCTCAGGATTCATTCGACGGAATTCATCCATCATAAATGTGCACACTCTGGACCTATCATTGCCATGCAGTTTCATGAGATGCCTATCTCGTTTCTGAAGAGTGGATGTGGATGGCAGAGGTAAGTTGTGTAACATCTGGTCCGCATCAAAAGTTCCAGTATTTTTGTTCCCCGGCCCTGTGAGCAAGCGATATAGACCTGAGGTGCCGACATTCCAAATTGATGCAGCGAAACTCATGACTTGCTCAGAGTATCGCATGCCTCTAGTGTCCTTTGTTCGAAAGCCTTGTCGTATCCAGTCGCTCACTATGAATGGCATGATGGGGTGTTTGCTCTTCATGCCATCTCCTTCCTGACTGGCGAACATTACGACATCTGAAACTATGTCGGGAAGCTCAGCAGAACGGAGGTTATCCATCGCCCTTTCAACATGGCAGATGGTGAGAAAGCACTTGGCAGTAGGACTTTCGTCATTGGATTCTTCAAGAGACTCATGCTCTTCAAGAATGCTTCGGATGAAATCACGTCTATCCTCCAATGGCATTGACTTGAAGTTCTCGCACATTGTATGTGCGAGGAGAGCGAATGCTGTTTTGATATTGCTGTTCTGGTCTTGGCCAATATGTTCAGGCCTTACATACCTGCATGTGGCATGTCAGTGCTCTGGTGCATTCCAGCTCGCTGGTTACCTTGAGTGATAATCGTGTATTTGCTTTTGTAGCTCGTCAACAGTGTCATAGTGCGAAGTGGCCCAATGTCTGATTTTCTTACACAATGCCTTTTGCTTTTGCCGATGATTCTTTACTTGAATTCGAAGCTTTTGCGCGTCTATGTGCAGCTGGAATTGATCATGATGCATTTTGGCATCTGCTCCTTGTTGAAACGAGGTGAAGTAATGAAGGAAACAATTTTTGAAGCCCTCTGCATTCTGTCCAAAGAGGTCACCTAGAAGCGTCAACTTTGCTCGCACATGAGAAGTGTTGATGGTGTGCTGGCTCAGCTTGAGATAACTAGCCGCTACTTGTAGCAAGCTATCATCCGCGTCGCTTATCTTCAACGTTGCGTGCCCGATGTTTTGCAGAAAATGTAACAATTTCAGCACCAATGCGTCAGTGAACACTGCATAATCCTGTACAGTTTTCAAGTCGATGTCTTTGAAAGCCCGTCGACAACGTGAACAAGCTTTGATGCAGTGTTGAGGGATCGTCCGAATACTGTTCGTACTGTATCTCGTCTTACAAATAGGGCATTCCTCTCTGTCTGCTGTCGTCTTGCTCATGGCAAGGATGCAGTGCAGATTGCCCGCCAAAATTCGGATTTGAATTTCTCCCCATGGCGCGTCATAGATCTTGCATCGTTGCCTTATACCCCCTGCATGACCACCGCCCTCGATGTGCATCGCGGTCGATGGGAGGGGTATTTAACTGAAAATTAGTACCAGGTATGGGCTAGAGGCAGTGGTTGGCCCGCGGATGAGATCGAATATAGTAGTTCCACCCCCGTGGCCCAGCTCCCTACCCCTCCCTTTTCCCTGTCCTCTGCCTCTCACTGAACATGTCTCCACGCCCTTCCCCTCCTACTCCTTCCTCCTCCCCTCTCATCTTCTAAAGCATGCTGAGTTGCAACACAAATTCCAAGACAAGGCAGCACTTGCGTAACAAAGAATACAACTTTCATTGACAAGAACATCGGGGGCTACACGCGTGTAGGGAGATCGGAAGTATCCTTCACCCTGCTCGGCTCGGCCGCTTCACCTCGCTCCACAGGACTGGAGTGTCTCAAGTCACTCCCTGTCTCAGTCTAGTCGCCCTCACCTTCCGTCGTTTTCCGTGCGGCTGTCGAAGGACGCGTGGTAGTTGCCATTCGTCTTCCATTCCCGCAGGAACTCGTCCAGCGGTGTGCTCACGCGGGGAGGAATAGAGAACATGGAGGAGGAGGCATACGAGTTGGCGCTCCGGATGTCGAACAACCCGAGCATCTGTCAGCTCAGTCACCCTTCAATTCTCTTGCCCTTCCAAGTCCCCGCACCTTTGAGATCACAAAGTCCGTCTGCCGCTTCGCATAAGTGTTGGGTGGAACGCAGGAGCCGGCAAGACCCTGCAGGTGCCATTGACATGAGCCGGAGCAAGGCAGTCTTCACCTTCCCCAGCATGAGGTTCGCGCAGAACTCAGCTTTCTTGCGCGAGTCCCTGCAAGATGTGAGTGAGCATGGGCAAGGCGACGAGGAGAAATCGGCGCTCAACCATGGAATCAGGAAGTCGATGATGCCGATGAAGTAGATGAACCTTCCGTTCTCTCCTTCTTCTAGATCTCCGCAGATTGGTCCGTGCAGCCCTTCCCATCCTGCTAAAATCTTGAGCATGACCCAACAGGATCTGCAGCGACCTTTCAATCTGTCTATTCTCGCTTCTCCCTCGAAATCAGTGAAGACAGATAGGAGGTTGTGTCTTAGCTTTCTCTGAGAGATTCGACGGTCAGTCAAGCCTGATTCAAATTCCTTGAGAGAAAATAACCTTAGACGGTTTTGTTGCTTCATTTTCTGGAATGAAAATTCTCAGAAGAGGAGAAGACCAGAGCAGCAGAGCAGCTTACTTTTGTTCTGAGCAAACTTCTTCTTCTCAATTACAAATCTTTGGTTGCATGTCAAAGTCACGTTCAGTCAGCTAGACCAAGCACCTCTTCTTGAGCTCGTCGAAATCGATTTCTTCCTTCTGCTGCTGGGTCATCGCAGGGGCGGAAGAAACTCGAGTGAAGGAAGGGAGCTCTATATCCAGGTCATGGTGAGCGTTTGTATGCACCTGCCACGGGGGGGGGCTAGGAAATTTGTTGAGATTGCTCTGAATTTGCGTGACGTAAGTTGGATTAAAAACAAAAACGAGGAAGTAAAATTTCCAACCAGGCTGGAACGATTTGCATCTTCAACATTCTCCATTTCGGAGATCTCGTTCATTCCGTTTGGTGTCAACCTTGACAGGTCATCGAGGTCCCTCTGGTCATCAAGTCAGCGAGTCCACCCTGGTCGACCAGCACGTCTGGATCACCTTGATTTGATACGGAATATGCGCGCTCGGCAAGCAAGAATCAACCTCCTGAGCAGGGTGAGGAATGGAAGGCTGGCTAATCATGATGCCTGTACCTCAGACAAGACTGCATGACCCTGATTGCTGATCTCCAAGTCGGTTGTTCTTTCAAGAGAATTTCTCACCGAGGTGTCAGCAGGGGCTGCTAAATCAGAGATTAGATGGCGAAGATTTCTTATCAAAAATTGTTTCAACGTGATGTCTGTCCATTCTGGTTCACCAGTGGCTTGGGCTTCAAGTCGTCTAGTTTGATGGATGAAGTCCCAGCAAACACTATTCGAACTTCAATTCGTTGTAACACAAACCAGGAACAAGTAGCAGATACCTTTGTGACTGAACGTTTGCGCGAACTTCCAGGGTTTCTTCTCCTGGCCTGACCATATGGGCTTTACTTCCTGTTTGGATGCTTCTTTCATGTTCTTAATCGCCCGAATCAACGGAAGAATTTTCTTCCTCAGGATTCCTAGATGTTGAGATCAGTGTCTGCTGACCTCAACCCACGCGCATTTACCTTGTAAAAGCTTAACCCCTCTGAATTTTACACCCTCATCATTCGACGCTCGATCATGGATTCCGATGAGGATTGAATAATCTAACACGCTTTGTTTCTTCAAGAAACGTGAGTCTTCTTCCAAGGCGTATGCCTGTACAAACACGCCCTGTCATTGTATGTGCAGAATAATTCCAAAGTTTCGAACGCACCAATGAGCGTTTCAGCCCAACAGGTAGATGTATTTCCATCTTTTCGTTGATCCAATCATTATCTTTTCGAACGGAATCGCTTGGGTTGGAAGTTCTTCCATACGTGCTGAGATGTTTTGTCAGCATGTTCGATATCGAAATGTTGTTGAGTACGATCTTACCTTCCTTTTACATCATACTGTTTGTGAAGTCCAAGATCTCCCGTGTCGAATACGCTGAGAGCAACAAAGAAAAACTTTGGGACTTGGTCCTTGCTCACAGAAACACGATATAATCCACATATTCTCATCAACAAAGATGGTTTCTGACTGATATGATTGAGATATTCAGGAAGCATCTTTATCATCTTCATCGCTTCTTTCCGCGAAATCGTCTTGATCAAAAACTTTCCTGAAAACCTGTCAATACTTTTTCACCTCATCGATCAGAGCACCATCGTGTGAAAAAAAGAATAATTCGCCCGATTTGCTATTCGTCTCGAACTCAATGAATGAGAAACTTGTTTTTGCAACAGATTGCTAGAAAAACATTAGAAGGATATGCGATGAAGACCTCATCTCGCACCTTGTATTCTTGACTTGAAACTTGGCATAACTTTCTTACTTCTTGAAATAATTCTGGAGCTAGCTCTACAAACCAAAGGTCCTGATCATCGCCAAGCAGATGCTCCTGAGAGAATTTCGTGCCTTTGGAGGGTAGATCATACTTCAGGGACATTGCAGACAACGCCAACATAACGAGATCAGCAGAGAATTCGGTCTCGCAAAATTTGCGCACTTCTTGCACTAGAAGCTTTTCAGTATTATATCCGTAATCTCTCAATTCGCTGGCAACTTCGTGCACAAATGGTCCAAGACCATACATACAGTGACGGTATAACCTAAGGCCTTCGGCTAGTTTTATGGAGCAATCCAAGCCAACAATCATTGCATAGGCTAGTCGATAATTTCTGCTTTCAGCATCGACCTTCTGAGCACCCTGCAAGTTTTTGGGTCTGCTTTTGAGTTTCGAGGCAACGTGAGCTGATGGCTCCTTTCGCTCATTGGCCCAGCTCATCCTCCGGGAATGCATGCTCCTTGACTTAGAGAACGGGCTCGAAGTTTTGAACCTTTGCCAGTCACCTTGCAAGACCTCCAAACACTTGTTAAGAATCTCCTGAGGTCCGTCTGTGATCGAGTAAAATTGGTCGTCGCTCCTACACAATTGTTGATGTAACAATTTGATGTATCCCAAAATGGCAGTCTGATGAACAGTTCCAATGCTTGTAAACAAATTTCGATTCATGTACGAATGGACGAGCTGGACCAGAAACATTCTTCCACAAAAAGTATAGAGTCTCGTGCAAGTTCTGAAGAACTGTTCCTGTATTTCAAGAGAATGACGGGAATCAATTCGTGCGTATTCCCACATTTCATCATCGATGGTCCAAACAATGAACTCGGCCATTCGTATACTGTCGTCCAGTGGTATTCGACCAGCATCATTTGCGTCATCGTCCACTAGCTGCTTGTTAGCAAGGCAACATTGAGGTACACACTTTGAAACACAATTCAAAGGTGGGATCTGCATGGTTCTAATACAACTATGAAATCCTTAGATGAAATCTTTACAATTCCCCGTTGCTATCAGCGCCGAATACATGAACGCTCGCAGGAGGAATAGTGTACAGGATTCCAATCTCCTACTTTCCACCATGCCTTGGTTTGCGACCCTTGCTATGCGCCATCAGTTCGCATTGCTTCGGGCGCCATAGCCCCCCAGTACTATCTAAAGATACCCCACCCCCATGTGACAAGAACCTACCCACCACCCCATGCTGACAGCCGTGTTTCCTCACACTAACCCTACCTACTTCTACAGTCATGATTCTCTTCGGACCGACCCCTCATCTCTGACAGGATACCCCCCCCCCCCCCCCCGGTAGTAACTTGTGGTGGGGCCTGCTAGTTAGGTTCAATATCCAGACTACCCCTACCCCTGTACCAGGACTACTCCCCGTAACTTAGGTCGATACAGTGACCCCTACAAGATCAGGCAAAATGACCGGTCTGGAACCAGCAAGAGCGACAAGATACCTACACCCCCAATATCCGCACCACCCTACCATCACAGGTCGAAGAAACCCACCCTACTCTACCCTACCTGATTAAGAGGTGCGGACTCTCAGAGTCATTTGTCCTCGAATCGCTGCCTTCCCAGTGACTTCCATTCAACCTGCTGTCTAGCTTGGGTCCATGCCTTGCCAGCGTTGCTGGCTGTCCGTCTGTTGCTTGAGTCCTTCCTTCTATCCTCCCGCGTCTCTTTCACTTTGATTCTCCTCGTCTTGCTCACTTTTACATCTGTCTTGCACGCTTGCAATCTGTCTTTGGATCACTTCACTCGGTTGATCTCTATTTGAACATCCAACAGTCATTTTTGGTAAACAAAAAGACTATGTAGGCAAGCAATCTTGCTCGTCAAGAAATGCTCTTTTTGGGAATTTTGTAATGTGCACTATTACTAGTGCAGTTTTTGTTAGGTTCTCATTTCCTTACAGCACTCTGCGTTCATAATCTGAGATTATAAAACACCACTGTGCATTTGCTATCTCATTTTCATGCAAAACGATCAGAAATTTGATCAGAATGTTTGATCAATCAAAGAATGATTTGATGTCGTCTTGCATCTTCTGAGCTATGTTATGAGGTTCTCGAATGCGTGAAAAAACTAAGCGAGCTCAATTCTGGTCCCATCATGTGCTCAAGTCAATTGTCACTGTCTGTAGAGTCTGAGACTTGACTCGGTTTTAACTGCATGTGAAGCCTTTGCTGCCAGTGCTACTGCACCGCTATGTCAGAAAGTTGGCAAGCACTAATATCAGCATCTATGGCGACTTAGATTCACCTCTCATCTCAGCAGAATCAAGCAAGAGAGATTTCACAAAGAATGGCATTTGGTTTTTCCAATTTACATCCTCCCACATTCTGTACGGTATTTGAGGTTTCTTGAAAGAAATATATAATCATCGCGGTATGAGTTGGCTGGGCTCATTTTTCTTTTGCTTTCTGTGATAGCCATTACCTTTCTGAATTCAATGAAGAATAAGATCCTTACCTGTGCATTGGCCTTCTTGGCACTCTTTCGGTCGAACGAACAACCCAAAAGAGAGGGAACACCTGGAATATGATCGAATGAGTACGAACAAGGGGGCAAATTTGAATTACCAACGGGCCGAACTTTCTGTACTGGGCCATTGTTGTATATCAAATCGAATCCACCAACTTGATTTTCACTGCCTGTAAGCTTCTTCTCCATGTCTACCACGTCACACATGTCGTCGAGCATTCCAACCTACGAGATTTTGAGCAGAGATGTAGAATTGGGATTTGAACACCTTCAATTGATAATCTTGACTTGTGTCAGCTGTGAGGGAAGGTGATGCATTCACCTCAATGAGCCAGGCCTTTAGGTCGTTATCAATCATCACATCATAGCCGTAAAGCTCAAAGCAATGCTGAATACAAACAAGTCAGGGTCACTTTGAACTAATCATCCAAAGAGGGATTTGCAAGAATCGACACCTTGTCATTCATCATAACTTTCTGCACGGCCAGGAGAGATCTGAGTATCAGCATCTGAATGTCATGCATCAGATTGTTTGCTGCTTCAAGACCTGTGATTGGGTGAGCAGACTGCAGCATTCATAGTCATGTGCGACCGTGTTTCGAGATGAGGAAGAGCTTCATTGACTTGAGTTCCCACTTGCAACCCTTCCAGAGACGTGAATCTATCAGCAAAGAATTGAGGTAATAAATACCTGGTCTTTGTCGTAATTTGCAGCCTGTTTCTGAATGGCAACATTTGTGAGATGAATCGCAACATCTCCGAGGTTGTCCTTGAGCATTGAAAATCTCATATTCGAAAAACGTGCAAATCCACTGCGATATAACCACACTGTCAATGGAGCATAGGAGGTAACCAACGCGTAAATTCTCAAATCAAACTTCTTTCCCCCAATCAAGTAAGGATTTTCAATATAACGTTGGGCGATGTAGGCCTCAACCTCCTCTTCCTTCTTGCCGTACTGTTGCGTGTTTCTTTGTTCATTCGCTTTCTTCCATTCTCGCAAATCCTTCAGATCGTTGAAAAGGAATATTCCTCGCCCTTGAGCTTTTCCAATAGGTTTTGCAATCCACGTGCTATTGGGTTGTCTCTTGAATTCCTCAACGAAGATGTTGTAATCGTTTGGCAGTATAAACGTGACTGGTTTGCAAAATGTCAGAAATTTGACCTCGTAAAATACAAGTGCAAGAACCTGGAAAAAAGTCATATTTGGAGGCTTCTGAGGTTTTCCCTTCCTTCTCTAGCTGTCGTTTCATCCGCTTCAAATTTTTCACCATCAGATCTTTCCTCGTCAACTCATAATGATTGCGAAAGTGATTCACACGCTGGTTTTCTTCGAGTCGTAAACTATCGAAGTGTTCTTTCATCCATGGGATATCAGCCCATACAAAGTCCCAGTCAACATCATTTTCTGTTTCTGTCCATCCAGCCCGATTGCGAAGGGCATCGTAAATGGTGTTGCGCAAGCATGTTCTGTATCTGATCTTCTGATTGGGTCCTTTGCTGCTGGCCATTATCACGATCAAGATCTCATCGCGAACGTGGGCTGTCTTGTCGGTCTGTCTTGAGATGGAGAGAAGAGAGTAGAAGATGGTAGACGTTGAGACTCTTCATATCACAGGGGCTGAAAGTGCAGCGAGAACGCCTTCATCGGAATCAGTTTGGAATCTAGTAGGTCGGTACTTCCGATCGGACCGTCACCAGTCGCGGGGCAGTCGCCGGGCCCGGCCGACTCGAAAGAATCCTTGCAATTCAAGGCTGGCCGGCGGGGCCGGCCGGGCGGGGCCGCCCGGTCACGGCGCGGCGGCGTCACCGTCACGGCGGCACTGTGGTGATTCAAGACCGTGACTGACCGTGCCGTGCGGCGGCCGCACTGGCTCGGATTTTACTTGACCCGGCGCCGCATTGTTCTTCTACAGCTGCAATGAGGTAACTGCGTTTGCTTCGGCTTGCCTTTCAAATTTCAGTCAATAAAACAATATCTTACCATACTGTTTGTCGTCACTTTCCCCGGAGCTTAGGCCTACCGTAGCCTTGGTCCGATCACCGGGTGCTGGCTAGCACTCGGAGCCGCATCGCAGACGGTTATAAAGTTAACGGTATTATAACGGTTGTCAATCAACCATCAAACGTATTACCCCCACCCCACAGTTCCCTTCACATGTGTAGAGCCTACCCTCCTTTTTCAGTGATCGGTTGTTGGATAGTGCCAGGGCGCTCAGGGGTGGGATGGAGGGGGTGGGTGGTTCCCCCAGGATCACTTATGCAGATCGATGTGGTATGGGTGGAACTGAGTGGAAGGAGGAGGGGAGGGGAGAAGAGCAAGAGAAGCAGAGGATTTTGATAGGTAAGGACAACTTCAAAGGGGGCAACTTGACGATATAGCGAGTCAGCGATCAGCAAGGAAGGAGTGATCGTCAGCGCGAAACAAACAACATTGCTGTTTCAGGAAACGTGGAATGCGATTTGATTGAGGCTTCATTGTTTCCTAGGAGTGGTTGCTCTTGTTTCATTCATAAGCGTCGATGATCCACGAAAGGATTGCGATCTGAAATGGGTACAAGCTGGCGCTTGAACGTAGTCAGACCTTGGTCTTGGACTGCTCGAAGAACTGTGATTCTGATATGGAGCCTGTTAGCTGTCCTTCGCGGATGCGGCTCAAGTGGCGAAGATCTGGAGTTGAAACCACCAACGTGTTTGATAGTATCGAAACTGAGATCAGAGATGAAGTCACGGGAAATAGAGAGATATCGTTTGGACGGCAGGATACAAGGAGGGCCGCAGGTAATCTATGTGGACGTCTCCACAGGTGAGCGTAGACGCAATCTGTTCCTATTGCTGTTGTCTGACTGTCTTCCATTCATCGAAAAGCTGGGGGTCTGCAAGCACGATACTTTCATCTCGACCAAGAAGCAAAGTTTGATGTGCTTTCAACAACCAAGGCGACTGACAATTTCAGATTGTATGCGTCTGTTAGAGACAGTGATGGGACCTGTACTGACGCGTCTTCCCTTCTTCTGGAATCTATTTCAGTATCTCTATCTACAATGTACATATCTTTGATCAAAATGTCGGACAATTGGGAATCATTAAGTTTTCCCCTATCGAGCATCGGCGTTTATCCCATACAGCTCTCGGTGCAACCTTCTTGTGTGCTGTCGGCATCCTATTACAACGCTGAGTCTATTCTGCAACTTAGTTTGAGACAAAGCCGTTGCATTCAGAATGGAACTCTTAGCATTAATCTTATGAATCAACCTTCTTCACTGATTCTCAACCACGCTCAAGTGCGTTGGCTGGGATTTTTCAATCCATCGGAAAGTGATTCCTACACCTTTCATGTAGCATTGTCTGATGTTTCAGAACGAATTAAGCTTTGGATCGATAGCTACTTGATTATCGATCAGTGGCATAGTCTGGCCAACGAGAACGTTAGTGGTTCTTTTCAATTCTGGACAAGCAACGTTCTTTTCCAGCTACAAATCGAATATAAGCAGCCTTACGACTCCCAACCCGCAAGTTTAAGTTGGGCAAGAAGTTGCACGAGACATGCTCTTCAACTTGAATCAAACTTGTGGACCAGTTTGCGGACGGCTCAGAACTTTTCAGTAACACCGGGAGCGATAAGCCCGAGATATTCTCATGCAGTTGGTGCTGGTTTGACATGTGCGACGATTGGAATATCATCAACTTTGCTCATAAGGACACGCGACCAATTCAACAATCCAACTGTTATTGACCAGAATGCCCTCTTCGAATATGAGCTTATCAGAGTTGGCACCTCCCTGAATTTGGGACGTTCTAATGCAACACTAAGGAGGCGGATAGATACATGCTATAACAAGTCAGATTGTACCTTCTGGATAAGGCATTCACTCAGTGGTTTCTACACACTTTCGCTGATTTTAAAGTTCCAAGATGGAGAGTTTGTCGTTCGGCCTACTCCAACGCAGTTGTATGTTCAAGGGCCTTACATCTCTGATCGACAATTCAAAATACAAGCCGCTCCGACATGTATAGCTGGGATGGAGTTTTCAATCGCCATCGTGGAATTCTCTGACTCCCTAATCGTTTTGCACAACATCTCTTTTAATTGGAAACTCTCGCGATATGTAGATGATCATTCAGAACTTCTTGTCACTACGTCTCATGGTGAAGCACAAAGTTACGAAAGCATTGCATTTTGGATTGCTCAAGGCGGCTATTATCGGATCGATGTGACATCTGAGTTAGAGAGTGTTGTTAATAGTCCATTTTACTTCACTTGCATTGACTGTCGTGCTTGTTCGCATCAGGTTCAGATAAGAGGAGATGGTCTCACTGTGGCCACGGCCGGAAGTGAAGCGCAATTTTTTGTGTCTTCCACTTCAGAGTCGTTTGACTTGACCGATGTGAAATATGCTGTGAAGATAAGTGTCATCAATCAGACCAAGATATTCCCGTCAACCAACATTCGGGGCAATCTCAGCCTTGTATCTTGGTTAGTAACGCAGAGCTCGTCATATGACCTACAGGTGGGTGCGATGGTTCCAAACTATGTGTTGGCAACGTATTATGACGCTCATGATGCTTTGCAAACGAACTACAGCGGTCACATCTTTCAGAACTGCACAAGGAAAATGTTAGACAATTCATCTTCACCTGGCTTGAACACAATCCAATGGAAAAGTTACATCCAAGGGCCATTAATAGGGGAGATTTACGTGATGCTCGATGTTGGACAAAATGTAGACTACGTGAACATCACAATCGATGGTCATCCTTACTTTGATACATGGATTTTAAGAGATCAAAAGCTGTCATCAAAGCCTGTCACATTCAACAACTTGTCACAGTGGCATGAAATCGATTTTTACACCATTCAGCGATCGATCGATTTCTGCCTTGATCTGAAATGGATTCCAACCCTGAGAGATATCAAACTTTACAAGGATTTTGTGCATTACAGTTTTTTCGGTTTGACTCAGTATTCTCATTCAGCTTTGGTTTATCCTGCTGCAGTCTGTGGATTTTCTTCACTAATACGAGGTTCTGGATTGTCGATTTCTACTGCTGGAATGTTGTCCTTTTTCAAATTGGAGACGAGAGATGAGTTTGGAAATTGTGCTGACTCTCAGTTGAACATTTCAGACATCGAACTGCTGATAGACAATCGCAAGATTGAGTTAATAGGGTTCAATCGTTCTTTTGCATCGCTGTGTCAGTACGATGCTTCATATGCTGTGAGTCGAAGTGGTGAATTTTCAACAAAGATCAGCCTGATTCTGGAGAATGGCTTATGGGCAACTTACTACATGGATCCAATTCTTGGAAGACCATTAAGGGTCGAATGGAACGAAAACGTCAACTTGAGCACAAGTATTTACAGCATGAATGATTTCAAGAGTGTTAGGTGGGAAGGACAGTTAAGATTGGAAAGCGATGCAAAGATTTTAACGTTGAGAAAGAATGCTGCATCTGTGTTGATACAGGGAAATGATGATTGTGCATCTGTCGTCATAGATCGTCAAGAAGCGATCGATCTTTGTCGAGATCAGAGGGGGATTTCGAACAGTCATGGTGAATATGAGTTCAGTGATAAAGCAAGTCAATTGTTTGAGATCGAGATACGATATCAATCACTGTCAAATGAAAAGATGAATTGTCAGCTGGGCTGGTCCACACTTAAGAGTGCTCCCGAGATCATTCCCAAAGGAGCCTTTCGAGGTGCAGTTGCTATTTTGAATTCCCTTCCAGTTACAGTCTTTCCATATCCTGAGCTATTTCCTGCACTCGTGACACATGGAGATGGAATAACGCTCGCAACTGCTGGATTTTCGTCTCAATTTTCACTCAGGTCTTTTGACCGGTTCGGCAACTTGATGAATGATACCAGGATGGTCATGCTTCTTCAGATGGCTGACGTGGCAGATTCGAAGCTAGTCTTCTTGGATCCAGTCGAAATTCCTTACTATGCGTTTAGAGTTGAAGATTCTGGTGACTACAATATGTATATTACCTCCTATCAATTGGGAAATTTGATTGCTACGTTCTACGAGCAAATAGATGGCATTTCAGTCGAAAGTGGTAATGTTATGCTAAATTCAGATACATGTTTATGGGCCATACAGGACATTCAAAGCCTCTTCCCTCTATGCGTCTCTTGCGATTTTCTGGTTGAGATAACTGGTTACCTGAGCTTTGATGTGGTCAAAGAAGGAGTTTTGCAAGCCCATCTTCCAACAGTCGATGATAGGATAAAGCTTTGGATAGATGGAGAAATTTTGATTGATCAGTGGAGTAGTCTCAGCAACCTGCAACTGTCTACTCCTTTCCTTCATTTTGCGAATAGATCCATACAGAGCTTTCGAGTTATGCAGAACCATCCGAATGTAACTGAAGGCCTTTTACAATTAAGATGGTATAATGCAAATCATAGTGGAGAATGCATCACCACAAATAGTATTCTTACGCCTTATCCAGCATCACCTAGCGAATTGATAGCAGTGCTGAAGGTCAATCCATCCATTGTATGCAGCACACTGTCCATCATGAGCGGACGGGGATTGAGTCTTGCAACGAAAGGAAGTTTTAGCACATTTGCGATAATCATGAAGGACGGTTTCAACAATTCCATTTCACCACAAGCTTACGACTTGATGTTGAATTCTTTGGGTCATAATTTGCATCCCACTTTCCTTGGGAGTCTTGATGAAGAGTCAAGATATGGGTTTTTGCCGCAAACCGTTGGGTTTGGAGCAAATGTTTCGTTCAATTACCTTACGAAGGGACTGCAGGCTACATACTACATTGATCAAAATCCTTCGTATGAACTAGCACAGCATAACTCATGTTTGCTGGATTCAAATCTGAATTGCAGGAATTTCAATTGCACACTCCTGCTGTCCGGATACCTGCAGTTTCCAAACGAAGGAACAATTACGATGTTGAGTCAAGCATCAGGTTATGAAAATAGTCTTGAACTTTTGATTAACCAAGTCGCTGTAGTGAAGCAATCAGCCTGTTACGGCATTTGCGATTCATCTGGAGATTTTTTGAGCTTAGGCTCAGAGCTGTATAAAGTTGAAGTGACGTACACGTTTAGAAACTCATCAGGAGCACTTCGTTTAGGTTGGAGAAATTTTGATCGCTATGGAGCTATGACTGAAAGTCGCCTAACATGTACCAATTTCTTCTTGGTCGAAGTAGATCAACCAATAATGACTAGCTTTGCTGTCTTTCCAGCATTGGAGGATTCTTTGGAATGTGATTCCCAAATTCATTTTCCCAGCATAGCTGATTCTGGTGTATCATTTCAAATTTATTTAAAATCGTACGGTGATTACTGCGACAACCTGTTCGCGAATCTTTCCCGTGCAGTCTTATTGCTACAAAACCTCGAGAACAATGTTTCGGGGGGTATACTAGTCACTCTTGTAAAATCAGAGAACGTTTCAATCTCAATTACAAGGAGTGGGCAGTACTCGACTTCTTTATTTCTGACGGTGCCAGGTGGACTTATCGCTTCTTATTTTGACAAGATGCTTTGTCATGAATATCCTTGCACACCAGTTTCAACATCATTAGAGCCTTCGCTGATGTTCTTGTGGAGCGATGAGAACCCAATCATTAAGAACGGGTCGTTCAGCACCAATTCTTATGCTTCTGTCCTTTTCAAAGGATATCTACTTCCAGAGTTTAGTGGCAGTTTGACATTGTTCTTGACCACCAGTCATGAGATCGAATCACGAAGATGTAATTGGTGTCACAATTCAGCTCAATTGTTTATTAATGACATACAAATTTTGAATTCTGACTGGGACTCGCAAGGTCCTGAGTTCACTGCAACCTTGAATGTTGTGGAGAATCAGTTTTACAAGTTGGAATTGTTTTACAGGCAGTACGTCGGAAATGGTACATTAAAACTTGAGTGGATGAGCGAAAATGTACCCAGAGGGCTGATTCCTTCATCTCGCTTGTACTTTCCCCATGAGTTCTCCAAATTCCGTTCGAAAATTTCAATTTTGCCAAGTAATTGCAACCTCCGTAATTCACTAGTCACATACACTTCAATTCTGACTGCAGGATTGACTGCAGACTTCACAGTATCTTGCTTTGATCAGTTTGGTAATCAAGCCTCAGCAAACTTTCCATTCCTTCTGAGTGATGTTGCTTATCAAGGAAACTCGATAAAGTCGTCAGTACTACTGAGCCCGAAAATCGGGACCAACACAGCTGTTGGTGGTTTAAATGTTTCCAAGGCGGGGCTATCGAATATATCGGGTTACCTTTTGCTTCCGGGGATTAGCGTTTTGACACAGAATTGCAATCATACGGACTCAGCGCTATGGACGAGTGGAGTGAATGCATCATTCGAAGACTTGTTTTTTCATACCTGCACGTTCCCATTCATTACAATATGGAGTGGGTATTTGCAATTCACGACGAGCGGAGTACATACGTTTAAGACGGATCTTGGGGTTGGATCAAGCGACCGAGTGAGGTTGTGGATAGATGAATCTCTCGTCATTGACCAATGGGCGAGTTTAAATGTGGTGAGTCCATCAACGGTTTGGAATGTCGAGGCCAATGGTACATACGTAGCATTTGTGCTGGAATATTTCGCATCAACCGATGCATTTAAAATGACGTTTTCATGGAAGTATAGTAATTTTGATTGGGAGATCGTGCCAACAGACTATCTGCTTCATGGAGAAATTTTACCTTTGGCTCCATTTTTGATCTTGGTTCTACCAGGGGTTGCATCGCAGAGGTCTATAGCTGTCGGAGACGGATTGACTTGCGCAACATCTGGCTTACAATCATTCTTCACAATACAGGCCCGTGATAGCTTTCTAAATGTTGCGACACTTGGCGATGACTCATTTTACATTCATTTCCAAGAGGATTTCAAACTTCTTCAAGTTCAAGTTTTTCAGATAAACGAATCTTCATCACAAGTCTCGTTTACTCTTGGTGGATTTGATGGGTTCTCCATGCTTGGGATTTACGTCGATGGCATTAGTCACATTTCTGGCAGTCCATGGGAAATTCGAGTGAAACCCGGTAATTCCTTGTTTTTTGCATGAACGAGGATTCTAACAGGTGATGCAGGTGTTCTGGACTTGATGTATAGTGAGATTGACCTTCTTACCACACTTACAGCGGGGATATATTCCCAGTTTTTACTTTCTGCAAAGGACAAATTCAATGTCACTACTTTAGAAACCAACCCTGCATTGCTAATAGCAAAATTCGATTTGAATGACGGAAGTGGGAGCTCATCTTTTATATCAACATTTCAAAATCTGAGTGCTGGACAATATGCGGCTTCCATAGGCTTCACCAGGAGTGGAAAGTATCTTGCATCTGTAGGAAAGCTGACAGGTTTGCATTTCCTATTCCTTGATAGATTCGTGATTTCATGCGCAGGGTCGGGTCTGTCTGCACATGTTTATTCAGGCTCAAATCATTTTCTGTCAGTGAAGGAGAGCATTTCACTTTCACTTGACGGACCGCCGATTGCTGAAGTTGAATGGAACAGTGCATTTGAGATAATTTGGAATGGTTTCATCATCCTTCCTTATGAAGGGAACGTCACCTTTCAATCCGTCCTCACCAACAACCAGGACAGAGTGGCAATTTGGATGGACAATCAAATCATCTTTGACCAATGGTCAAGCATCGACAAGTTGATTTCATCTTGGAATTTCTATTCCAACAGAATAGATTCTAGCCACCCAATCTCGGTCCGATTTTCGCATAGGTACGGCTATTGCAAGTTTGACATCAAGTGGTCGTGGTCTGGAGTAGATCTGTACTCCATTCCAGTCACTCAGCTTTTCAGTCAAATCTCACACATCCAAGGCTCTCCTTTCGATGTGGTCATAGTGCCAGGTAAGAACTACATGACAGGTCCGATTTCTGACATCTTGTCCAAGGCTTTCCAAGGGCAACTGCAACCTTCGGGAGTGGGTTGACTATTGCTGTCGTTGGGAATGTTGCGACTTTCATTGTGGTCTCTAAGGACGTCTATGGAAATCCAAGGGTGAACTCAAACGATTTGATTGTGGTCAGACTACTTCAGAATCGATCAGGAACGGTGAATTCAATTTACCCATCCCAATCCATTTCAAAGAACAATGAGCTGTATTTCGTAGATTACGTTGCTCTGACAAGTGCAGGAGTTCTTCAGTTGTATGCAAGCGTGTTTAGCCAAGGTACTTTTGCAATGAGATTGATCTGACTCAGACTGATTATCTCACAGTTGGCTTGTTTGCTACTTATTACGACCTGAATGACGATCCCAGCAAGGTGCAGATTTTGGAATCATTTTCCTCGAGCGCTGCAAAAGGCCTTGGAGATACCAACTCTACATTGAGAGTCAATATGCAAGGATTCCTCTTTAATCTTTCTTCTGGGGAATACGCCTTCAATGTAGGCCTAGGGCAGGACCATGAGCGTGTAAGGATATGGTTAGATGGTATGATACTCGTGAATGAGTGGGACAGCTTAACGGGCATTCAGACATCATCGTCCTATACCCTGAATTCAGACAAAAATATTGTCGAAGTCCAGGTAGAGTACAAGTACGATTTTGCAAGTACAGGATTACAGATCATGTGGATGGGTCCTGGTTTCGGAATGAAAGTCATGCAATCCATCTTCTTTGATGGCGGTGTGGTTGGAAGTCCGTTCGATCTTCACATTGTCACAAGCTCAACTTCAGCAAGCACAAATCTCTCACTAGTCTCTCAATTTGGATCAGCAAACTATAATCTTCTTCTAGATTTGATTCCAATTGCGCAATTAGATTCACCGGATGGCGAAGCACTCACTTATCAATTGCAGATCAGAGATGCTTTCGGAAATATCATATTTCCGAATTGTGAAAGTGGTGTTGAAACTTTCTGCTCTCTTCTACCGATCATGGTGAGCATGGAAAGTACCAATAATCACAAAGCATTGGGAACTAGATCCATTTTAAATGGGAACATTTTCTACTCTTTTGTCATTACTGTTTCAGGATTATACTCAATCAAACTTGAACATTTCAATTTCAATTCATTGCAGTTTGTGACCAAGACTTCTGGAAATAATCTCATTCTTGGTTCCTCTTTCGTTTCATCCATCTTAGATTCTCCTGCGCTGCTTGAGAAGTATCCACAGGTAAACACCCTGTCTGGCTTTATTGTTTCAAGAAATGCTGGCCTCATCAGATTTGGACTTCGAACAAGCACGAGAGCCCAGCTCTACATCGACAATGAACTAGTAATTGACTTCCCTGGATATTCTCAAGGAAACGAATCGTTCGGTCAAAAGTGGTTTCCATCCAACTTTCCTTTGTCCATGTTGTTGGTTCATCAAGTGACTTCTCAAGCTGATACTGATCTGAAACTTGTTTGGAGTTATGGCTTGTCACCATTTTCCAGCATACCAGTGTCAAGCATGTATTATCAAGCAAATCTCGCAAGAGCTTACAGGGAATCTGTCCTGATCTCACATTCCCTTTCTGATTTGGTTGGGTCTGTATTGTTTGGGGATGGAATGTCACTTGTTGTAGCGAATACAGAATCAAGATTTCATGTCTTAGCAAGAGATAGTTTCAAAAATACTCTTTGCAATTTCAACCTTGATTTGCATCTGTCTTTGAGTGTCGGCGGGATAGACGAGCATGAACTTCAACTTCTGCCTGTGAGTGATGGGACTTTTGATGTGTTTTATCCTGCTGCAATCTTATCTGGATCACAAAATCTAGTTTTGAGTCAAATGATAGAAAATTCCATAAGTAGCACCTTCTACGATATAGTGACATACAATCCTATTCTGACAGACAATCATATGAATCAATTGACGAACATTATCATGGAATCAACTTGGACAAGTCTTCGTACGATTGACTGGCTTCAGGCTTACATCATCAGGTGGCTTGGATTTGTAAGGCCATCTAAAGCAGATGATTACATCTTTTTCCTCAAGCTTCCCTCGGAACAAGACAGAGTCAAGCTCTGGATAGATTCACAGCTAAAAATTGACATGTGGAGCAGTCTAAGCAATTTAGAGCTTTCAGCAGATCATGCGTTTCAAACTGCAAATCAATACCGTAGTGTTCAAATTCTGCTCCGAAAAAACATCTCATCCAATGCAAACGGGACATTTCAATTGCGATGGTATTCTTTGACTTCATCACAGAATTCATCAATCATAATCTACTCCAGAAAAGAAGTGATAAATTCTTCTGTCCAAGTCCGAGAATCTTGGACACATTGCTGGTCTCAAAATCCTACGTCAATAGGAGGAAGCATCATTATCTGCAGGGGGAATGCGTTCAGAGTAGAACGGACTTACCTACTACAGTTTGAGCAAAGTTTGGAGCAACGTACGTTGCCATCACGACCGATCAATGGCACACATGTCTCTTTTTTGTTGCCTCCCTTCCTGCAACCTTTCGAGTATGTGCAGTTGATTGCACTTCATGATGAGACAGTCGTACAACCAGCAAACGAATGCCAGAATCTTTTACAATTTTCAGGTAATTTTGATTCTAGGATTTGAATTCTACTGACATTTGCCAAGGTGTTCTGTTGTCTATCAAACCTAAGAAGAGTTTGACAGGTGGTTTTGCATCTGTCACAGTGTATGGAATAGGTTTGCAAGCCTCTCCGATCATCCTTGAAATAGTCCGTGGCCCTTCCAGCAATAGTTCTTCCAATTATCTCCCTGTTGTGCAAGAGCGGTTCGATAATTCCCGTATTTCTTTTTCAGTGCCAGGACCGAAACAGGATCTGTTCTATTTTTCGAGCCTAACTGGAAATGGCTTATATGCTACCTTCTATCAATCAGCAGAATTAGTCCTCCCACGCTCGTCTCGCATCGTTCCTGACATCGATTTTTCATTTGCGTATCGCGAACCCCTTCCCGGCAGCTTAGAATATGGGGCATCAAGTATTAGATGGTCTGGTTTGTTGAGATCCGATGCTCCAGCTTTGTACACGATACAATTGTCAACATTGGACGTTGATGAACGAGTTAGGCTCTGGGTGGACAATGCTTTGCTGATTGACTCATGGGATAGTTTGACAAGCCAAGAGGAAACCGCTCTATTTCGATTTTCTTCGAACAAATATCATTATGATATTAAGGTAGAATATCAACAAACCAGTGGCAGCTTTGGGCTGAAGCTCTTGTGGAGTACAAATTCGCAAGTGCAAACAATTATCCCTCACGAGAACCTGTATCCACCTGGTGATTTCCACGAAGCTACAGTAAGTCTGGCCTCTGAAAGACAGGGAATCTTTGCGACATACTACAACCTAGATGGTCAAGAACCTCTTCATGCAGTTTGGTATCCTGAACCAGTTCTCGATATTTCACTCCAAAAACCTGGAATTGGTGTCATTCGATGGGAAGGATTCTTAAAGCCGTCATTTTCAGAGGTTTACACATTTACCGTAGCATTGAATGACGCGAGGGATCGAATAGAACTTTGGATAGATCAAGCGATTCTCCTTCGACAGTGGCAATCCTTAGACACAGCGGAACCTGAGGGAACCATTTTCTTTGATTCAGCTACTCGCGCCTATCAAATTGAGATATTCTACAAACCAGCACAAGACAAAAGCTTCTTTGAGTTGTATTGGAAATCGAATTCGCAGATGTACTCAAGAGTGGATAAACAATTCTACATCCCAAGCGTCCCTCAACTGTCTGACGACATGCAGCGACAAGTGGTAGGAAGTACCGACTTTACGTTTTCAGGTACATAGGATATTGCTTGATTTCTAAATCTTCCTTATGCTCTTTTTTCAGGAACTCCAAGTATCACCGCAGTGTCACCTCTCTTTGGGCCAACAACAGGTGGTATTCTGGTCACCGTATATGGATTGAATCTTGGTCCATCAAAGACGATGATCCAAGCTAGAGTCGGGGGTACAAGCGCCCTTATATCAGCGCAACCCACGCAAGAAGTCTGTAAGCTACGATTGCCATCTGGTGTTGGAAGAAATTTGGAGTTGTACCTCAATGTCGACGGGGTTGAAGGTTTTGCAAACCCTCTCTTGAAATTTTCATACTCTTTCCCAAACTTTCAGTCAACAGGAACAAGCACTTTCTGGCCTGGCAATCTTGAAAGCAATTTCCCCACCACTGGGTCGGTCAGTTTCACTTTGTCAGGCTCCGGATTTGGGACACAGGACTTCTCAAGCACCTCTCGGTTCGGTCATAGCGCTATTGAAGCTTCTAGGTGGACTTCAGATTCGACCATTGTTTCCTTGATTGCTGGAGGCGTTGGAGGAACAACGGAGGGGGTTATCACAGTGGCAAGGCAATGGAATACCAGGACATTTCTCTTCACCTTCGATCGTCCTTCTCTCTCTGCTTCGCTGCCTTTGAACAGAGCTTCGACGGGTTCGTCAATCTTGACGCTCTTTGGAGGAAATTTTTTCTCGAACAACATCTCACCGAAAATTCGATTATTCCCAACTGGGACAGAAAGCAGTTTTTGGATATCTGACTCAGCAATACGTGGTATTACCGCTGCAGCAGGGAGTTCTTCTAAGCAACAAATAGTAACAATTTTGATTCAGCACTCCACTATTTCGGAACAGTTTACCATGGACTTTCCCCGTGCCTCCAGTCCGAAAAGAGCAAATATTCCCTCAACCGGGTCATCTGCGATAACATTGCAAGGTATGAACATGCGAACTTCTTCTATGACAGCTTCTGTTTCATGTGGAATGTCAATATCTCAGGCAACCAGATGGCAATCGGATACAAGCTTGATCAGTCTTGGACCATGGCTCTCATTCAACTCGTTGCGTTTGAGTGTTACCTCTACCCAAAATGTTGGAACATCCACTTCTATGGTATCGCATGACAATTTTGCAGCAAGTGGGATTAGACCTACAAATGGAATTGGAACAGGAAGTTCTTACATCTCGATCTACGGATCTTCCCTTGTTGGGTTTGCGTTTACCGAATTTGCAAGGGTTGGTTACAGCGCTTGCGAAAGATCTAATTGGTTAAGCGCTACATCTATTCGTTGTTTCACATCGGCATCAATCTCTTTCTCGCAGAAAGTGATTGTAACAATGGGAGTCTCTGTGGGTTCGAAATCTAGTTCCCTGTCGTACATCATTCCGAGCCTACAACTCGTCTATCCGATCAACAATCCTCCAGAAGGCAAGATTCTTTGTACTGTCGAGGGCGAATTTTTTGGGATGTTTGACGATTCCCAGCAAGGCAGGCTAGGTGGTTCTTCCTGCGAGCGGTCCGTTTGGAAAGCAGACACATCACTATACTGCAAATCTCCCGCCGGAATCCAGGGTACTAGGCAAATAGTTGTTTCATCTGGGATCCAAGATGGTAGTAGAACTGAAATTTTCTCTTATGATATAGAGGGAATCACAAAGACCATTTCTGCGAACCTTGCTACCACTGGTTCTGTAAGATTCACAATTTTAGGATACAATTTTGGGTTTCAAGATTATACGCAACGAAAGCGGGTTGGATTTTCTGCAACGGAAATAACTGTGTGGACGTCAGACTCCTCGGTAGCTTCGTTGAGTCCAAGTGGAATTAAACGAAGTCATTCGTTGACTCTGACAGTAGGAGAGCAGATTCGAAGACTGACAAATACACGAATAGTCACTTATGATCAGCCCAGTGTCAGTACTATGAAAAGGGCAAATTTGCCCTCAACTTCGTCTATCCTCTTGACTGTTCTTGGTGCAAATCTAGCTAATGCAGCATACAGCACAAACGTACGACATGCAACAACAAGTTGCGAAGAGACTGTGTGGTTCTCAGACACATCCACAATAGGAAGAAATGCAGCAAATGCACAGTTCACAAGATTGATTCTGATGACAACAGGTAGCGAGGTTGGAACCACCACTCAAATTTGCAGCATAGATACTGTAATCATCACTACAAGCACAAAGATCAACACACCGTCCACTGGCGCGATAATAATGACTGTGGCAATAAGGATACAAACTACTTATGACATTTCCGAAAAACTAAGAATCCATCACACGGCAACCTCAGCAAGTCAATGGATTTCACAAACAAGCGTGAGGTGTCAGACAGCGGCGGGGGCAGGAGGGACGGGGCGGGTAGCGGTGACGGTAGGAGAGAGGGAGGGGAGCGGGACGGAGGCTTGGTCAGCAGACGCGGGGACGGGGAGCGGGGCGGGGCGAGGGAACGGGGCGGGGACCGGGAGCTGGAGCATGACGGTACAGGGCGGGGGGCTAGGGCTCGGGGACTACTCGGGAGAGGGGCGGGAGGGAGGCACGGGGTGCGAGGGGACAGAGTGGGAGTCGGAGACGAGCGTGAGGTGTCAGACAGCGGCGGGGGCAGGAGGGACGGGGCGGGTAGCGGTGACGGTAGGAGAGAGGGAGGGGAGCTTGACGGAGGCTTGGTCAGCAGACGCGGGGACGGGGAGCGGGACAGAGCGAGGGAACGGGGCGGGGACCGGGAGCTGGAGCATGACGTCATTTGGATCAGGTTTCGGCTTGTTTTCATCTTCTTTGGCCATTCGTGCTGGGTTTTCGTCATCGCTTTCATCGTTTTGGCTGAGCGATTCTTCTGTGCGATGTTTGACAAGTGTTGGTCAAGGGTCAAGTTTGTCTTTTTTGGTCTCATCTGCTGGTTTGTCACAGACGTTGTCTGATCTTATTTCATTTGACATTGCTGTTGTATCTTCCGGAGCTCCTTTGAATTCTCCTGCTGTTGGTGGTTCTGTGGGCACTGTGTTTGGTGGCATATTTCATTTTTCCAGCGCTACTCGTTACGGATCTACAGGATCCGAAAGAACTGTTTGGCTATCAGACTCTGCTTTAGTATCCGTGGCTGGGAGTGGTGTGGGTGGGAACCTCACAATTTATGCTACATGTTCCGTCCTTTGGGGCTCGCTATCAGAGAGTTTCACTTTTGATTCTCCCATTTCTGCCATCAAACCTTCGAACAGACCAGTGATTTCCTCTACAGGTTTCATCACTTCCGTCTTCGGAAAGGATTTCGGATCATATTCGGTATGCGCAGCTGCTAGCACCGGTAGTACGGTTTCAGAATCTACACTGTGGCTGTCAGATTCTGTCGTGCTGAGTCGATTAGCATCCGGTGTCGGGTCGTCGATTCTTGTTTCAGTGTCAGTCGAAAATCTAGTGGATAGCTTGAGCCAAGCCTTATCCTTTGACAATCCACGAATTCAAACTTTGCGAATGGCAGCGAATTCAACCATCCTAGCTGAGGCTTGGAATCTTGGAATCTATGATAGCTCCACAAAAATGCGCATTGGTCACACGTCCTGCAGACATACTAAGTGGATCTCAGATTCTTCGCTCTTATGTGGGCTACCGAACGAGCTCCCTGGGCAATTGAAGGTTGTCCTCACTTGTTCACAACAAGCTGGAACAAACCTAATATTCAGCTCAATTGCATGAATATGCTAGCACGAAAAAAGCCATTCGATGGCGATTAGGACTACGAATCTCAAGAGGAGGCTTAGAGTTAGTATTCCAATGCACCAATACGCTTTGTGCATGTTATTAAATCTTCTTCATGTGTATGTTGCCATGAAACATAATTAATGTTGGACTTAGTAGGAGCTGAATGCGCGTAACATGTAACATCACAGATATGACGATTCCTATGAAGCTCCTTGTGACGGGCGCATTCCCTTCCTGTGATCACACTTGAGTAAAATCTTCGATATCCGACTAACATCACTTGACCCTCAACTCTCGGTTGACCCGCAACCTACGTAATTCTCAAGTCAACATAGCTATATATTAATACCAGGCTGTTACATTCCCCATAAATTGTCATTCAAGCTTCCCAACTGCATTGAAACAGTCATGATCCACGCATTTCGAAAGACATACGAATGCCTGATCTTTGAGTTTGAGATTCTCAAGCGAAATGGAGTCAATCGTCTGTCTGCAGGCAGCATTTCAAAATAACTTGCAGGTCGAAAAAGCGGAAAATTACGCTTGCTCATCAGATTTCGCCTCAAATTCAAGCTTCAAGCAGGTAACTTCTGCAATTTGCCTCCTCAACGATGCTTCCCGCTGGTCAAATTTCATCAACTATGCAAAAGAAGATACTCATCTGAATCACCCGATTTTGTTCTTCTATCTCTTTTTCTCGCATTTCCAGTCTCTGTAGAAATGATGATTTTGTGGTAATCACAGTAGTGTTCTACCTCACGAAGTGCAGTGAATTCCCTCTCCCTTTGTCAGTAGTCAAGCAAGGATGATTGATGAAACAGAGCATAAGAAACGTACTTAGCTTGAAGTTGCTTGGTCATCCTTGTAAGCTCACCATGCTGCCCACAATCAATTCAACCACAGACAAAGGAACAACATACCACTTGGTTTTGTTCGACTGCCTTTGTCTCAGCCAAGTTCTTGGTTTGGATTGCATCACCAAAACGGAGTTTGCCTTGTTTCAGCACAAAAATACCTTGTAGTAATCCCTTGATTGGGTGATTGATTCAATATCTTAAACATGAAAATCAAACCCTATACAGATGAGGAGAGAAAACGAAGACGACCTACCATTCTTGAGAACCGACACGACGTCTCTATGCATTCTGATTGGAATATCAAAGTCGTCATCCCCAGCAATCATAGATAACATTTTGCAGTTAACAGGCAATTAAGAGGGAATGATTACCTCGTCAGGGATTCGATGGTCTCATCATGTCTGTTGTTCATCTCATCAATATTCTACAAACCATTTTTCATCTGCAAGATCCACAAGCAAAACCGAGGAAAGGACCTTTTGATTCGATGCTTTGATCCTGGAAATGTCATCTCGAAGCTACACCAGACCAGAATGCTTTAGCAAAAGCAGGATTCGGGTTTTTTTTACCTGCAATTTGATAGTTTCATTTTCTCTCATGGCCGTCTACTTTGGAATCAGAATTCAATTAAGTCTGTGAAGCATATAACACCTTCCAATCGACTTCAATAGTGTTCTTCAAAGTTTCGCAATTTATGATGAGATCCTGATAAAAAACTTACTGGCATCAAAATCGTTGTTATGTCTACCTGTTTTTCTTGTCGCTCTTTCTCCAACATTTGCTGATCAAAATAATTCATTGAAGAAACATGGGAGGGCTGTTGATACCGTAGTGAAGCTCAACTTCTCTTGAATTGCTGACAACTCATCACATTTGGCATCCAAATCACACTGCACTGAGTCATAACACGAAAAAGACATGCTCCAACTCGCCTGGATGTGTTTAACTTTTGATCGCAACAGATCAACTTCTTTCTCTGGGTTATCTAAGAAGCTGCACCCGAATTGAGACAGTTCTCACCATATTTCCTTGCATTCCTGACATTTTCTTGGTGTATCTCATTATCTTTTTCCCAGCGAATTTGACCCTGCCTGATACCATAACATTAAAAAATGGATTTAGATCATTTCTCATACTTCAATTCGACTTCAATCTCGCTGCACCTTGCTTCTGATTCCAGCAGCTGCAAACAGATAATCTGATCACATGACACCCCGTCAACCAACAAAAGTCAAAACTTTTTCATTAGCTCTGCTGAGGCGCCGGTGCAATGCATCATTCTCTTCAGTGAGATTCTATCCAAAATGCTCAAAATTCAGACATTCAGAGCCCTGAGAGCTTTTAGGGATCGCACTTGGACTGTCTCGTGCACGTTTCGTCTGGCGCCAACAGCTTCTTTGAAATAAGATTCCTTGAGTTCTCCCTTCGAAAAACATGAGTTATTTGAGGACCAATGTTCAACCCCCTGCGTGCCCTGTATAAGAGAAAAGTACCTCCGCTTCTAACTCTCTTCGAAGTTTCTTGTTTTCGAGGATCAATCGATCTGATTGCTAAGATGTTGCAAGCAGAATGATGTCAAAAGCAATAATAACAACATCAGAAACTCTCAGACCCTCTGCATGTCCTCCAGCGAATTCTGAGAATAGTTAAACAGTTCACAATATGATGTTGTTTCACCTGCAGTCTCTCGATCTCTTTGGAATGAAATGACGTCAACATGCTGAGTCGCCCCTGCAGCACATGAGCTTGATTGCTATCATTCTTGATGCTTCTACTTCAGAAAGCGGCGATCTGATTTCGATTCTTTCCGCTGTGATCAAAAAGTATTATTCTGTTTCGTTTCTTTAAAACTGAATGAATCTACCGGGAGAAGTGCTTCTGTTGGAATTCGAAGAATGGAAACTCGAGTGAATCTTCCAGCACAACTTGTTTGTCAATGCACAGCCACAGGGTTTGAAGGAACCTCACGTTTTTGACTCTTCATTGCTGACATTGGTGGTGTAGTCATGGGGGCTATGTACCAGTCAAGTCATAGGAAAGCATGGACCGATGGGAGACCTCGTTGAAAACTTCCCAAGGACTCTCAGGATTCTTTCAGCCTCCTGCAGGACACACTCAGCGGATGATGTCTCCAGCCATCTTCTTGTACCTCCACTGAGCTCTCCATGCTCCCTCCTCGCCGCATTTCTTCTGTGTTTGACCCAAGGCCCTCGTCCCCTCGCAGTCTGCCCGCAGCTGAGGCAGACCAGGAGGCAGACCGTGCTTGGAGTCAGACCCACTGGAGACCTGAGTCCAACGGTGCCCGAGTCAGTATGACCAGCCCGACGCCGGACTCATCGATCAGTTCGATATATGTCGAAAGACGTTTGTTCAGAAAATGATCAGAAAACTCGTTTTCAAGTCCTCACATAGAAGTTTCTTTCTCTGCCCTTGGATGTTCAGCGCAGCAGTGATGTCACGAAATCGAGTTTTGAGTAAAGCCGCCCTGAGCGGAAACCGCTACTTGAACCACACGAGCGGCTGCACGCACGACGAGGAGGGGAACAAGGATCATGTGAGACAGCAGCAGCGCAGGCCGCTCCTGCGAGGAGACAGCAAGACCCATGCGAGCTCGATATCAAATGCTTTAGTCAATGAGCCTGATGGTTTCGTGAGGCGGACTCACTAGGTATATTGCGTAGGGCCGAGTGTGGTGCAATGCCTGGTCAAGGAGAGGAGAAGCGACGGAGGGCTTGGGGTGCTCGTGCATGCGAGGCTGGGACAACCAGTGGAGCTTCATCTCACTTGCTGTCTCCATCTCATGGCTCGAAGACTTCAACTTCACCTGTATCAGGAGACTCTGGGTCTTCCCAGTCATGCCCGCAAACCCAACTTTGTTCCGGATTTCAAGGGGATCACGAATCATCAAATCAATCTTCGTCAGCCATGACACCTGCAGGGAAATCAGATGACGCGAAGAGATGTCCCGAGCTCATGGATTCGCTAAAACAAGGTTTATACTTCGCTCAACAGAAGTTGAACAGCCTAGAACGCAAACATTCTTTGTTGAAATTCGATGTAAACGACGTCTGCAAAGATTTTTCAATGAATACAGCTCGGATCAAAGTTTTGAATTCACGAGTAAATGCAGCTTATCGCGAGGAAGAGAAAAAATGGAATCGTTGCTTAGCAAATGCTGTAAAGAGAGCTGACGATTTCCAAATCAAAAACAAAGAATTGCACGAAACAATCCAAGACTTACAATTACGATTATCTCTGAAGGAAGACGAGTATAAAGAAGTGGTTTCAGAACGGGAGGTTCTACGAAAGAGCCTTCGAAGTTTGCAAAGGGAGCAAATGGCATCGAACGACCAAACTAACAGGGTGAGACGGCACTCACTTTCGATTGTTGAGAACATGAACTTGGCCAAGGGGCTTATCCTTGACGTCGGTATTTTCATTCAAGAAGACATGAAAGCATGTATTCATGAGTTGAATGATCTTGTCGAGGATTTCAAGAAAGAAGGTGTGGATACTAGCATGCCGTTAGTCAAGAGCATGTCTAACACAAGCAGCGAGAAAGAATCAGATCTTGACATATCTCATGAAATACAAAGAACGCATCAAGTATGCATTTACATCACGGACATCAAAGGGGATATGCAAAGGTTCAGGAGGACAATTGCTGCCTCGATGTATGTGAATTTTATGGACAAGGAACAAATGGAGCTGACTATTGACGAGGGCGCACAATTAGTGTATGGTGGGAATGCTTTTCATTCAGAATCAAAGAGTCTTGAATTTGTGAAATGCATCCTATCAATCAAGCAACGATATCCACAACAAGTTCACTTGCTCCTCGGACACGATGACCTGAAGCTTCTGAAAAATCAACTTGTTCACAGCGACGAGCGATATTTTCTCTTGCACGATTACTTGAAGTTTGCAGACGTTGGTTATCGTTTTGGAGAAACATTGTTTCTGAATTGCAAAGTCACTTCCAAGATTGCTGGAATTGTTCCAGGTCACCATGTGAATAGTTTGGGTCCACATGAGTGGATCAAGGAATTGAATTCGTGGGTGAACAATGAAATATCGGAGGTCTTTGAACAACATAAATCAGTCGTGAGCAGGGGTTCAATAGTTGAACGACTCTCGTCCTTCTTATATACAGAGGGTTCTACACATGAGATGCTTCGTATTCCTCGATCGACGCAAATATACTTTGTTCAGGGTGGTATTACAACGCTCATTGGAGTCAGCCCGGTTAATATTCATTTTCCATGGGCTCCTGATCAAAGCTTGCTCTGTGGTATCTTTGCGCCTAATTTACACTGGGGAAATTCGAGATTTGCAATCAGGTTGGAATGGAATGGTTTGCCCACATTACTCGGAACAACACCTGACGAGAAGGAATTCGCTTTCGAAATCGATGTAGAGGGAAATTCCATCGGTGCAGGTGACTACCACGGGAAACAATTGCCTGACGGGAGATGCATCTTTGCGTCAGAGAGGGACAGAGAGGGTCAGAGACGATTTCTGGTCACCACGATACCATCGGAGGAAGATCTTTTGCGGAATCAGCTGCCAAAGACTGATACAATCGAGGCAGAGCTCCTGAATCTATTGTCTGACCCACGACTAGCTGAGGAGCGATCAGCTGAATGGACCGATAAGAATACTCTTAGTGAAATGCAGCAAGACGTACGGTCTTCGCTGAATTCTGCCCACACTGAAATGTTTGGTAGGAATCGAATAGATTACCAGAAGAAAGTACGATCATTCCGTCGCAAGAATTCCAGAAACAACTTAAAGCCAAAAATGATCAGGTGAACCAAAACCCAAGTTATTTTGCTGGACTCACCGCTACCTGATACTTTGACAGATCGAATTATTGGCCCGGCAACTTGAAGAAATCATGCTCAAGCTTTAAAATGGCAATCTAAAGAAATATTCTTTTCCTTGCAACATTTTGTGTTTATTCAATTCTCATCGAATCACTTTTGGATATCACCACTCCAACCTGCAATGAATAAGAGCTCTAATCAGTGATGTTCGCAAATCGTTGCTTCTGCCTTTGACGAAACATGTCACTTCCCTGCACCAGAAGTGAGGTTGACTATGTATTCAAACATCCAACCAACCTGAGATTCATCTCTCTTCCCTTCGTCTCCATCATGCCCCCTGTTACGTTTGCTTCCTCCGCTTGAACGAGGAACAGGCTGACTTCCTGGGATAAGACTGACATGAAATTTAGTAACATAAACCAGCTAAAGAGAACAATCAGCACTCACTTTCCTGGCGCTACCGACATTGTCTGAGGAGGCTTGTAAAACTGGGGAGGAACGATCAACTGATGAATAAGCGACAGAATCTCATCTGGATTGGGAGAAACAGGAAAGGGGCCGGATGGAAGCTGATTGAGAAGCTCCTGAACAGCAAGGGGGATTGGAGGCAAGGGAACTGATGGCCGTTTGTGATCCATGGAGCTCGACTTGCTTGGTTTGTCTGAAGATCCACCTTTTTCTTTGGCATTGGAATCAGGATCTCCTTTCCCACTTGATCCTGAACCCTTCGACTTTTGTGAAGACAAAGTAGCTGAGTCTTGAGTCTGAATTCCCAAAAGATCTCTTTCGATAGAGCTACACGGCCAAAGGTTCGAAAAGCGAAACCTGCACGCAAGCTGCGCAAGACTTTGGCTGCCTTGTCTCTCTGGATAAATCATAGCCCGTCTCTGCTCCAACTTGTGTATCGCTGACAAGTCGCCTCGAGAATACTCAAAATCCACGAAGCGGTCCCATATCAAAAGCGCTTGCTGGCGATCAAGACTGTTCTCATCGGCAAGCACTTTCTCAAAAACAACCCTTGTATTGTTGTCGTCATTGAAAGAAGCCAAGAAATCCAAATACTGCAACACAAATTCAACTTCGCATGAATAGTGTTTGAGTCCCATTTCAAAAATATTCCGAGCGACCTGAGCATCCTTGTTCGAGTAGTACTCTCTAAGTGCTGCATCGCAGTACACATGCCAGCTACATCCCTGCGCACTCTTGCGTGCCTTCTTGAAGATGGTGCGAGCTGCCTGAACACTTTCCGACCGTCGAGCAAATCTCATGTAGTGAATAAAAACCAGCGGGGAAGGTTGCAATTCACACAAGTTTTCATATACATTTTTAGCCTCTGTAATGTTGCCACGCATTTCATGTTTTTCTGCCAAAGCGAAATGAAGCAACAAACTGTTCGGAATCATCAAAATCCCCTTCTCCAACGTTTTTATTTCTCCACTCAAGTCTCCGATCTCTCCATGCCAGTTTCCCGCTTCGTACCAGATTTCTGGATATAGAGGTAAATACGACAAACACTGATTGAAGGTGAACGCAACTCGTTTCCTGAGGTCTTCCGAAGGCATCTTCTGAGGATTCGAACGCTCAAAAGAGATAAGCTCTTGCCAGGCTTTGAGATTTTGTTTCTCCTTATTTTCGCCTGTGTACGGACCAGGAAACTGAGGATTCTGAACTGCATCCCTCAGCTTCTTCCTCTCCTTGTATGCCACTCTTGCTGCTTTATGCTTGGGTTCGAGATCACGAATAATTTGCTCCGCCATCTGCAAATTGTTTGGATCCAATGTCTTTTCCCACTGTTCATATTCCGTCCATAACTTGTCCACAGAATGCATCGGTACTTGCAAACATCGATGGTATGCTCTTCGAAGCTGATTCATCCGTTGAGTATTTTCATATTGGTTCGACACCTTACAGCTGCGTAAGAATGCGATGTACTCGCTCCATAATGAGTTCGATGAAATATCTTGGCCGACAGCGTCAACGGCTCTTTCAAATGCCTTTAGAACTTCAGAATTGTCTTTGGTCGACTGCATGGTGACCGATGTAAAATGAGTAAGGTACGATCGCCAGAGGTCCACATGAGGACAGTGTGGAAGACCACGTTTCAGTACTTCTATCGCTTTCTTTTTGTCATTGTCAGCCACATACTGGTTTGCATAAGCAAGCCAATGCCTACCAGAAGTTGGAAAGACCTCAAGCAGTCTTTCGTAAATCTCTACGAACAAATGCTTCATTGCTCCGCTTTGCACTTCACTCACTAAGACCTTCCAAGCTTCAATGTCATATTTGTTTCTTTGAACCTTCGAGTTCGCGTCCTTCGCCCTCTGCGTGTATTGATCGAGTGACGGTGCTGGAGCAGCTTGCGGTTCAAAACGACCATTTCCCAGGAGTCCAATCATTTGACTATTCTCTGCTTCATTCTCTCTCTTGACCTTGACATCTGCTTCAGGCTTTGCTACTGCTGATTCAACTGATGGATTTCCAGGTTTTGTTTTCGGAGCTTGATTGTCACTGGTTTGGTTGGAATCTTGCTCCTTTTGATCCGGTTGTTTCTGTGTTTCGTTTTCCAAAGTATTCCCCTCGCTGATTTTTTCATCCGCAGTCGTATTAACAGATTCTTGTGTAGAGGAAGTCTCATCTGCTGGTTCGGGAGCCTGCGAGGAGAGAGCGGCTAGCACATCTTGCGCCTCAGCAACTGATGGAACCTGCTGTGACTCGACGGGCACATCTTCGGATTTGACTTCCTGCTTATCACTTCCGTGATTCGGCTCTGTACATCTTAATGATCAGAACCAACTGGCACTACATGAACAACAAGATCGCACCTGGCACATTTTCATCTTCCACCGTCACTTCGATTTCTTCGTCATGTTGCTCGGCGTGGTCATCGTTCTCCATGTCAGGAACGTTTGGCCTATCACGAAGTGAAAGAAGTCAGAGACTAGACCGATACCTTCTTGACTGTTTCAAATCACAAACATTGCTCTTGCATCAACGTTTTCTTCAAGTATCAGCTCAATCCTAGACCTGCTGCATGTAGCTCTCCTGCATGCGTGCTCTTTCTCCTCTACTCCCTTCTCCCTTTCCTCTATCCCCCTTTTCTATCTCTCATCTCCCTGAACATGGTTCTGAGATATCTGTCCTCTACCCCTTCCTGTGTCTTCCTCTCCTGCGTCCCCCTGTTCTTCTCCTCTCTGCCATCCTCTTCTCCCTGCATTTTCTCACGCAATCACCATTACCCCACCCTACCCTTACCCAGATTTTCATCCAACGTGGCTTTACTACCCCTCATAGGACCTGTCCGAGTACCTCTGGAAAACAGTAATTGTTGACCCCACCCCGACAAATTCTTGTAACGGTTATACCACATGACGGTTATGGTTCTAGTGACCAACCCTCGAAGAACAGAGCGCTTCAGATGAAAGAGGGGGTGGTACTCGAAATGAGTCAAGCAGGGGTGTTAGATGGGTAAAAGTAGGGGTAGACGAAGGTGTGGAGGATAAGGCTATGGTTTGTGGCACATCAGAGCACATGGGAGATGGGAGGAAGGAGGAAGAGATATGTCAATTAGAGAGAACAAGCATGGCATGAACATGTATCCTGATGACTGCTAGAACATTCAGATGGGTCCAAACCCAAATGTTCGACATGAAGCTTGCGAATGCAACCAGTCAATCTGCGCTCTCTTCATGATTCGGATTACTTGATCACTGCAAGTAGCACTACCATGTTATTTTCAGTAGGCGTAGGGTCATGAGCTTTCTTCCAAACTTGTTTACAAGAGCAAACTCATTGGGCCAAGCGAGCCAGTCAAAGAGTCGGCCTTCCGTCCGGAAGGCATGGGATGAAATCGATGACTCCTCCGACGATGAAGATGAAATTCGCGTCGGACAACAACACACAATCGATGTGCTTAAAAAGGATAGGATTACTGATTCAAGACGACGAAAAAATATATCGTCAGCGTATGGTATGTCTCTTCACTGTCTCGTGCCTTTTTGATTATTCTCTTCTGAGTATGCTTCAGGTTCTGGTTCACCTTTTCAGGATTTTGAAACACCAATGTCTTCACTTCAAAGCAAAATCGTGCAGCAACCTCTTCAATCAGATAAATGGCAAGCAGAATCCAATTTTTTTGATGAAGACTACAGCAAAATACTCGTAACATTGCGGAAGTATGAAAGAGATCTGGAATGTCAAGAGATAGGATCCTGTAGAGATTTTCTTCAGAAAACTGATCGATACTTAGACGGTTCTTCGAAAGCTGACAAAGCTTTAATGAAGGCACGCGTTTTGGTTTGCAGCAGTAGGCTTCTTTTGGACAAAAATCTCGAAAGTGCAATCCAGAAGGGGAATGAAGCAATATACCAGATCCTCAATTTATCAAATATGGAATTTGATTCAGATTTATGTCATTCATTGGAATTGTTAATGGGTGGATTGCAGAACCATATCAATCATTCACAGGACCCAGATGAAAGGCTTTCGATTCTGAGCAATTTCGTGAAAGGTTATCTGGCTTTGCGGAATAAAAATGTCTTCGAGGCCTTGGATTACATCCAAAGAGCGAAAGATCTTTCTCGAATTGTAACGAATGGAAAAGTCATGGAAACCCAGTTGACAAACTTTGCGATTTCGCTGAGGAACAATTACAAATCAGTCAATTCAAGGTCACTGGTGCCAGAACATCGTTTGAGGAAAAACGTGTCTGAGCATCCTGATCTCACATCTATCAATATTGGAACAAACAAAAATGATTCAAAAGTCAAAAGGAATACATTCGACCAAAAGTTTGATATCTCCGATGATTCTGATGAAGATGTCACAGTCCAGCAGAACTCTTCGCTGATCACACGAACGAGTTCTTTGATTTTAGATGGTTCCAAGTCAGCCAAAAAGGTGAAAGAAAAGGCGTTACCGTCTCTTTTAGAGAATAACCATCAGAAAGCAGTCAAAAGATCATACATGAATCCAACAAATACGGTGATATCTAGAACTTCTAGTGAATCGCACGAGGGTTCATTCCGAACTGGGTCGCCTTTTTCACTCCAATTTGGGTTGGGTTCTCGAAAGACAAATATTTTCCGACATATTGATGGATCCGTAAAGGAATCAAGCGCGACACTCATTCAGAACTGTTTTCGAATGTGGAGATCTCGCAAAAAAGTGACTCAATTACGGCATTTTCACCAAGCTCGGTATTTGACATCATCGGATTTGACATTAAGATTCAATTCAACGATTGTTCATAGGCATTCAAACATGCAAGATATACAACAAAAGGTCTATGCCTCTACTGTCATCATAACGAAATTGAAACGATCTCTCCTGCAGAGGTCTTGGATTGACAAGTATAGCTCACGTCATCTTTTGCTTTCAATGTTGCAGAGAAATAATCCTCGAATGCGGTATTTGCAATTGTTAGCAGTTGCAAAACTTGAAGGCTCAATCAAAGCTCATTTGACATATCGTCGCTATCCAATTCAAGCATTTCTGATGCTCAGACAGGTGACAAGTCGGAAAATTCTGCGTTGTAAATACATTACAACGATATCGCAACATAGAGTCGTTCAAAGCTTTGCCAGAAGGAGCATTGAAAGCCGAAGATTTGCACAGATGATTGTAGGATTTACAAAGATATATTTTTCAGTATTTGCGAAGGGACTTCGGAAACAGTTTCTGGAGAACTATGAAATAATCGTGGTACAGGCTCGGTGCAGACAACGACTACAAGAACTTGAATGGAAGCATTTTCTGCAGCAAGCCAAATTAAATCATATTCAAACTCTACAAGCTAGACTGAGAACCACTTCTCTGCAAACTCAATACCAGAGGCAAAGGAAAAGCTCGATCTTAAAGGCGACAGGCCGGAGGGCTCTAGCGCGAGGACGGTACGCCCGGGAGGTAACGAGGCAGCTGGTCACGGCTTGGCTGAGGAGGACAGAGGCCAGGAAGAGGTATGCAGAGACCAAGAGTCAGTGCAGGAGGCTACAGGCGTACATGAGGAGGGCGTTGTACAGGAGGGCCCAAGCAGAGAGGAGGTCAGCAGCAGAGAGGCTGCAGGCGTACATCAGGCAGCAGGCGAGGAGGTCACGAGGCACGAAGCAGCTGGCAGCCGCAAGGGCCGAGCGGGCATGTCAAGTGCTGCAAGCTGCGGGCCGGCGGCGAAGGGTCCGCGAGAACTACCAACGGGCAGTAGGGAGCATGCTTCTGCAAGCCACGAGCCGGCGGGCTCTAGCGCGAGGACGGTACGCCCGGGAGGTAACGAGGCAGCTGGTAACGGCTTGGCTGAGGAGGACAGAGGCCAGGAAGAGGTATGCAGAGACCAAGAGTCAGTGCAGGAGGCTACAGGCGTACATGAGGAGGGCGTTGTACAGGAGGGCCCAAGCAGAGAGGAGGTCAGCAGCAGAGAGGCTGCAGGCGTACATCAGGCAGCAGGCGAGGAGGTCACGAGGCACGAAGCAGCTGGCAGCCGCAAGGGCCGAGCGGGCATGTCAAGTGCTGCAAGCTGCGGGCCGGCGGCGAAGGGTCCGCGAGAACTACCAACGGGCAGTAGGGAGCATGCTTCTGCAAGCCACGAGCCGGCGGGCTCTAGCGCGAGGACGGTACGCCCGGGAGGTAACGAGGCAGCTGGTAACGGCTTGGCTGAGGAGGACAGAGGCCAGGAAGAGGTATGCAGAGACCAAGAGTCAGTGCAGGAGGCTACAGGCGTACATGAGGAGGGCGTTGTACAGGAGGGCCCAAGCAGAGAGGAGGTCAGCAGCAGAGAGGCTGCAGGCGTACATCAGGCAGCAGGCGAGGAGGTCACGAGGCACGAAGCAGCTGGCAGCCGCAAGGGCCGAGCGGGCATGTCAAGTGCTGCAAGCTGCGGGCCGGCGGCGAAGGGTCCGCGAGAACTACCAACGGGCAGTAGGGAGCATGCTTCTGCAAGCCACGAGCCGGCGGGCTCTAGCGCGAGGACGGTACGCCCGGGAGGTAACGAGGCAGCTGATCACGGCTTGGCTGAGGAGGACAGAGGCCAGGAAGAGGTATGCAGAGACCAAGAGTCAGTGCAGGAGGCTACAGGCGTACATGAGGAGGGCGTTGTACAGGAGGGCCCAAGCAGAGAGGAGGTCAGCAGCAGAGAGGCTGCAGGCGTACATCAGGCAGCAGGCGAGGAGGTCACGAGGCACGAAGCAGCTGGCAGCCGCAAGGGCCGAGCGGGCATGTCAAGTGCTGCAAGCTGCGGGCCGGCGGCGAAGGGTCCGCGAGAACTACCAACGGGCAGTAGGGAGCATGCTTCTGCAAGCCACGAGCCGGCGGGCTCTAGCGCGAGGACGGTACGCCCGGGAGGTAACGAGGCAGCTGGTAACGGCTTGGCTGAGGAGGACAGAGGCCAGGAAGAGGTATGCAGAGACCAAGAGTCAGTGCAGGAGGCTACAGGCGTACATGAGGAGGGCGTTGTACAGGAGGGCCCAAGCAGAGAGGAGGTCAGCAGCAGAGAGGCTGCAGGCGTACATCAGGCAGCAGGCGAGGAGGTCACGAGGCACGAAGCAGCTGGCAGCCGCAAGGGCCGAGCGGGCATGTCAAGTGCTGCAAGCTGCGGGCCGGCGGCGAAGGGTCCGCGAGAACTACCAACGGGCAGTAGGGAGCATGCTTCTGCAAGCCACGAGCCGGCGGGCTCTAGCGCGAGGACGGTACGCCCGGGAGGTAACGAGGCAGCTGATCACGGCTTGGCTGAGGAGGACAGAGGCCAGGAAGAGGTATGCAGAGACCAAGAGTCAGTGCAGGAGGCTACAGGCGTACATGAGGAGGGCGTTGTACAGGAGGGCCCAAGCAGAGAGGAGGTCAGCAGCAGAGGAGGCTGCCGGCATACATCCGGCCGGAGCGAGGAGGTCACGAGGCACGAAGTCACCTGGCAGCCGCCCGGACAACCGGGCATGTCAAGTGCTGCAAGCTGGGGGCCGGCCGTTAACGGTTCACGATAACTACCTATCGTGCACGTTGCTAATGCTTCTGCCTCTTCCCAGCCGGCGGGCTCTAGCGCGGGACATGTGCTGCGGGAGGTAACGAGGCAGCTGATCACGGGTTTCCTGAGGAGGACAGAGGCCAGGAAGAGGTATGCAGAGACCAAGAGTCAGTGCAGGAGGCTACAGGCGTACATGAGGAGGGCGTTGTACAGGAGGGCCCAAGCAGAGAGGAGGTCAGCAGCAGAGAGGCTGCAGGCGTACATCAGGCAGCAGGCGAGGAGGTCACGAGGCACGAAGCAGCTGGCAGCCGCAAGGGCCGAGCGGGCATGTCAAGTACTTCAGAGTTGTGTTAGAAGGGTCAGTGTTTCTTCCTTGTTCATGCAGTATTATGGTTGCATTGTTCTTCAATCATCGGTTCGTCGTTTGATTGTTGCGAACAATGTGGGCTGGGTACGAAAAGTTGCTGCTAAAAAGCATCACGACATGGTTGGACTGGAGTCAAAGCTATCCAAGGGAAATTGGGAAGTGGATCGAAGTTCACTTGGAAACGCCTTCCGGTATGCCAAGTATGGGAGGTACAGAGAGCTGGAGAAGGCAATACAAGATTCTGAAGTGTCTGTCGATGACCAATATGGACCCAAGAACAACACTCTGCTCTGTGTGGCTGCAAGCCACGGACATCTGGTTCGTATTTGTATATTGATTTCTATTTGAGATTCTTCTGACTTTGAAGCTGCAGAGAATTGTGAAACTTCTTTTGAGGAACAAGGCTGACATCAATTTCCAAAACAGTGAAGGGAACTCGCCGATGCATCTAGCAAACATCTTTAACTACAAAGAACTTGTCAATTATTTGATCTCCAAGGGAGCCAACAAGGAGCTCAAGAACAAGCGAGGTCATTCTCCGTTGGAAGAATCCGTCGATGGACCTGATGAAGCTTCTTGAATGTAAACATGTAAGTGTATCGTATGTATGTAAATAGATCAAATAAAATGTTTGTTCCTACCTGTCGCATCCGAATTCGCTGAATTCGTACTCTCTGGAGTCTGCACCTGTCCCTCGCCCAGTCCTTCAATAGAGTCCTGTCGAAACAATTAATCTGCCCGAACCACTGGGCGACCTTCTAAATCATCACAGAGTTTACTTCTCGAGTATCTGTGGGACTTGTAGACGATGTTATCAAGTCCACGGATTCAGCCTACGAATATTTAGACACCTGCAGGATATTTCTTGCCTTAACCTTTGCTCCGACATTTTCCTCAGAGCCAGAATTTCCACCATCGCTTGTTTGAAAATATCCACTGATCACACCTGTCTCATACGCTGCAAGACATCTCAGCAAAGACGAGGCCATACATTTTGCAACATGCACCCGGAGCCCATGTAGACGTGGTGATGGCAAAGCACTTGCCCCTCAACTTCACATTCTCATGATCCATAGCATACCACACAAAGGAGCGACAAATCTAAGAAAACCATCAGTCAACCAGATCTTGAACACGTGTCAGAACTCACTGCGCAAGTTGCCCTTGATCGGTGGTCTTGAAGTCCATTCCCCACGAATTCAAACCCTTGACATCCTTCGACTGCAGATAATTTAACCAGGACCACTTTGTTTTGCATGGACGTACTTGCTTTGGCTGTCATTCGCCAACATTCATCTGCACATTTGGTCGCTCCTCCTGCAACAACCAATCCGCCATTTGTTCCTCTTTCCTGATCTTTGATGGAATCGTCCCAGAATGTTCCAAGATACTCGTGTTTCTTTGTAAACACGGGTATCAGCGCGTGTATGTTGTTCGTGTCCTGATAGATGAAGAATGAGCCCATGGGATAATCCCTGGGCACCAACAAGTGAGATCAAATTCTCCATCCGAGGGATCAACCTGCGTGAGGGAGAAGGAAGCCATGCGCTCGAATCAGCAATGCGCCACAGAGCTCGATTGACAGACACCTGCACTTAAAAATTCATTTTGGTTCACAAGATACACGACACCAACTTTGACAGCCTCCTTGGCCAGCTCAATCATGCTCTGAGCCTTCTTGTATGCCCAGATCTGTTCCTCGTGAGTGTCGTGTTGCTATAGTGAAAGGGCTTACTTGCACAGCTTGTCCCTGAGGCGACCGCACTATACTGACAATCTGTTTTTGAGTAGCCAATGCGACCTACACGAGGGGTGTGATCGATGGAGAAAGTTGTCCATGCCCGCACCTGCATTCCTACAGTCGTTGCAACGTCTAAAGCATTGCCTATGAAAACAATGCTTACAAATGGGCAAGACCACCGACAACAAGGCAGAACCTCCAATGACGGCGATTTCCAACGCCTTTTCTACAGCGTGTTGTGCAGCCTTTGGGCAACCTCTTCACGTTACAGGCATCCAGACCCAAAACTGACCTGATCCAAATACTGTCTTGATTGATCGAACATGCGAGGTGTGTGCTTCAACAGAGCCTGCTAGCACTTTAATGTCTCACTTTCTCAGCAGCGATGACCTTGGTCGTGTCGCTCACAGCGGCTATGGCTTTGTTTGCTGACACAAACGCATCAACTTTGTCACCAACTCGACCGGTAGTGTCTGAATCAATCCAGAATCTTTACCTGCTTCAAGTTTTTCTGGGCTCAGCGTGCATTGCTCACGATTCCCAGTTGATTTCTCAATGGCTGTGCAAAAATAATAGCCGAATGCCTGCCAAGACGTTGAGTGAGACACCCAACTTCATCTTTGCGAGTGTTTCCGTACTCGCGCTAACTTCGTGGCTGATTTGAAGACCATGCCCACTACAACATCTCAGAATTAACTCCCATAGCTTGTTCAATTACCGACGCCCTTTTCATCCCCACGGTAAGCAACCAAGCCCTGACAACTCCATCACCAGGACACAGTTGGATGGTGTCACCACTCACTCTCGATGACGATTCCTCCTTGCCTTCACTTTGCTTTGGTATAATGTCGGGGTGATGTGCTGATGAACCTGCAGTTGACTTCCCAGAGCCATCATGCTCAAAGTTGTTCTGATGGTCGGCATCCTTTGATATTGCAGCAGCGTCCTGGGAGGGCTGGTCCTTCACCGAGGATTCCGGCTGAGCATCGACCACCTGTTGTCCTGTGTTGTGATCCTCAGCTTCAGGTTCCGATCTTGAAGGAGGTTTCCTTGAGAGCTCCTCTGCATCTGTACAGACTTCCCGTGACTGCTTCGCTCCATCAGCTACCGTAGGATCCATGGCTCCTGAGGTATTTTGAAGAGTTCCATCGTCACTGTAATGCACTGCTTCGTCCTGCAGCTCCGTAGGTGAGGTCCTTGCTTGCTCACTCTCCAAACGAAATCTGCTGGAATCTCCTCCTCCCATTGACAAGTCTTCCTGTTCTTCTTGCTGTACTGCATGGGATGTACCTGTCGTATCAACATGTCACAGCTTGACATCGCATAGCACGAGAGGGATTCAGCTGATACTTTCTTCTATGGAAGCTGCCATTGCGCTAACATCTTGTGCAAAGAATAAACAAAAATGAGACATGAACAAGCATCAGGAACTTTCTTATCACCCTGGTGCACAACATTAGCAGGTTGTGGAAAGGACCCAATGGTTGATGGCACTGCAGCCGGAGAACCTACGGGTAGGGTGAATGAAGATATCACTCACAACAAACAAGAGCACCTTGGCAGTAATGACAACCAAGAAAACTCACGACTATCAACGACAGGTAAATCTGAGAATCGGGTAAGCGATTGCTTTGATTTCAACTTGCACACCTGAACGCGGTGTCTAGCCATGTTTCAATCAACTTCTGATGATCATTCTTCAACCTCTTGCGTGACGACCCGTGTGGATAACTTTATCTTTCCATCCCGCAAGAGAGCACCAGGAAATGAAGCATTCTATGATGAAAGCTTCAAGATCCAAATAAAGTGAATGTAAGATCACACGACAACATTGCAAGCAAGAAACTTGGTGCTCAGGTAGCTCAAGCACATCGACACTACCCTCCACTTTCTCTCCGCATAATCAATATCTTGCACTGGGTTCGTCTCTATGGTATTCTTCCTCTTTCCCTTGCAATCTGAACCCTTTGGCCCTGTCATCGCAACATCCTGTTGAATCTACCTTCTCCTTCTGACCTTTCCTCTCTCTCCCTCCCCACCATGCTCAACCTCATCTTTTCGTCCGCCTATTCTGCTCTTATGTTCCTTTTGAAAGCCATCGCTTCCCTCTCATCTTCTTCTCCACCGACATTCCACGACATCGTTTCGAGCCGCCCGCCACTGCCATGGAACTCTCCCATTTGATCACCCACCCCTACCCATCTTTTGGCACAAGGAAAGGATTGGCAACCACCGGTCATCGAAGTATTTCAATTTTAAGCGAAAGGAAAAACCGTTTGAAGTTACAAAGTTACAAAGTTACAAAGTTACAAAGTTACAAAGTTCGGAAGTTCTAGTGACCGGGTGACGTCAGTCAGCCGCGCGGCCCGGCCCGGCAGTTTCATCCAACTCATCCATCCACGTACCCCCTTGACCTACCGTGGGTCGTAGTGGGTCAGATCACCCCATCTTCTCTACAGAATTGTTGGATTTGAGCTGGTAGGGTGTTATGAAGGGGTGGGTAGTCTCGCTCTAAGGATTCCTTGCTTTCTATGGGCCAGTGGTATCCCGCATGAAGGGAGAGCGACGATGGCGAGAGGCGGCAGGGAGAACAGGAGAGAAGACAGTAAACGTCACAAAGGATACGACCAAGTGAAGCGGGGCAAGAAGGGACAGAGGAGTTGTGAGAGCAAGAGACGGGGCTAGGGTTCGGGGCTGGTTTAGAGTACCTCAAGCCAAGTGCGTTTGATGAGGGAGAGCGAGAAGAAACAGAATGATTGAACGAGCACCAGCAGTGACTCCTTTTCTTTTTGTTTTTGGCAGATCGATGTATATTGATCAAGAACCAGTGTTTTAGCGCTAGGGTGGATATTGGATATGCCGAAGATGCGCTTTCTTCTGCCTATTATACCTCTACTTCATTCTCTAAGTGTCTTTGCGCTGGATATCGCAGGGTAAGGAATTCGCTGTTCAAGCTAGTGGTCTGATTTGGTTTTGCAAGTGGAGTAAGCTCTAGTTTCATCGAAAGCAGCGAGGGATGGTCAAAAGTGGGGAAGGATAGTGGAAGCGTTAAAATCTCACATGCTCCTCTCATGCTCAGCGGAAAGGACGATGGACCAAATAGGTGACGCAATGAACTGAGTTGTCTACGATAGTCTTTAATCCCCAGCAAAGTTGGTGGTTCGCGGCACCGGCAAGTTTCATCGGCGACAAGTCAAACTTTTACGGGGTAGGTCTTTCCCAATGTGTTGGTGTTACATTTCTTAGTCCTGCGTAATTGAACAGGGATCGCTCGAGTACAAGGTTGGATTTTGGGGATACAATGGAGATTTTCAGAGATCTTCTGTGAATGACAAGTGGGACGTCGTCCTTGTCTCCGACAAGTTGAAGATCGGCCTGCTCGATGTTCTGCCTCCTCTGGCATTCCTGCACCAAGTTCAGGTCTTCCGAATGCTGTTACAAGATTTCAATCATCCAATCCTGAGCAGATTAACCTGACTGAGAGCTCTGGTTGGCTTCTAGAGAGCTCAAAGAGAGCTCCGACGAAGCAAGAATTCAAGAATGTGCTTTCCAAGTTGTCCGGGATTTGGTACTTCCCCTCTTCATTTCTTTCTTTTTTTAAGTTCTGATGAGGTTTCTAGGATACGTGGAGGATATTATGCAGGAGGAGAAGAGGTGTACCTCATGGGTGTAAAACTGAACAAGAGAGCTGGGGATTCAGGAGATCTCGAAGAGGATAGGAAGAAAAAAGAAGCTCATATGGAAGAGCATCCGGATGGGGAGAGGGAAGCGAAGCTAAAGTTCGATTTTGAGGCAATTTGTCTAATTGGTTCCATCGACTGTCTGACATTTCACAGCTTAAGGGCAGTGAGGGAGTACTTGGCTTCGACTCAAAAACGTTGTATTTCTTGAGCAAGAATACAATGCAACCACGAAGCGTTCCCTTCAGGTGATGTCAGAAGCTTGTTCCACTGTTGTGTGATATGCTAATACTTTGAAAATCTTTGAAACAGTGACATCACAAGCGTGGATGTCGGAAGTGACGATATCGTACAAATCTATGGACCAAACCACAGGGTTGTGATGACCGCTGGGAGATTCACTTCCTATAATGTCAGTCAGGTCAGTACAAAGATACAAGTTACACCAACTTCTGATGCCACTTGAATACCATAGCTTGCAAAATTCTTCGAGACAGTGAGGAAGAAGACCGACGAGGTCAAGAAGGTTGTAGAAACCACATGTGACACTTTTCGAAGCTTATTCATCTCCTCTCAGGGGTCAGATCGCGCAAACGATCGAGGAAAAGATAGTCCAAAGTACGACGGTAGAGGAAGTAAGCAGGAATCATCCACCAAAAATGTCGAAGGCCAGGAACAGAAGAGAAGACAGACGGCCCCTGACGAACAAGGACAAACGTTTCAAGAGAAACAAGAACGGGAGACGGAAAAGAAGCGACCAAAGAAGCAGGCGCAATACGAAGAAGAGCATGAAGATATCGCAACAGAAACTCCCAAACATGAGAGAACATCAAAAATACACAAACACACTGAAAACTTGCCAAGAGATAATTTCGATGATGCAAATATCAAGAGGTATGACGACCTCGTTGTTTCAAGACTTTGTGCTAAGAATAGACAGCTTGCAATACCAGTTTCTGTCTGGAACTGAACGAAAGCGAGTTCTCAAGGTATTCATGCTTTTGTTGTAGTTTCTTGGCGATGAAAATCTCTCAGATGGAGAAGGAGTTGGACATTAATTCTCGAGCGATCTACAAGCGTCTCGAAGGCGGAGGAGGATTGCTTCTTCTCACGTCCGATGCGCTCATTATCATCCCAGCAGATCCAGGTGACTGGCAAGGCAAGAACATACTTGACCCGATGACCTGCGAGAGCAGATGGCAAGAAGAAGAACAAGAAGACATCGTTGCACAAGATCACACTTGACAATCTGATCAGTGTAGAACGAGAGGGGTATGAATGCTGAATGATGCAAAGATGCTCCAGAATGACGTTACACATGAGCAGAAGCTTTGTTGAGATCTATGACAAGCGAAAGAATGATCCCATTCGGGTCAACATCAAACATTTTCCCTTTCAGGTTTGGAATCGTGGAGGTTGCTCACTCATGTCAACCTTTAACTGGCATGCAGGAACTCATGGATCTCTTGGACGACATTGCTAAGATCATGAGGCTAGTATGAAGCATTTGATGCTCTCAGGAAGAATACAAACTTTTTTTTCGATCATACTCAAACAATCACATAGAGCCAATCTAAAATCATGCGGTTGAAATTGAATAACCATGACAAGGCATGCTGTCATCAACGGTTGCCCAACACCTTTGCGAATCGCCTGTAGTCCAATACCCCCTTTTGAACCTTGCCAACAACTCAAGTCATTCCAGCACTCACAAGTAGAAGAGGATTCTCACTTCGCATGCCTCTGCGGCCTTCAGAATCTCATCAACCTCATCGTCCTGTGACGAAAAAAAGTCTTTACAAAGCTCACAACTTCAACAGGGAAAGCTGCTCACAGTCAAAGGCTCCCCGAAGTTCCTCATTACAGTTCGAAATTCTTGTGTGGAAATGGTTCCGCTTCCATCTCTGTCAAAAGCACGAAAAGACTGCAACAATGCTCATCTCAACGAGTCAAACAATTCCTCTGGTAAACTACCTCCAGCAATTCAGCTTCTGTTTCTGGCTGTCGAAAGGGGCGCGCCATGACATTGCCTGGCAGGGGGTCAAGTTCGTACAAGAGAATAGAGACACAGGCAAAGATTACAAAACGCGTTGAAGTCAATGTTGCCTTCCCCATTTGGGTCGACCTGTTCAAGGAGTTTTATTACATAACAAGAACCCTCAACAGGAGGCTGGTTACCTCTCGGAGAAGATTGGTCATCTCATCCTGTGATGGATTCTTCCCAAGTGCGCGGATCAATTGGCCGAGCTCTCTCGTGTTGATTGTTCCTGTGTCCTGTCAAACAGGCTGAACCCAAAGTCAATTACGCCCACCTTGACCAGGAGGAAGATGTGGATCTGCAAAGCACGAAAAGGCTTCTCTGATACGCATACAATGTTAGAGTTGAAAAGACAATGCCGCCGCTGCGCTCAGATCAACTTGATCAGAACACTTTCTATCGCCACTTCAGTAACCGAGATCCATTCTGATGCTACCGCATGGTACATGCCATCTCGTGCAACGCGCTATCTTCCTCCTCTCTCACCTCCACTGCTGCAGTTGTTGCTGCTGCGCCATGGCGGGACTGGTCTTCAAGGGTGACCTGGTCGGAGAGGCCCTCTGGAGGCTCTCAGTACACCCCTGAAAGTACCGGTACTTGAGGTGGGTGGTGAGACTACCGGTGTATTTGAGGGATAGTGAATAGGCTAGCTCATGGTGGGTTGGACTCATTGTGTAAGGTTATGGACCTCTTCGTTCGCATTTGAACGAATCAAAGATCCAATTCTGCATCTCTCCATACAATTTGAAAATACAATATATGGTTTGGATGAAAATGTCTCAAATATTGGGATCGAACGGAACTTAAAAATATGTTTATTCCTTCCGTGGTACAAACTGTTGTCTGATTTAGCACTTTTTTCTGTTTATTTATAACCGAACAGGTCGCTATTAGTACCACTAGTTTTTAAACCCATATAAAAATATTTGTAAAAGGCTGGCTACTTGCGGGAGATGCAGGAGATGCCTGCAGCACTGGACAGGCGAGGGAAGGAGGAGGAGAAGCAGAAGGAGGAGGAACAAAGGCTGATGTATGTCATGGTGATGTGAAAGATAGATGTCGATGAAGAGGATGAGACTCTGATAAGAGGTGGTGGATGAGAGAAGCCCGGTAGTTGGGGATGATTTTCATGTGTTCAGACGTACAGGTAGATTGTCGCCGAGACAAGCGAGAACGACGTGTACGAATCGGTGTTTATGGTATATTTTGCCGACAGAGGAAACACTCGTACCAACAGCCATTAAAAGACCTTCTGATATTCAAGAAGGACAGGAGGAATAGAACGTTGTATGAAGTGACTGAGGCTCGAGGAGCATTAACTATCGCAAGTTGTCTGTCTTGAAATGCTGATTTTTCGTGCAGCTTTATGGCGGTTTACCAGCTCTTCTTTCATGTTTAAACACGTCTAGTGCGCGTCCGTCAATGCCGAGGTAAGAAAGAATTTATTTTCACGGTTTCAGATGTGAGCGAAATGGCAGGTTCAACATTGACGCCACACTTCAAAGATCTCTCAATACCTGGTGAGAGCAATGTTCGCTCACCAAATGAATGAAATTTGGTTCTGCAGCCTCTTCCATGCTGCTCATGACGGCTATGATGTTGTCTCCATCATCGAGAAGGGAGCCGATCCAATGGCATCCGGTACGATTATCTTCCATTCCACTTTACAAGACTGATCGGCGAATACATTGAAGATCTTGATGGCCGTCGTGCTGTACACTATGCTGCCATGAGTGGTCATACTTTGAACGTGATTGCGCTGGCTGCCTACGATGCCGAGATCGATGTTCGCACAAACAACGGAAGGACAGCGCTACATGGATCATGTTGGAATGGACACACACAGACAGCGTTACAGGTTTGCCTTCTCGTAACTGACTTCATTGTATTCACGTTCTGTCCAGCTCGTGGAGATGGGTGCAGATCATGCGATCCGAAGTACAGATGGAGCGACTCCTTTGATGGATGCAGCTCGAAACGGGTACGGAGTTTCTGACGTCTGTTTGCAAGGTTCTTTCTTAACCGGCTCTGAACTCTGGGCATTTGCAGGCATTGTGAAACTGTTACCGCACTTGTCACGATTGTTGGAGCTGATGTGGGTGTACGGGACGTTTATGGAAGAACTTCGCTGCACTTTGCGGTGAGGTACCACAACGATGCAGACTGCCGGATGACGGATCAAACAGGCCTTGAACGGTCACTCAGAGATGGTGAAATGTCTTTGCAATCTCGGTGCAGGTCATTTTTCATTTTGACTGTATGCCATTCAATTTCTGATTCATGACGTGCAGATATTGAATCACAAGACAACGATGGATGTCGTCCGTTGCATTTCGCTGCATGGAACGGGTCTGTCAACTTCTCTGTTGACATGTATGTTTATCTATTTTCCTACAGACATCATGATACTGTCCGAATGCTGCTAGTGTTGGGAGCCAATGCTGCATGCATGGACTGCAATTGCTCAACACCGCTGCATGATGCTGCGTTGGGAGGCAGAACTTGTGAGCTTTGCATGATTATGGTAGTTTGCATGACCATGTCTGACAGGTTCTGCTTCGATTCTACTGGATTTTAAAGCTGACTTAGAAGCGCGGAACAATAGAGGAAGCACTCCTCTTCTGTCGGCAGCTTCTTCGGGACATGTAGAGACTACGAAACTGCTGTTGGATGCAAAGGCAGATGTCAATGCTGTGAATGACGACAAACGCTCGGCCCTTCACTTTGCCACTTGGAATTGTCATCCTCGTGCTGTCTTGTTACTGTTGCAGTACGGAGCAGACATGCGACTTGCCGGAGAAGACGGAATCACAGCTTCAGACGGCATCTGCCACCCGGATTTTGATTGGCCTCCAGATATCCTTCAAGAACTTCATACTCTGCGTCTTCCAAACAGCCCGATGCACACTGCAGCAGGAATAGGGGATAGCAAGCGAGTATCTAACTTGGTGAGTATTGGAGTTGATGTCAATTGCCCGAATGACGTCGGAGATACTCCGCTGCACTGGGCTGTTCGCAATCGTCGCTTGCACACGAGTACAGTTCTGTTGGAACTTGGCGCAGATGTCATGAAAAGCAACCGTTTTGGTGTTACAGCATGCAAAGAAATGCTAACCTACATGGACAACATGCAACAAGAATGCCTAGAAAAGAAAATCCTTGAAATATCCAATCAAAAAGGTTCATTGGTCAAGTTGCATAGGAGAGGGAATGCCGTAAGTACGAGATAGTTTGCTTGTCATTCCTGAACTTGAATGCAGAAGAGACGGGACCCTTCCCCCGCTTTAGAGCCCCACGCAAGCTCAGTAATCCTCAAGGAAGGGGGAGCAAAAAGTTCTGCAATTCCTCCAAGGGCTCCAACTCCCACAAAGAAGAGTTCTCTTGCATCGTCATGTGGAATCAAAGCAAACAAGGGCTTCTCATCGTGTGGTATGAGCTACTCTGCAAAAGCACGGGTAGAACATGCGGAAGGTGAAAGTCTGACAGGTTGAGCAAGAATTGTATTACAAGCGCCAGCTGCCTTCTGACTTGTTCGGTTCGGCAGGTACATCTACATCTCTCGGACAGATTCCACGAGAGGATGAGGAGAGCGTCTGCGTTCCTGGTGTGCCATGAAATATCAACACTGGGGAACTCACATATTATGGTCAGGGCAACGAGGAAAATCTCACTCGTTTGCACTGAACAATTGTGAGCATATGGTCTCGTTGGATACAGATGCCAATATGCCAGAAGTTTCAACCTGTCCTTCCAACCAAACCAGCGATCGCAGGTATATGAACCCACTCTTAATTACAAAGCCCTCACCTATTTGTTCAGTTCTCCTCCACCTGAGACGCAAAATCCTGGCGACTGTAACCCTGACGATGTGCACAATCTCTCTGCCCTGCCACAAGAATCGCGAGAGACGCATCCCATTCGATACGCGTGCATGCAAGTCGATGCCTGGGCCAGTCACATCCCTGGCATGAGGATCTGGCAGTCGTCCAAGGAGCAGAGCTCCAAAATGACTCAGACGTGGAACAAGCTCTTAGGAATTGTGACGGGTGAAATCATCTCAGGAGACTACAAGGGTTTAGGGAACACCTTACAATCCATCGCCCCCTTCAAGGTGAGGATGTCAAGAGCAATGAAAGTGTACCATCGACCTAATATAGGCTCACAGGTTGACCCATGGGTGCAGAAGAAGTACAGGTACTTGGAGGATGGAGTGATCGACTGCGCCAACAGGCATGCAGCTGTTCTGTTCCTCCTACTCCTCTGAGCTGCTTCCAGGTGGCGCTCGCGAGCAAGTCTGGTGGCTCGTGTGGGCGGCATGGCAGTGAACATGGTGTCAAACATCTTCCAGAGGAGGAGCCACAAGGGCGGTGCTGTTGTGTCCAAGGATTAGGATGCACATTGTCACACTATGACGTTGAAGCGACACGTGTATAGTATTCGAAACCGGAGGCAAGAAACCAGCTGTATCTTACACACTGATGATTAACCCAATTACAACTTGACAAGCCCATCATGCCACCTTCGATCATCGCTCTTACTAAGCAAGAATCGGGTTCCTGCTGTTTACTTCCTCCCTTCACGCAAACTCCACCCGAGATCCTGCCGCTCCCCCGTTCATCAGACACGCCCACACGTTACCAGCTGGTTGGAAGCGTCAACTCGCGTCAATCTGCATCATCGTGACTTACGTCTTGCTGTCGGTGCCACTGACTGCGACGACATGCTCGCTGATGTCTTGCCAACGGTGGAACGGAGAGAAGAAGCGTTGCTCAAGGCAGTGGTAATCAGACCTGAAGATTCTTGATGAGCCGGTCTGAAGGATGCGACCAGAAGCAGGGAGTGGGTTCACATCGTCAAGAGGACACTCAAACCCGCTGAACACATGCCCTCCATGCACACTCGCATGCAACACAAGCTCAAAGTACACTGACGAACCTGCACATCGAGCTGCTCTGGATGGGATCGTTCTCGGCAGGCCCTGTACACAAAAGTCACCGCTGTGAGGGTCCTCCATCACACTATTGAGCTCACCTCAGCATAAGCCTTGTCTTCCGCAAAAATTTCCGATCCCTGAGGTGGACGATAGACTGTGCCGGATTGCGGCACTTGGCTCCACTGGAGAGCTTCTTCTCCCCTTCGCTCTCGCAGCAGCTCTCCCACAAGCCTTTCTGCGTCGACCTGCACCCACTCTCACTCTCGATGCAAACAGGAGGGAGCCAAGTAACGACCTGCCTGCGACGAGCATCAGCTGCTTGATCCTTCGCTTGTTCCACCTGCGCTCGCATCCAGCAGTCGTTCTTTGCCATGGCAATCACTCGCTTTTCCAGTACTTTGGTCCTTGCTTCTTGATATCCTTCTTCTCCTTCCTTCAGCCCCCGCATGTCTTCATCTTCGTCAATGTGTGTAGCCTGCAGGGCATAGTGCTCGGCCCTTTTTGCCTCCTCCTCGAACTTTCGGTGAGCTGAGAGATACGCCTGACTCTGAGCTTCCAGAGTGGCAACTTGACTTCTGAGAGTGTTGTTCTCCTCCTCGAGCCTCCCGTTCCTCTCTTTCATCGACCTCAGCTGACCTTTGAGCTGTAATACTTCAACGATCAGCTCCTGAACGTCCAGTCCTCCATCCTGCTCAGTCTCTTCCACTTGTTCCGACGGTGCAACAGACTGGTCCGGCTGGGGGAACGAAGGTGGAAGAGTTGGAGGAGGAGCATTCCGAGATGAGAGTGAGGATGGAGAGGAGGAGGATGGAAGTGGGGGGATGGAAGAGGAGAGGGAGGAGGAGGAGGGCGGGGGAGGGGAGGCGGGGGCGGAGGATCCTCCATAGCCATTCGAGAACGCCATTGCGCAGGTTTGGTGCGGGGGGAAAGGTTCCCTAGAATACTTCCTAGGACCTCTGGTGGTCATGGATTATGACTGTGGTCTTAGGAGGTAATTGTACAAGGTGCTAAGGCCCTTTGTGTAGCAGCAAATGAACCTGTTCCTAAGACATGTTGCTATCCCTCGTTGGTATCCATGTAGGACCAACATTGTACTTTAATCCTAGGACTCGGATCCATGTGCTACCTAGGACAAGCTATCTATTGTTTCCCATAGCACTGGTATACGACCGACTAGTAGTAACTTTCATAGGCCCACTACGACCACCTTCAACCCTACTCCAGCCAATGAGGGGATGCAGTTGATGGTCGGGAAGGGGGTGGGGCAATCGAGTCAGGAGGGGTGCTTGTCCCTGTAACCTACTCACGAGAAGGGGTAGGGGTGGGAGGGTTGTAGAAAGAGGACTGAAATGCCAAGGCGCTTGTCAGAGCGCTAAGTGGACGAACGAGGAGGAGGAGGAGGAGGAGGGACGAAGGAGGATAGCGAGGAGAGATGGAAGTTCGGAGTAGAGCGAGCGAGGGGGAGATGCGAGGAAGAGAACCAGATGAGGGTGAACAAAGGAAGATGAGAGGAGGAATGGAGGACCATGGTTACAGTGAACAAAGAAGAGATGAGAGGAGAATTGAAGCAGGGTGAACCAAGGAGAGACGGAGATAAATGAATGCAGAGGATCCGAAAGCTGTCTATTTACCTATTTACTCTTAGCTCACAGAGAAGCAGTTAATGGCGTCACCGTCAGCCGGGTCTCTGCCCAGCTATGGCTCCTCTCCACCTCTACTTAACACTTCTGTTCAAGTGAGCGAATCAATGTATCTTGTTTCAGCAATTGAAACAGTAAAGCAGGCCATGAACATGAATACATATGCTGTATCTCCCACGAATGCTGCTAATAACAACATGATGCAATACAACATTCAACCAAAGTATGCGACTGCTCAGATGTACAACAATTTTCAGCAGGTACAGCCTGTACAAACAGTTTCAATGCGAGCAATGCCCTACAACAGCATGCAGGTTTGCCTTTTTGTGGACCTTGTAAGGTTCATTTATTGTCTTGACTGTAAATCAGGTTCAACCCATGACCACAGCCGTGATTCAAAATCGAAGTGTTATGGTGATCTTCCATGCCATGCAAAGCTTGAGCTCATCAACCTGTTTGAATCTACTAGCCAGTTCAAGACAACACTCAACCTAATGTTGTGAATGACCATTGCAAGAATTGTTCTTCGTTGAAAAGTGAGAATGAGATGTTGATGGAAGAGATTGGGCATCTCCGAGTAAGAACTTGTCAGACACTGCGAACGCATAGTTCTTACTTTCCATGGGCACACAGCGATTGTTGGATAATGAGCGGTCGAAATTGCCGATGGAGAAAGTCATAGTGAAGGAGGTGAGAGAGTGATAAGGTTGTTAGTGATACTTATAGCAACTCCTAGATTCCTGTGGAGAAAGAAGTTATTCGTGAAATTCCAGTTGAAAAAGTCGTCGTCAAGGAGGTAAGGCTGGCGACTTGATCTTGATTTCCTTTGCACATTCTTGTCTTCATCACCCCCGCTCCCTCTCGCTGGCTTGTAGAGCTGAAGCTATTTGCAATGTCAGGTTCCCTTCGAAGTGGAGAAGATTGTCACCCGAGATGTGGAGGTCCTGATCGACAAGATAGTGATCAAAGAAATCATCCAAGAGATTCCAGTCGAAAAAGTCGTACAGAGGGAGGTGCGCAACCCACGACTTTAGGTTTGAAAGCGCTGAATGAATTGAAGGTGCCGGTTGAAAAGTTCTTTGAGAAAGTGTATGAGAAGCATATCGAAGTCCCAGTGGAGAAGGTGGTAAATGTGGAAGTTCCCGTCGACAGAATTGTATACAAGGAAAGGGAGTCTCCCCCTCCAGAACGTGAGCATTGAATCTCATCCTTGCTTTGATAGAGCTGACTTATATCACAAGGTCGAATGGTTGGTATCGGACTGATGCTCGAGCGACTCTCAAACGTTGTTTCTTGTTTAATGCTCCGCAACTCTCTAAGGGTTTCGGCGTCACAGGAATACTACACCTACGTAGAAGAGATCGTCCCTGGCTTTGCGGCAGACCTGAGCGGCCAGATACAAGTGACTGGGATGTTCAGGATGTTGCAGCCCCTCACTCTCCTTGTCTCAGGTCGGTGACATCGTCTTGTACGTCAACGACATCTCCCTGGAGGGGATGCCCCTCGACGACATCAAGCAGGCAAGCAGAATGATGTCTAGACCTCCTCAATAACGCCTGGTAACTCCCAGCTCACCGTCGGACCTGAGGGGACGGTGTGCTCCTTGAAGTTAATGCGCGGCGAGGAGTAAGGAGTAGGGCTGGTTGCCGAAGACTGACTCATGTTTCATTCAGACTGTTTGCTGTCAATCTATTCCGAAGGAGTGCTATGTCGTTGAACCCAAACAACTACGATGCTGCACTAAGGGTGAGAGAGACGAAGAAGAAAGTATCTGCTTGTGTTGGTTGACCCTAGACACATAGATCACGAGCTTTGAATCGTTTCAAGAGTCTGAGAACAACAGCTATCAAGAGAGGGACCATGACCGCAGCAGGTCATCTTCGAATAATACGAACTACAACGGACAAAAAGGTTTTTCTTTGAATGATCCGAGATTTACGTTAACCGTGCAGATGATCGCAGAGTACGCATTTCGTTTTGAACCACGTTATGACTTGAACATCTAGTGCCAACCATTAGCTGCTGCATTTATTGAGTACTGAGATAGACTGTATTCATTCTTGTTCACTTTTCATTACAAGTTTGGGGTCGGAAGAACGAAACAAGACTAGCAACTATTGCTAGTCTTGAAACCACGATGATTGCGCCGACTGATATTTGACTCGTCAAAGTATAGCCCAACCATGACACACTTACTTGTACAACTCCCATCAATGCAGGACCAGAGTAGGAGAAGTTGGTCCGGACAAACTCGCATCTGGTATGGATATCAGATTTCAAATTTAAAGGCAAGAGGCTCGCTCACGGAGGAATGTACATGATTCGCTGATCTCCGTCGACTCCCAGCCCAACCCGGTCCCTTTCCAACAAATACTCGATGAAACCGTCTGTGGCACGAAATGAAACACTGCAACAGTCCCTCTTCTCGGTTTACCATAACCTGCTTGATCGTTCGGAGTGCAAGGCTGGAAGTATAAGATGGAAGCAGTTTCAAGAGTTACAAAGTTGCTCAGCTTCAGGTCACTGTCAGGACAGCTAACGCGCAAGGAACAGGCTTACATGTGCTATGGGAAATCGTCGCTCAACCACCAAATGAGCAGATATCTCATGACATTGCTGCCCCCCCACGTTGTAGATGTTCAAGTCACACACGACTTTTCCGCTCTTAAAGAGTGTTGACTGCCATGATGGAATCGACGTTATGATCGGGTAGATACTGCAACAAGCATGTCATGGAACAACTTGAAGAGACAGAGATCAGGGATCAACCTTTTCCAACAGTCGTCATCATGCAAGCGGAGTGTGGGATGCAGGAATTTCCAGGCCTGCTCATCGTGCTTGAGGTATGGCCAGACCTGGTCACGAGCAATCAAAACTGAAATTCACACGTGGGCAACCTTGAGACAGAGTCTCTTCCACAGCGATTCATCAGATCCGAGCTCCTTGAGCCTCTCGTTCATTCCCGTGATCTGGCACCACTGAGCTTGCAAGACCATCGCCCCCTCGACTCACTTTCATGAGGGTGTGGCCATCAAGTTTGGCCAAGATCGTCGACACCATGAAGTCCGGAAGGTCGCCCAGAAGCTTTTCACCATTGAAATCCTTAGCAGCAGGAATGTCTTCCAGCGATCCCGTAAAAGGAGGAGGCTCCCATGCCATGTCGTCGTCTGAACTGCTGTAATCCTGCTTAGAAAATCAGCACATTACCGTTGCGCCGCCTCATGGCCACCTCGGAGATATCGAAATCTGGGGGCAGGACGGAAGGGATGTCGTACGAGCTCTGGTAGCAACTCGTCAGGAGGAAGAGGAGAGTTAGCTAGAGTGCCTTTTGCAGCTCCAAAAGAATTCTATCTCGCAAGAGGCCAGCGGATTCTGCGGAGAACAAATCAAGGGCTGGGGAGCAACCAAGCAAACAGAGCGATTCAACTTGTTTTCAACTCAGGGTTGTCTTCGAATGATTGCACTATGTCCTTCAGACTTGACGGCACTCCACGTCAGGATGTATTCTGCGATCGAAACTTGTGCAGGCTCACCTGTTGAGAAGGTAGGGAACCGTGTCCCGCTCGTGAAACGGAGCATCGCTCTCCCTGCCGTCACCTGTCGTGCACGCGTCACGCTCTCACAGTCGCCCTTCACGCTGCATTCCTGCTGGCAACAGCTCTTGGCAGAGCATGGGAGCCTCGTGGGGGATTGCGCTGCTTGACGACGCAGGAGCTACGGGGAGATCGAGCGAGCGCTGCGGAGACTCACGAGAACGCGTGAATCGTGAGGCGCGATGGTGGGACCGCGAGGTCCCGCCGAGCAAGCCCCTCGCCTCTCCTCCCCTCTCTTGCATGCTGCCCGTCACGTTTGGCTGCCCTGGGCCCATTGAGAGGTTCGCCATCATGGATTCGTCGGCCCCGAGCTCGGAGGAGAAGTCATGCGAGCGGTTCTCGTGGACGGTGTCACTGCACACCCAGCACAAAAGCGGGAACATCAGAGGCAGGTGATCTCTGCCACAAGATTCACCTGCATACTGAATGCTCCAGGTTCTGAACTTCGTCTCTCGCCTCCTCTCTCAGTCGAAGGTGTGAGGAATTATCCCATGTGCTGTTTCTACCCGATCCGAGATGAATCGTCCTTGGCTTCAGCAAGCCATTCACCAACTCATTCAGCTGAGACCCTCGACCGTTTCCAAACGAGTTCGGCGAGTTTGAGTTGTCACCAGCAAGAGAAAGCTCGCAAGCGAGGACCAAGAACATTGCCAGGGACAGCGTGGGGCGCATGCTGCTATCGATTACTCTCACGATCCCTCCTCTTCCATCTCTACCGGACCTTCTCACCTACATCCTCGTCGCCATAGCCACAGCTCATGTCCATTTCTCCTGCTCCTCTCCTGCTCCTCTCCTCTCCTCCCCGTCTCCGACCTGTCATCACTTTGCCATGGATAAAGACTCTGAGGTGAGCCCAGTACAGAGACTGTCGGGGAACAAACAGTCTTTGGAGCAAAGCAGAAACAGTCTAGACAACTGGAGGAAATCGATCATGAGAGAGAAACTTTGTCCACTGCTGTTGATGGGCTGAGCAGGCTGGACTGAGACGGGAATGGTTGCCTTCTAAACAAACCGATATAGCGACATTCTAGTCCCAATCCTACGAGTCAGTTTGCCACGCATGGTATCAGATTTATTACACCAGTAAGAAACTTGGCAAGTTTCAATTCCTGGCCTTGGTCGACCTCCCTCCGACCGCTGAGATGCCGCGCAATCGAACTCAATCTGCTGCCGTCAGCCAGTGCCGTGCGAGCCCCAGGGCTCGTCCAGGGTCCTCAGGGCACTTGTGATTTCCAAATGGGTTTTACTTCTTGTACACGAGGTAGCAGGCCGTCGATATGGTAGCAAGGATGGCGCCGATGCCATTGGGTCCCCACACGTAGATGTCACTGATTGCCCGTCCGTACATGAACCAGAACAGACCGTTAAGAATGCCTGCGTCACAACATGAATCAGCAACAGTGATTGAGCATGCCGCATGCCTTACCAGCCACGGTCAGCAAGGGATCGATGGATTGAGCGTTCTTAGTCTTGATCACCGTAGAGATAGTTGCGAGAGGTGAGCAGTAGTAGATCATCAACAGCGCAATCCCAACTCTGCCGATCACTTCCTTGGCAGGGATGCTAAAAACTCCCGAGAAGGCAGCGATGATGGCCAAGCCGATGGCAGAGGCATAACTAACAAACGACTTCATGATGGATGACTTCTGCTGGACGCTGCCCATGGCATGGCCGGTGTAGGTGAAGAAAAGTCCAAGTGACAAGCCCACGATGTTAGGGATGACAATCCAGACGTTCTGTTGTGCCAGTGAGAGACCCAGTGGAAGATTAGATAAAATGCAAGTGAACCTTCACAAGAAGTGCATAGGTGAGCCAGGCAGCACAGTTTCCGCACTGCGCTGGATAGGGCTGGAGATTCAACTCGCCCAGGGCCCCATCCTTCTGAGCCTTGAGAACAGCTGGGAGGGGTGAAGAGAACATTGCAATGGAGACGAGAAGCCCACAAAGAGGAGCCAACGTCTTAAGAACAAGATCGCTGGACAAAACTGAAGCTTTCGTTGCTGTAGCTCCTCCTCTGTATCCAAAAACACATTTCAGCACAAAGGAACATGAGAAGCAGGTCAAACCGGAGGTTGCTTCGAGAGAGTACGAATTGCTTTTGCTTGAGGGAAATACCAAATGGTCTTGAAAAACTTGGCTTCCAGGTAGTAGCCTTTGAACCAGAAAGTCCGATGGAAGTTGAGACCAATGCATTTGCACTGAGAGGAAGAAGCAAGGTGCAGAGAAGCAGAAACGACCTGCAAGTGGGAACGTGAGAGCAGTCATAGGTCATTGCCGCCCAGATTTGACAGCCAGGCATCATTCTTCTCTCTAAAAACAATTACACAGACAATGAGAGGATCTTAAGTGGCTGTAGATCTCAACGGCAAAGAGCAAGGTTTCAATCGCGCTGCCAACTTGTGTGCCTCTGTAAGGAGAAACTTCTAGTTTCCCTCGAGGTAACATGCTCAATCTTCAACAAGTCGCTGCCATGAAATTTCCCTAGTCATCTCAGATTTTCCGCTCTTGTCTCCCTATCCACCCCTCCTCTCCGCTTCCCTCCCCTCCCCTCCATCTTTTACCTTCCTGCCATGGTAACGGGGAATAATCGATGGGTTTCAACCGTGGGGTAGGGTGAATCTGCCACCGGTATTTATTCCTACAAAGAGATCTTGATATGGGGGGTGAGACAGCTTGGTAGGCCCTCATTTTTGGGGCAACTTGAACAGTAAAAAGGCCGTCGCTTGCGTGGTTGTAGCAACGGTTTTCGCTGCCTCCTTCGTTTCCTAGTATTTTATTGAGGCGGGTTTGTAGGCTTTATCCTCGTCCTCCTTTGCATCTGAAGCTGTCGATGGAGGTAAGTGGAAGCACAGGCGCCTGTTATCTCAAGATACCGCAGGATCATTTTTCAAGGATTGACGAGCAATGCACAAAGATTGAGAAACGACTTGCAGAAGACAAGCAAAGTATGTGCCGCCGCGGATCGATCGAGCGATCGCCGACAAATGTGATGATTTCTAGACGAATGGTGATGATTTGTACAGGTCTAGAGGGGAAAATTGTGGGTCTTGCAACAGAAATCGTCGAAAATAATCAGAGTATACCGCAACGACTCGAGTGGTCTTCGAACAGAAATCGTCGAGAATAATCAGAGTATACCGCAACGATAGATCGAGCGAGATACGAAAGCCCGCGACGCGAAAAGGATGGCTGATCTCGCCATCTCCACATCGATGACCTGCATATCGCTAGCCCCGCACGACCTGCACGCGTCTCGCAGGACGCGGGCGAGGGTCGTCGTACTCGAGCTTGACGATGCAGTCTCCCTCCTGCACGCCCTTGGCATGAGCCTCGGAGTCAGCCTTGACACGGCTGACGCGGATGGGGACGGCGAAGGCGTCTCGCTCTCGAAGGCGAGCACAGATGCCCCAGCTCTCTGACTCGAAGTCGACAACCAGCTGCCTTGTCTTGTGCATGCTGGTCACAGCAAGGAGTCAAGAGCAGAGCAGCAAGGAGACGACACGGGAAGATGACAGCTCAGATATCGCCACAAAGACCTCGCTGAGACCCACACGTACAGACAAGCGCTCAAGCGAGGCTAGAGCGCAGGGACGAGCGGAGGAGGAGGAGGATGTGTCAGGCGAGAGCGAAGGGGTGTGGGATGACGAGATGAGTGCAGAGTCACGCCCACACACGCAGGCAGCGGCCCGGACACATCATCGGACAGGTCAGCCAGCAGCTCGGGCGAGAGCAAGATAGCACATCAAGGTACTCTCTAACAACTACGTGCGGGCAAGAGCTGGCCGAGGGTGAGCTAGAAGGGCGTCAAGAGTCCAAGGGAGCAAGCCGGCCGTGCCAGCACTCTCGGGTCAGGGAAGCGCAGGCGAGTAGAGGACGGGAGGACGGGAGCGTGGCAAGGGGGGAGGTGGGTGGGGGCAGGTTTGTGGGTGAGGACAGGAAGGGACTGAGGTTGATGATGGAAGGCTGTGGGTTTCGCCGTACCCGTGGGTTTGACGGGAATGGAAGGGAAGGAAGGGGGTGTGGTGGGGTGACCCTTCTTATCTAGTGCACTCTGTTCGAAAACAAGGCGGAGAGACAGGGGTGGGTGGGGGCAGGTTTGTGGGTGAGGACAGGAAGGGACTGAGGTTGATGATGGAAGGCGGGGAGTGACGATGACGGGGAGGAATGGGCGACATAGATCACGCCATGGTGTAGGGCGACCTTGATACGCAATAGAGGAGAGCAAGATGTAGCAATTGCTTGCGGTGTGTATGATCCATGTACAATATGTACATTTATTCAATCAAAATCATCTCTCACCCCTGCCATGGAGATGCCTGACAGGAGGCGCTGCGCTCATCTTCTCCCTCCCACCGTCACCGCTGGCTTGGACTCTCGCTGACAGTCCCTCGCCTTGATCCTCCCCTGCAGATACGACGCCCCGACCCCGCACGCCTCTGCCACCTTCCTCAAGTCCGCCTTCCCCCCCGCTCTCCCTGCCCACACCTTGTAGATCAGCTCGGCGGCTACAGTAGCGGGAGCGCCCTGGATGTGGCTGCCTGACTGCAGCCTGACGGCGTCTGCAGCATAGCTCTGCGGGAGGTCGAGCCTCCCTAGGAAGCGATCGAGCAGCTGGTCGTAGGCCTGCGGCCTCGTGCCCTGGTTCCGCTTCATGGCGCATCTCGAGACTTTGTAGAAGGCCGCCCCCGTCGCCTGACAGACCTCCCGCATCGTGCGAGACTGGCCGAGCTCCTTGCAGGCCAGAAACAGAGCTGCAGACACGTACACAACCAGCCTGCTCTTGTTGCGAGGCATGCGGGCTGCGATCCCCAAGGCCTCCTGCCGGACCTGCTGGGTGACCTCGAGCTTCTCGCCGAGCTCGCTGATCAGGCCTCTGAGCTCGGCCATGTAGGGGTCTGGGACGTCAGCGGCGCCGAGCTTAGCCCTCTTACTGCAGCCGGCGCGGGCGTCGTCGCCATCGACGGGTCTCTTGGAGCCAGCAGCTGGGCCGCTGCTGCCCCCGGCGCACGTCGGGCTCTTGGGCCCCTCTACCAAGACGAACTGGTAGGGAGACGAGCGATGGACGACGCCGCAATGCGTGCAGACGACGATCGCGTCTCGCTCGATGACCTGCATGTCGCTAGCCCCGCACGACCTGCACGCGTCTCGCAGGACGCGGGCGAGGGTGACCCTACAGCTGCCCCCCGCGAGCAGCTTGGGGTGTCTGCCGTCGTGACGGACGTACTCTACGGTGTCGTCGTACTCGAGCTTGACGATGCAGTCTCCCTCCTGCACGCCCTTGGCATGAGCCTCGGAGTCAGCCTTGACGCGGCTGACGCGGATGGGGACGGCGAAGGCGTCTCGCTCTCGAAGGCGAGCACAGATGCCCCAGCTCTCTGACTCGAAGTCGACAACCAGCTGCCTTGTCTTGTGCATGCTGGTCACAGCAAGGAGTCAAGAGCAGAGCAGCAAGGAGACGACACGGGCAGATGACAGCTCAGATATCGCCACAAAGACCTCGCTGAGACCCACACGTACAGACAAGCGCTCAAGCGAGGCTAGAGCGCAGGGACGAGCGGAGGAGGAGGAGGATGTGTCAGGCGAGAGCGAAGGGTCAGGTCAGTAGTCTAGGGGTGTGGGATGACGAGATGAGTGCAGAGTCACGCCCACACACGCAGGCAGCGGCCCGGACACATCATCGGACAGGTCAGCCAGCAGCTCGGGCGAGAGCAAGATAGCACATCAAGGTACTCTCTAACAACTACGTGCGGGCAAGAGCTGGCCGAGGGTGAGCTAGAAGGGCGTCAAGAGTCCAAGGGAGCAAGCCGGCCGTGCCAGCACTCTCGGGTCAGGGAAGCGCAGGCGAGTAGAGGACGGGAGGACGGGAGCGTGGCAAGGGGGGAAGGGAACGAGCGTTGCCATAGAGAGTCCCCTTCCCTAGGTAATTATAGCCTGCCTTGACTGCGTTTGTGGGTTTCGCCGTACCCGTGGGTTTGAGCGGAATGGAAGGGAAGGAAGGGGGTGTGGTGGGGTGACCCTTCTTATCTAGCTAGTGCACGCTATCGAGAACAAAGGGGTCCTTGGACTTGAGCCTGGTTTTGATTTTGGGTTTAGTTCAGCACGTGCGACAGGGCATGGTTGAATGGAGATTGGGGCACGGTCGACAAAGGAGATAGACAGCACGACAGAGTGGCATGAATGGATTGATTTATGATTACTATCAAAGGATATAGATTAGTAATGATTCAAAGACACAAATGTCCGTTTTGATTGTTGAGATGCAATGTTTCAGCAGTTGTACATATTAATCAAGAAAAACATAGATCCCATGTTTTAAGACCTTCAAGTAGTTACATGCGATTTATGAATGACGTTTTTACAGGCTCAAGAAGGTTTCTGCATAAGGCATCCAAAGTAGAATGCTGCCTAAAGAGACGACAGGAGAAGTAATTGACAGTGCATGTTTGAAGGCCCTCGGCTCTCAACAATCCACCGTGATCGATGAGGAATACATCCCTGCGAAGAAGGCAGGGAAGGTTCTCAACAAGTTCCTAGAGGAAGATGATCAACAAACGTACATAGACTCTGACAGGTGAGCAAATGTGCATCTGATCATGCTCCTTGTCTGCCGTTTTGACACCATTTCAGAAAAACGATTCTCTCCACTCTCCATGCATCAATCATGAAACAATAATTTGTAAATTATCAAGAACATCAGAATGATGAATGACCTTTATCTCTTGATGTATTTTACTCTTTCGATCCCTCCTGCCTATCCCACGCACAGAAATACTTGTGCTAAGCTCACGGTTTCTTTAAGGGTGACGAATATCAGCAAAAGTTGTAAAACTATTCGAAATTCTGGAACACATGACATCTCCGGGGGCACTGTGACACAATTCAAGGTCTGTTGTTGCATATCATAACTGTCGTTGGACTTCACTGCTGTGAACAAGCAATCTTACTCATCTGTGGCCCTCATCGTATGTTCGAGCAAACTTTCCTTCACATGAACCGACAAAATTTTCCAGATCTACAGACATCACAACGAGTGCCATGATCCCTCAACAGGGACAGCACAACTGCCGCAACTCGAATGAATTTTCAAGTCTCATAAGAATTCCATCAGACTCTAATCAGAATGAAGATGGGATCAAATGAGGATGAGATTGATTGAAGGATTATGACGATTGATGGTAGGGTTATGACGAGATACAGGCATTTTTATGAGTTAATTGATGATGACACCGACAGTAGAAAAGAGAGAGGGAAGGACGCGAGGTCTCCACAGGATGCTTTCAGTCGCAGTACTGTCCGTTTGTTGCAGCACTTTCATCACATATCCTGGAACCTGTACTTGAGTCATTGTCTCGTCTCCGATGATTGTAAAACATCCTTTCACTCTCTTCTCCATTTGCTAATACCTTCTTGGTCCATTACTGACTTTAGCGTACAGGCCGTCGCTTGCGTGGTTGGAGTGCCGGTTTTCGCTGCCTCCTTCGTTTCCTAGTATTTTATTGAGGCGGGTTTGTTGGCTCTATCCTCCCCCTCCTTTGTTTGCTTCGGTTTGTCCTTCTTTTTCAGTCAATAAAGTACGGACTTTAGCGTCGTGAGTTGGCGCCAAATCTGAGGCCACAGACTTTCCTTGAACAGTGGGGAGGACCCCCCATCTGTTACTACCATAGCTTTATTCAACTAATACCTTTCTGGTACTGATAAGTTTACTTCTGTTTGTTCAAGTTGCCCCTAATCCTACCAAGTTCCCGGAAAGCGCCAGGGAAAGCGCAAAACTGACTCAGGTGATGTTGGTGAAGGACGTGTCGAACAACATGAGCGGCCTCGGAGAAGGAGATGAAGGGAGCCTCGGAGAGAAGGGAGAGGGAGAGAGGAGAGAAGGAGAGGGAGAGGGAGACGGAGAGAGAAAGAGCGGCCTCGGAGAAGGAGAGGAAGGGAGCCTCGGAGAGAAGATGAGAGAGGGAGAGGGAGAGGGAGATTCTGTGAGACTCGACAGCATACGAGAAGTGTATTCCGACGACGATTTTGAGAACATGGTGTATTCTGGCGCTCCTGCAGATCTGCCTGCAGTGAGGAGAGAGATGCTGAAACAGAGCACCATGGCTGCTGACCGAATGAAAGCAAACGGATGGTCCAACACTTTGCCGCTGGAGCACTTGAATCGCGTCGGGCAGAAGGTAGGCCTGCCACAGGTTTCAATCAAAAATAAGAATCATAATGACATAGCGCCGAACGAGGGTGGGCCCAAGGCTGGGGATAGCTTTCAGGCAGATCTATGCGTCAAGTTCGAGCAAGACGTCGCTCTGCACTATTTCTTCAGAGGGTTGATCGAAAATTTTGAAACTGACGTAAAACCTGTCGCCGCAACTTATCCGAACCATCCGAATTTCAACGATGTTCGCATCAGACAAGGACAATACATGTGTTTCGAGATTACCCTGTCGTTGAAAAAAATTTTGAGCAAAATTCATCAGCTTGTACGGCTCTACTCTGCTAATGGTCTCAAAGACGACTTTATTGGAAAAAGAGCAGAAATTGCAGTCATTGGTCTTATCGTTAGCGGGGATAGGAAGAAGTTTGAAGATACAGCCGAGAAGCTCAGATCTTTCTTCCAAAGAGCTAGCGAAGACGAAGTTCTGTCCAAGTACATGATCGATAAAACGATTCCGATTTTCCTTTGTCGTGTAAATCGCAAGAATCTACACACCCGGGTGATGGATCTGAAACTGTCGATGGAGGTAAGTGGAAGCACAGGCGCCTGTTATCTCAAGATACCGCAGGATCATTTTTCAAGGATTGACGTGCAATTCACAAAGATTGAGGAACGACTTGCAGAAGACAAGCAAAGTATGTGCGACAAATGTGATGATTTCTTGACGAATGGTGATCAGTGATTTGTACAGGTCTAGAGGAGAAACTCGTGGGTCTTCGAACAGAAATCGTCGAGAATAATCAGAGTATACCGCAAGGAAAGATGGAGCTACGAATGGTGATCAGTGATTTGTACAGGTCTAGAGGAGAAACTCGTGGGTCTTCGAACAGAAATTATCGAGGCGATGAAGAGCCAGCGGCAGGCGATCACGACAGAAAGGATTATGTCACCTGAAGCTGCGGTCGGATTCTTTGCCGCCTCGGTGATTGGAAGCTTGCTCTTTTCTCGTTTTCGTTCCAACTAGCCAGCGATTGGTCTTCCATAGTATTCTTTTCTCTTTTTGTAAACCATATCTGGCGATAGATGTTGTGCCATAGGCAGCTTATTTGGTCCATTCGTTACTGGAACTTACTTGGCGGATCGGAGCGAAATACGAATAGTAATAATTGCTACATCTTGCTCTCCTCTATTGCGTATCAAGGTCGCCCTACACCATGGCGTGATCTAGGTCGCCCATTCCTCCCCGTCATCGTCACTCCCGCCTTCCATCATCAACCTCAGTCCCTTCCTGTCCTCACCCACAAACCTGCCCCCACCCACCCCTGTCTCTCCGCCTTGTTTTCGAACAGAGTGCACTAGATAAGAAGGGTCACCCCACCACACCCCCTTCCTTCCCTTCCATTCCCGTCAAACCCACGGGTACGGCGAAACCCACAAACGCAGTCAAGGCAGGCTATAATTACCTAGGGAAGGGGACACTCTATGGCAACGCTCGTTCCCTTCCCCCCTTGCCACGCTCCCGTCCTCCCGTCCTCTACTCGCCTGCGCTTCCCTGACCCGAGAGTGCTGGCACGGCCGGCTTGCTCCCTTGGACTCTTGACGCCCTTCTAGCTCACCCTCGGCCAGCTCTTGCCCGCACGTAGTTGTTAGAGAGTACCTTGATGTGCTATCTTGCTCTCGCCCGAGCTGCTGGCTGACCTGTCCGATGATGTGTCCGGGCCGCTGCCTGCGTGTGTGGGCGTGACTCTGCACTCATCTCGTCATCCCGCACCCCTAGACTACTGACCTGACCCTTCGCTCTCGCCTGACACATCCTCCTCCTCCTCCGCTCGTCCCTGCGCTCTAGCCTCGCTTGAGCGCTTGTCTGTACGTGTGGGTCTCAGCGAGGTCTTTGTGGCGATATCTGAGCTGTCATCTGCCCGTGTCGTCTCCTTGCTGCTCTGCTCTTGACTCCTTGCTGTGACCAGCATGCACAAGACAAGGCAGCTGGTTGTCGACTTCGAGTCAGAGAGCTGGGGCATCTGTGCTCGCCTTCGAGAGCGAGACGCCTTCGCCGTCCCCATCCGCGTCAGCCGCGTCAAGGCTGACTCCGAGGCTCATGCCAAGGGCGTGCAGGAGGGAGACTGCATCGTCAAGCTCGAGTACGACGACACCGTAGAGTACGTCCGTCACGACGGCAGACACCCCAAGCTGCTCGCGGGGGGCAGCTGTAGGGTCACCCTCGCCCGCGTCCTGCGAGACGCGTGCAGGTCGTGCGGGGCTAGCGACATGCAGGTCATCGAGCGAGACGCGATCGTCGTCTGCACGCATTGCGGCATCGTCCATCGCTCGTCTCCCTACCAGTTCGTCTTGGTAGAGGGGCCCAAGAGCCCGACGTGCGCCGGGGGCAGCAGCGGCCCAGCTGCTGGCTCCAAGAGACCCGTCGATGGCGACGACGCCCGCGCCGGCTGCAGTAAGAGGGCTAAGCTCGGCGCCGCTGACGTCCCAGACCCCTACATGGCCGAGCTCAGAGGCCTGATCAGCGAGCTCGGCGAGAAGCTCGAGGTCACCCAGCAGGTCCGGCAGGAGGCCTTGGGGATCGCAGCCCGCATGCCTCGCAACAAGAGCAGGCTGGTTGTGTACGTGTCTGCAGCTCTGTTTCTGGCCTGCAAGGAGCTCGGCCAGTCTCGCACGATGCGGGAGGTCTGTCAGGCGACGGGGGCGGCCTTCTACAAAGTCTCGAGATGCGCCATGAAGCGGAACCAGGGCACGAGGCCGCAGGCCTACGACCAGCTGCTCGATCGCTTCCTAGGGAGGCTCGACCTCCCGCAGAGCTATGCTGCAGACGCCGTCAGGCTGCAGTCAGGCAGCCACATCCAGGGCGCTCCCGCTACTGTAGCCGCCGAGCTGATCTACAAGGTGTGGGCAGGGAGAGCGGGGGGGAAGGCGGACTTGAGGAAGGTGGCAGAGGCGTGCGGGGTCGGGGCGTCGTATCTGCAGGGGAGGATCAGAATTTGCAAGGTTGTGAAGGAGGGGGTAGGGGCTTAGGGATGGTCAGATGGGGCTTAGCTATGGCCAGAATCATGACATTAGTGGTAGGTTTTCAATGATAAATGACAACTTGCCTTCTTTTTAATTTCCATCTGCTTCTTATCCTCTGTGAAGGGCGAGGGGGAGCTGCTGGACGATGATGATGGGGAGGAAGGAAAGTTAGAAAAAGGGAGGGAGGAGTTTAAAGTAGGGAAAGAGAGGGAGGAGAGGAGCAGGAGCAGGAGCAGGAAGAGGAGGAGGAGGAAGAGGAGTGTGCTGGGTCTCTTATCAGTGTGGATTGCTGTTTCAACGTCAAATTGTTTACTTTGAGGCAGATTGATGTACATCCACTGACTTCTTGCGGTCCTTAGCAGTCATCGAAGGTACCATTACCCCTTTGACCTGCCTCACAGACAGGCGGCTGTCCCTTGACCTAGCGATCCCACGTGATCACTACGGGACGCGTGCTCCTCCTACCAGCTCCCACCAGCACTCCTTCACCCTCCCCATGTCAGACTCCCGCAGTCCCTGTCTGCTGCTTCCTCTTCCTCGCTTGCTGATCTTGTGGAGGTGGAGACAACCTTCCTGCTCCACCCCTCTCCAGCTCCAGCCCGCCTCGAGCATCTACATCTTCGAGCGGCTCCTACGAGGACAGCAGTGGATCGCGTCCAAAAGGTTCGTTCTTCGTTCTCTCTCCCGACGCTCAGAAGCCAAACTTGTGCGCCAGGTTGCGAACTTGCTCCCAGAAGACCAAGCACAGGACCTGGAGGAGAGGATGAGCTCAAGGGCGGGAGAAAAGGCGGAGCAGGAGGAAAAGGTGCAGAAGCAGAAACAGGAACAGGAGCAGGAGCAGAAGGTGCAGGGCAGGAGCAGGAGCAAGAGCGGGAGCAGGAGGCTCACAGTGTGGGGTCCAAGACGAGCATAGTGTGCTGTCCATCCCTTAAAGAATCCTCCTGCAAACAGGTACGTTATTCTTAGATCTGTAGTCTCCTCTTCCTGCTCGTGCTCGTGCTCGTCCTCCTCCTTTCTCACCAAGCCCCTCAGCTCTCGCAGTCTTGATGAAACAATCCACAGGACCCGAGTAAATTCTCTTGGCGCCCTGAGGCTGCGTGTAGAGCCTCGTGCTCACCTGAAGAAAAGGGGAGGAGAGGACGAGGGTGAGGGGAAGATAACGGAAGGCGAGGAGAGGAGGAAGAGAAGGGAAAAAAAAAGTAGGAACAGTTGGCGGCGAAGGAGATAAAAGAAGGCCGAAGTCGCATGAAGTTAGCAGAGCGAGGGAGCCGGAAGGAGGTGGGAAATGGTTGTAGGGAGATTGGAAGGAGAAGAGGCGGAGAAGGTCTTACGACATCGAAGGGGTTCATGATGGTAGTAACCACAATTCCCGACACCTTGTACATCAGTCAAGCAGCCTCGGATCCCTCCTGCCTCCTCAACCATCGATGAACTGAAGTGACACAAAATTCCATCATGAAGATAACCCAGCGCAAGGATTCGCTGCTTCACCTGCATGCTGCCGTGTCAGCTCTCGTCTCAGTTCCCTCCTCCTCCTTCTCCTCCCTCCCACCCCCACATCTTTCTCCTCCTCCTCCTCCTCCTCCTCCTCCTCCTCCTCCTCCTCCTCCTCCTCCTCCCACATCTTTCTCCTCCTCTTCCTCCTGGCCTTCCCTCCCTTCGTCTCCATGACCTCATCCTCGTCCTCGCTTTGCCCTTGCTCTCGGTCGTACCGTCTCATAGGTGGCCAGCTGCGAGGCGGATCCTACCATGACGCGAGGAACGGCTCCATCGATTCCCCTGAACCAGCCAGACATTCCCTCCTCTTTGTAGACCTGAACGACATATAAGGGAATGATTGCTGTCGAGGTGGGTCCAGGGGCAAAAGAGAAAGAGAGAGAACGAGGGAAGCTCGTGAGTAAGAGGTCTAGGTAGAGATCGAGCAACAGCAGTAGCCTTGTAAAGGTGGTGGAGGAGAAGAAGCAGGTTGAGCAGGAGCAGGAGCAGGAGGGGCAGGAGCAGGTGGGAAGAGAGGGAGGAAGTAGAACGAATCTCACCTTCACGAGACCATCGACCATTCCCTTGTAGTCGTATTGGTTAGCATGGAGAGTCTGAATTCAAAGAGGAAATTTTCAGACACAGATAAGGAAAAATGAAAAGGTTTGAGAAGATGATTTCAAGAGAGTCAACAGACCCCGCTGTTCTTGGCGATCTTTGACATGGCTTGCAGCCTGGGAAGGGAAGCTGAGAGACGCGAGGGCAGGAGACGAGTCGAGTCACCTGCATTTGACCATGAAGAACGGCGAACCGATGACCTGCCGACGGGATGAGTTGAAGGGGCAGGAGGAGGAGGAGCAGGAGCAGGAGGAGGAGCAACAGTCCGCAGAAGCTTCATACTCACCGCTCCGATGGCACCAGAAGTAGCTCCCGCCCCGATCTGCCTGAGAACGTTCATGGGGCTGTGGCTGCCGTCATCGTTGAGGAGCCTGAGAGAGCATGAGGGAGAGATCACAGGGTAACCCTGGAGAGCAGACAGCAACTTCATCTGTACCATCGGAGTACTTTCGTCTGCTCTTTCACTCCCTCCCCCACCAAGAACAAGGAGCATGCCTCATCCTCTTACCCCATCCTTCCCCCCAACTCGCGTCTCCTCCATTCCACATCTCCTCGTCCGTTGCTCCTCACCGCTTCAGGGTTGGGTATATCCCCAATCGTGCGCCGTTCATGAAGAACTGATACACCATCCCTGCTCCCAACCGTCATCCTCCCCCGCACGATCTCCAGCACCTCAGCAGGATCGTCTACCTGGCACCAACCCCTTCTGGATAGCAAGGACCCCCTCCTCCCTGCGCCAGCCACAGCACGTAAGCTCCTCCTCAGCCACAGCACGTCAGCTCCTCCTCAGCCACAGCACGTCAGCTCCTCGAACTTCCTCATCCTACCTGGGAATCTTCATGAAGGCATCGATGAGTCCCTTGTACACGCGCCCTTGAGCTGCGCTGTTGGCCATCTCGCCCTGCAGCTGTAGCCTGGTCTTCACGACCTGCACCTCTCGTCAGCCGGAGCTTGAGGTCAGCAGGTCCACGAGTCACCTCGAAGGGGTTGCTGAAGACGCAAGCAAGGGATGCCGCCGTTCCTCCCGTGATCTGCGTTGAGGGTCATGCCAGCTCGATGCACTTCAACAACGCGCACAATGTCCGTCATCAACTTCCTCTGGGTTGACTTCACAGGAGGAGGCTCCAAATCTTCGTCGAAGGTGATCTCGTCGTTGTTCGCCATCTGATGCGGAGCACGTTAGCAAGATGGAAAAATTCATGTTTCCTCCTCATTCTGGGAGACTATGTGTAGACGAGGAAGACACACTAGCTCTCTCCCTCCCTCCCTCCCTCCCTCCCTAGGTCAGGAAGCTTGACGAGACTACTGCTCGGCGTGGATCACGGAAGAAAGACTGGAGTCTCAATGTTTCAAGAAGATTAAAATCCCAAGCTTCTTGGTTTCTCTAAACCATTCCTCTTGCAGACTCCCTTC